AACAGACTTCAGTTTTCATTGAGCCTGGACATACATCAAATGTCTTTAGTATTCTTTACAGCGCATATTAAGGGTGTCAAAAGCTATCTGTCACCCTGTAACAACCCACTCATTATGCATTATTCCTCTCATTACGAGGCGTCTTGCTTACAATGATGCCTTTTACCGGCCTTAAATAATGAACAAACCACTGGCAACAAAACTGACAGCTTATATACTGTAATTTTTCATACCCGTATATTTAACCCACGTATTACCCACGTATATTTAAAATATTAGGTATTACTTTATCTGAATGGGGGCACCAAAATCCAAACAAAGCAAAAATTCCTCGCTTAAATAACTTTATCATTTCACTTCTTATAATAATAATAATGATAATAAAAAAAACAGTTTTCATAGGTTAAAAATTGGAATAACAGATTAAGCTGGATCCATCGTGAACTAATGTTGCTATTATTAATCCAAATAAACAGAATATATATACATAAGTGAATCAGTGCAGCACCTCATGGAGGATTGTTGTTTTTTTTTTGCCTTGGCCATCCTTCACCATGTTCTGATTGGCACCAATTTCATGAGCCACCTTCATTTTGCAGGTTTTGCTGTTGAAGCCCACCATTTTTTTGCGTTTTTACCTTTCCTGCATTTTCTCTGCTCTTATTGTCTCTTTTTCAACACTGTAAACAAACAGAATTTTATCCTCCTGCAGATTAATATAATGCCTATCAGTTGAGCTCATGAGCTGATTCCATTGTTATGATGTGCTATAAAGAAATACTAGACTGTTGCAAGGCAGTATTGACCAATCAGAGTCAAATATTAAACACAGCCATTTATATTTTATAGTGAGAGAAGGGGATCCAAGTCAGCACAGAAATCAATTTCCCACTTCAAGTTCATCATATTAAACTGAATATAGTGTGGAACCATGTAAACAGTTCACCACATTGCCTGCTAGCTAGCAGCTGCCTGCCAGCTGTAACATAGCAATATAAGCCTGTTCAATGTCAATACGTGCTTCCGACTTAGATTCATATCCGATTATTCCCAGATATCAAAGGTTGAAACTTGAAACCAAGAAAAGATATAGAGAAAGATAATTCTATACTCTGACATTGTCTCACTAGGTTTAGGTGATCCAACCATTCTTATTTTGGCCCACACAGAAAGGGAAATAAAAATATATAGACTTCAAATTAAATCGATGAAGGGAGAATCTTGAAATACTGATAGAACTGTGTCTCTGTTGGACATGCTGTTTGAGTGTACTGGAGTTTCTCCGGATTGCACCATAAATCTGTCTGTTTTTCACTCAGCAGACTGACTCCTTGATCTGCCAGGTGATTAAAGCTTCTGTCCACCTCCCTGAAGCTGCACACCCCAGAGTCCAGGGTGGGCAGCACATCCATCTCCCGTCACTCTACGGAACGACAGCCCACAGAAGTCAAAAGGACTGACATTAGAAGCATGAGGAGCATGCTCTTATCAGCAGCAATTTTTACTTATTAACATGGCATAAGACACCATTTGGATCCCCATTTGTCAGAGTTTTGCCTTTTTTAAGCCATCATAATAAATGAATCTTAATTATTCTATTGTGAAGCAATATGCTTTCATCCTGATCTGTGATACATTTCCGATTTTTCTTGTGCCAAACATAAATATTTTACTTCAAAAGTGATAGAGTGGTCTAAACAGATTTCCCATCCAGTTTGATCCAACACACAACTATTCATTTATGACTCATAACTAAAACATATATTGGAAAGGATCACAATATGATTGCATTGCAATCTTCGTAATTGTTGCAGAAGTGCAGCACCATGCATTAGAAACCTTTTTGCATTACTTTGTTCTGCATCATAATTTATTGTGACCCATCCTGTGATTCTACCTCTTATTTCCCTTTTTTAGAGTCCTGATCTTTATAACAATGTAGGGCTGAGGGGCAAATACATTAGAGACAACTTAACAAGATCAATTTTATCACAGTTTGTTTACCTTTTTAACCCTTCTATTATCAATTTGGCCCCAATTAATGTTTATCATTTAAAAAATAAAACTTGAGTTTGTCTTTTTGCTTCATATTTCATGACCTCTCTTAATTTGACAGCTCAAGGACATTGGTAGTTCATACAAAATAATCAATATGGTTCATTCTGAGTCATTAATGTGCACCCCAGATTAGAAAATTTTTGGATGAAAGATTTTCAAGATACGCTAACTCTCAAACTGAAAGTTTAACCTGATGGTGGTGCTACAGGAAAGGTCATATCATCACCAAAACCAGTAGGGTTCATCCTCTTGTGGTCATAAAGGTTGTCAGTAAATTTGAGAAGATTTGTATGAAAACTTTTCAAGATACTCTACTTTGGTCTATTGGTGGCGCTAGAGAACAGGTTAACCCACTGATAGGTTTCGTTCTTAAGGAGTTATTTATGTACTCAACAAATAAACAAAGCACCTGACAAAAACTCTTGATCAACAATCGCCTGTAAATCATTTTCTGGATGCAAATATACCTGGGGTCAGATTAACTCAAGGGTAAAATGTGTCAGTAATATTTGAGGATAATAGGAGGGTTAAACCAATCACAAGTGTCACAAATTCTCATCGTCTCCTTTCACCTTTTTTTTGTTGACATTGGAGGATTTCCAACTTGGTGCATGTCAGTGCTCAGATTGTTATTACAAGTCCAGAGAACGGGAGGGAAAGGGTTTTCCTTAGCTTCTACTTGTGCTGGTCTGAGTCTTCCTGTGTAACTCACTCATGTGTCCTCAGTTGTCTTGCTGCACCAAGTGAGATCTCACTAGATTCTTCTCCACCAACATGATTTAGTTGTTCACAGAGTGGCACAAGGAGAAGGTGAGAAAAACCCTCGCCATTCTGTTCTAGGACTTGTAATAACAATCTGGGCCTGTCAGCTGTGAAATGGAGCACTTGTAGTGGACGCAGTTTGATGATGCGCAATCAACCGGCTCATTTTGCAGCTGCCCGCTGCTCCGCTCCCCCAGTTTCAGAAACTGTTTTCCCCATCAGTCAAGCACTCACAAACACACGGGAGAATAGTGCTCAGGCTGAAAAAGTTTCCCTCTAAGTAGTTGAGCATTTTGTGTAAGGGCCACTATAAGCCTTATACGTACTATGTATTCATCATCTTAGTTTTTATTCCTGCCCACTCCTTCACAGCAGGACATTCAAGTACAAGTTCAGCTGTAGACCAGAATATTAAGAGCTTCTTTGCTCTGCATTGAAAATCAGCCTATATAATAAAGAGTGTTATATATCTCAAGAGTTTAATGGTCCAGAGTTAAGTGTAAAATTTCCCAAAATTGAGATGACAAGTGGGACCATTTTCCAGCAGCCCTTTTGTGAAAGCAATAATATTCCTCACACACTATCTATTTTACAAGAGGAAGGGGACTGGAGAAGCAGGTCACCATTCTGCAGACATTTCACTTTAAAACTTTAAAGAACGCATTTGCTCCCTAATCACATCTTCGCTCCACCTCTGCCTGTTTTTTTTTTTTTCCTCTATCAGGCTTCTCTGCACCATCTTCTCCTCGCCCTCCTTTCATAAGCTCCCTCTCCTCCGCTGTCAGCTCTAATTAGGACACTGTGTGTGCCCGTGGTGTGAGTTTGTGTGTGTGTGTGTGTGTGTGTGTGTGTACGTGTCAGTGGGAACGTGGGTGTGTGTTTTTAAGTGGTCTTAGGAGGCCAATCACTCTGCTGTGTGTCTCCGCTGTGTCCTGCTGGTTGAAAGGAGACACGCACACACACATACGCAGGGACTAATGCTGATGCACGGGGGCAAGTGTTCAATGCGGGTCTAATGACTCCCTTTACGCTTGAACTCCCACTCCTTCATACACAGCCTAATATCAAAAATGAGCCTGACTGAAGGCAAAAGCTCTCCAGCAGACTAATTGATTGATGTATTAGAGCTCGCAAGAAGTTAAATAACTCACAGCGTTCCTGCGCAACCAAAGAAAAGTACAGGATATGCAAAGCACCGTCCAGCGGAGTAATAACAAAATGAAGTTATTAAAGCTCCTGTGAGGAACTTTACGTCTCTGTTGATTTTGGCACCCCCTGTGGACAAAGTGATACCTCTCCTTCTTTGCTGATTACGTCCTGCGCATACATATGTAGTGTTCTCCAAACAAAAATCTCATCCGCTTTCTTCTAACCGTCTCATTAATTGCTGTGAAACAAATTCAGTGTTGTTATCCAGCAGGCTGTCAATCATCCTGTCTGACACCCACCCCCCCCTCGCAGTGGGCGCACACTTCAACGTGAGAACTGTCAATCTTGTTGCTGACAGTCTGATTTGCTTTTGTAGGTCATAAAAAGGTGTCACAGAACACATCAGTCCGTTTTATAACAAATTATAAGAACTCTTTGTTTTAGCTTGAACTTAGCTCTTTCAACATGTCCACCCTGAACCCAAAATAAATCCAATCAATTAGCATCGATTAATTCAACTGTAGTTAAAGGCAAGTTCGATCTTTTTATGACCACATCAGAATGGCCCGTGCAGTCGCTCAACCTCTGCAAAATGAAGCCAATGCAGAAAAAGGTTATCAGTTTGAAAGTTGGGCTGGGCCACCCCATTAAGAAAAGTTTGGACACACCCCTGCTTGTTAGCACATACGTTGCCCTGAGTATGTTATTTTCATGACAGATGGATCTGTGCTGAACAGAAGGCTCTGTAGATGGATTCAAGGAGACTACAGTGAAAGACAGGGATTGAACCCAAAGGTTGAAGTTAGACAACACGTGAGGGATGTGCATCCGTGTAAAACACCACCCTCTCCGAAATAAAGTCAGCGTGGATAACCCGTCGCTAATCCCTCTCCTGCCACACTTTCAGTGTAAACAAATAAAAGGTTAATCCAGCTAGATGATCAAAAAGAGGAACAGTAACACGACACACAACACTGACAGGTGAGGTTTTTCAATTCACACACAACAAAACTGAAAACTCAGGAAGAGCCTGAATTTAGATAATCTTTTTTTATTATTATTTTGTCATAAAAACAGTCTTTGGGTAAATTGTAGACATAAAAAAACAGTAGTACGAACAATGTGCATGAATGACAAACAAAAGGTTATTTACATAATACTACAAGGCACCAGAGGTAGTGAGGCTTTGGGTAACATTTGGCCTATTTCCATTCTGCTTACTTTTAAAATATCAAAGTCTAGATATTTCAAACTGTCCTCCAAAATATCTCCATGTAGTCTTCAACTCAAAAAGTTATTCTTTGGTGATTCAGTTCAAGAAAAGTTGTAGTTTGAAAGTTTGTGAGGGTTAATTGAATCTGATGATGCTTGTGTCACCTCCTCTTTCACTCCTCCCGGTCAGTCACATAAGGTGGCAGATACAATTTCACTGTAGGGTCCAGACCTGCCAAACTTGTCCTCACCCACCACAGCTACACACAACTTGTGTCCTGGCTTATACTTGGTGATGAGCACACACATGGGCAGACGGCAGGCTTTCACCTCCCCTAGGCTGGTCCAGTCAGAGAAGACGTTGCTGCCTTTTACTTTCTCCATAGTGGTGAAGATTCTGCGGAAAGAGCGAGGACAAATCAGCACGCTCAACCGCTGAACTCTGCCTCCATCTGGTGGTGACGTTCATGAACAGAGGTAGAGTGGTGGGAAGGTTTCGCTCCGGAATTCAAGCAGGCTGCTTGTCTCAGACGCAGAGCAGTGATGACAACATGCAGAACTAATTTATAAGAACCAGATGTTGTCGGCATCTGGCGCTCTGCTGGCCTCAGATGGCGGCAACATTTGGGGCTTTGATGAAGCGAACCAATTCAGTTCATGTAACTCTATTAGCTTTGAAACAATTTGTACATCAAAAATAAATTGTTCCGATCAGAAAATACCAAGAACTCCCAGAGTTTCTGACGGAATAAGGTGTTTTAATTTTATTAGGTCAATAAGGCAACAGGATTTATTCAGATATTTTTGACATTTCATTTCACTTAGGCGGAAATTAAATCAAGAAAAAGGAAAGTGCAATCAGAAGAGGGCAGACCTTGAACACACCTGATTCAAATGATCAGCTCGTTATCAAGCTCTGTAATGGCTACATAACGAGCTGATCATTTGAATCAGGTGTGTTGGAGCAGGGAAACATCTAAAACATGCAGGACAGTGGGGGCTCGAGGACTGGATAGAGAACCACTGCCTTAAACAATAAAAAGAGGTTGAGTCACTCTCAATTATCCATCCTTTCTCCACTTCATGTCAAAATAGCAGCATTGAATAATGGATAACTCATGCTAACATAGCTGTATGGGGAACTGAGTCTGCAGTTACAGCTGGCCTTGGATGTTTTTTGTAAAAGCACAACTTCTGGGTCATTCTGTGACCATAGAGCTGTGTGAAAAGTAACACCCACAAGCTGGGTCTCACTGGACAAGCAGCTTAGACAAAGCGAATCAAACAGAGGCTAAATGGAGCTTCAACTTGCAAATCAGAGCTGCTTCATAGGTGTTCCAGACTGATGAAAGAAAAGGTGAAAAAAACAAGTGTAATCCTCTAATTTTAGTTGCAGCTCACAAACTTTTCAATATTCTTTGTTGTTGTTTAAACAACCTGAACAAAATGAGTTGCCGGGGATCCTTTTATTTTGAGTAATAAACGTTTCAAATGCTAGCTTGTATGACTCACCCTTACTCTTACCTGTAATTATCCATGGGCGGCGCACATAGATCCTCCGTCTCCACGTTCCAGAGCACAGAGAGACCAGGAGGTTTCCTGATGAGGGCCAGCCGCACTTGGACCTTCTGGGGGATGTTGTATGAGGCTGCTCTCGCATCCAGGATGGAGGGGAAGGGGATGGCAGGTAGAGGCGGGTACTGCTTGTCCTTGGAGTTTTGGTAAAGATGAGTTAGTGTTGGTAGAAAACAGTGACGTCAATATTCTCTGTGGGTTTGCATGAGTTACCTGCTCCGAGTGTGTTTGTTCCATTTTCACAGACCTAGCTTTCTGCTCCTCGGCCTGCGTCCATTCTTCATTATAGTTCTCTTCTGGCTCTTTCTTAACAAACTATCATGATTTTTTAAAAAAAGACAGGAGTCCTTAACGCCAAAAAACAACAACATAAACGATGGGAATAAACTCACAGAGGCTATGCAGAATTTAAAATGAAGTATGAAGAATTTTCTAAGCATCTTACCTCACATGGAAAGGATTCATAAGGAGTAAGAACAGGAGGAGGCAGCTCTTCACTTAAATCTGCCATGGCAGCCGTCAAAGCTTAACACAGATTATCCACAATGACGAGTAACAGAGGAAGGGACAGGAAGGAGTAAAAAAATCGAGAAGTGGTTATTTATTCAGCTTCTGACTGACTCTTATTATCTAATGTGGGTCATTATAACAGCTTATGGTGTCAGTGTGTCTCACTGCATGCCGAAACGATAAAAGAAGCCGCATCTAGCAGACATTTAACACAGTTTAAAACTCGAGCCACGTGTGCAGTTGAAATCATCTTACCTTCCTTTTCAGTGTGTATCTTCTCCAGTGCCTTTTTAGCATTTTCCTACACAGAAAGAACAGATAAGCTTTAACTTTGGTGTTCACAATGTTAAAACTACTGTAAATTACAAAACTGTATTTACATTTCCTATGTATATTTTTTAAACAACATTAACACTTGATTATATGATAGCATTTCTTTGCAGGGGGAACCAAGCACAATTTAAGAGTCTTTGCCACCTGTTTTCTCCCTACTATGCCCAGGGGTGGGAATCAACAGTGGACCCACGACACGATATTATCATATTATCACGATACTTGAGCCACAATACAGTCTTATTGCAATTTTTTACATTTTGCAATACAGTGAGTATTGCGATGCAATATATTGCGATATACAATTTTTCCAGCTGTTTAAATTCTTTTGCTAATTTAGAATTTGTCTTTTCTTATGTTTGTCTTATTTACGCTGTATTTTATTTTCATGTAGCACATCTTGCAAACCTTATATACATTTGTCGCACTAACTTCCTCCTGCTCTATGATGTCACCTCTGCCAACCTCACCGAAAAAACAGTTGATTTTATTTTTCCATTACCATAGATTTGACTTCATATTAGCAATTCATTTGAAAAATCGATACTTGGTAAATGAGACAATATGATATATCACCAGACAAAATATTGCGATACTATGCTGTATCGATTTTTTTCCTTCACCAGTAGCAATTCAATCAGATTAAACTGTCAGAATGGATTAAATCTTGAAAATTGGATGGTTTAGAAGAAAACATACGCAAGATGTTAAGTTCATTCTTAACACGAAAGAGAAGAAGGGTGACCAATGAACTTAGAAGACAGCAATTTTCATATGTCTGACTTTTTTCTCAGAACTCTGACTTTAATCTCTGAATTTAGAGAAAAAAATTAGCTGCATTTTTTAAAATCTTTTTTCTTTTTAGTGGCCCCAGTCTTCTTCCCTATAGCATTACAACCATTTTTTTAATACTTATGACCTTTTTCAAAGTATTTCCCTCTTGAAGTGCTACATCTTTACCATGACAAAACAGTAGTGCTGCTAAGGTACATAAAAGCAAACAAAGACATCAGTGGCAAGACTGAGTGTTCTTATACTACAATTTTTAATGCCAAAAACTGTTATGAAGGGGTTGGTGTCAACAAAGCAACTTAAAAAAAAATCTTATTTCACATTTCACTCATTAAAAAAGCAGAATAATGGCACATTTGACTGTTATAAGTCGGAGGGATACGTGTGCATATGGAGGACAAGATAATTAATGGGTGCCAAACTGAGCCAAACCTAAAATTCCTTACAGGAACTTTAAGTATCATTCCAAATAAAAGTGTGATTTTAATTAAAACAATATATTTAAAAAATGAATAAATAAATATCTACCATCATTTTTTGACAATTTCCTTCCCCAGCAGTGCAGTTGGAGCTTGTTCCGTTTACTGAGGAAAAACATTGAATTCAGAGACTTTTAATTGTCGTACTAACCACATATGCAAATGTTCATCCACACACATATAATCAGTGCACCGTGTTCTTACCGTGTGGCTCGGTTTCCATGGTATCACCCTCAGAGCATGACCTACAGAGTTGGACATCAAATTAAGATAGCTGCACAAATAATCAAATGCAAATAAATCGGAGACAGAGTTTGATAGGATTTGCATAAAGTTGATTAACTTCTGAACCCGGCTCCACATACCTGATGTTTCTCATGTTATTGTTAAACTGCAGCGTTTCCTGGAACACAAACAAATTTGTTCATTTGTCCTGATACTTTGCTTTCAATATTTGTTTTCAAATCTCAGTACATGCACTCTTGGGTGTGTGTGTGTGTGTGTCTTTGTGTGCGAGTTTTAACCTTTGTCTCTGCCCCCGACATGTAGGCAAAAGCGGCTTCTGCCCTCTTGGTCAACTTGTTCATCTTAGCCTGAGGGAGGGAAGCGCATAAAGGTCTTTATGAAATTTGCATACGAGTCACTCGGTTCTGTTAGTTGCAGAAAGATGAGAAAATATCAGCAAAATGAAGAAAGGGACAAAAAGACATTTGTTACTACATCTGCAAATGCAGGTTTAAACTGCACCATGCAAAGAGGAAACCATGTATTTAAACATGATCAAGAAGAGTTGAGTCAGGGCCTATTTAAGACAGCCTGAGGTGAAGTGTCAAGAGGAATAAACTTTGGCATTACTTTTGGAAATCATGGACCCCTTTTGTCTTGCTGTAAAGAGGGTCAGGACACGAGTTTGGACCACCTGACCTGTTATCAAAGCACAGTTCAAAGCCCAGAGAAGACCTTGCAAAATACAGCATGAAGATGCCAAACTACATTGTGCAACAGCATGGCGCTGTAGCAAAAGAGTCTGGGTGCTGAACTGGCCAATCGTTCGACACATCATAAAACAGAGAGTACAGCTGAGGAGACCCTCAACTGTTGGACTGCTGAAATCTTGTGTCTCACAAGAATGGGACAACAATTCACTTTCAGAAATATGGAACCATTTCTCCTATGTCCTCAAAACCTCAATGTGTTGTTTAAAGAAGAAGCGACGCAACGCAACAGGGAATCGATGCTTTATAAATTAACCAGCAGATGCCAAGGAAGGGTTAAAAAACACAATAGGTTAGGATGTGAAAGAAAAGAAATAATAGGCAGTGAAAAGTTGATATAGATGAAAAAGGAAATTACTGTCAAGTCCATGTTGATTAAAGGATTTAAGTAGAAATGTAAACAGTAACTGTGTCGTCTTACTGACCTCCAGCTTCTTGAGGGAACCTTCATAGTCAACTTCACTATCCAGCTGAAAAATACTCTCCATCAAACCCTGGAGCTTGTTTTCTTTTTTCATCACTGCGTTTTGAACCTCCTGCTCAATCAGTGTCTGTACCTGGACACACACATAACAAAAGACTTTACATGCAGGCATAAGGTACAGCTGTATTCAAAAACTACAGATGCCAGTTTAAATGAGCACATGCACGTTGAAAAACGAACAACTACATGTGCAGCAGAAAAGATCAGAATGTCCCCAAAAAAGTTCAATTTTCCTCACAAAAAAGGGAAACTTCCACGACTCATAATTTTGAGGAAAAATGAACTTTATTGAGGACATTTTAATGTTTTGAGCTACACCAGTACACATGCTCTCCTAAAGGTTCTTACTTCAGAGTTGGAGAATATCCTCTTTTTTTCACTGGGTTTAGAAGTCGCTGGCTCTGACAACAGGCTCCCCGCGCTTCATTCACACACAGACAAACACACATAAAGGAAGTTACCATTTATGATTACATGTGAATTTCACACTATTCCTTAAATTTAAAAAAAATTAAAAATAAACTCCTCCTTGGAGATTTAATGTCTTAATGCTATTAATCTGACCAAAAGCATGACATTTTTGGACTTTTCTTAGCCCAGATTATATGATATCAGGGAGATGTGACAGTATTTTAGACCAGTGGTTCTCAAGTCCAGTCCTCGAGGCCCACTGTCCTGCATGTTTTGGATGTTCCCCTGCTCCAACACACCTGATTCAAATCAGCTCATTATCAAGCTCTGTAATGGCTTGATAACGAGCTGATCATTTGAATCAGGTGTGTTGGAGCAGGGACACATCCAAAACATGCAGGACAGTGGGCCTCAAGGACTGGACTTGAGAACCACTGTTTTAGACCATCATCTAGGTGGCTGCGGTAAGTTTTACACACCACCAGATGGCGCTACGTCTGCAAAACTTCAAATCATTCTCATATCAGTTACCATAATAACCTCAAACCTCACCAATACTTACGAAACAAAGCTTGAAGGAATTGTTGCCTAACTTTTTTTGCTCATGAGTGGTCCTTAATTGTTAGCAGCAGTTTTATAGAGCTGACAAACTCACATTTGAAACATTTGACTTCATATTCTGTCAGTACAAAAGGTAAACTGTAAGTGGAAACAGGTTCTCAGACTGTCAGAGGAGAGGATGGTGCAGACAGTTACTGCCATCTTGATTGTTTAAGTGAGGAACAGTTAGTGGGACAAGCTGAAACAGGTCAGAGAAAAACAGCGTATTGTTCAAACTGTTGGCCACTTGAAATAAAATAAACCAAACTCACAGATCCATAAGACTAGAGGCCATCTCTGCACTAGAATTAAATCCATGTTTTCTTTTTAGGTCACTCCATCTTCCCCATGCATGTCCAAGGCACACTTGACCTTTCTCTGAATCTTTAGTTGGACTTGGGCTCTGAGACAATTCTTTGTGTGTCTTTGATTTGGAGGAAAAGTCTTTTTTACTCCTAGCACCCGCCATTCTTGACTGAATCTGCAACATGAGAGAGAGGAAGATCAGAAGAAGACAATTAAAAAACAGTGAGCTGTTATGAGATACTTGTCATGTTGTTATTCTCCAACCTAGCTTGGTTCCTTGTGTCAGAGGTGAGTCAGTTTGATGATGTGATGTTTTTAAATCAGCATCATAGGTTTAATCTCATAGGAGCTCAATAAAACAAGTGAATTTATGTTAAAGATAAGAGTCTTTAATTTTTTTTATATATTTTTTTAAATAAAAGATAAATTTGCTTGGTTTGAATTTTATAAAAGTGGGTCGCAACTTGAGGACCATAGGAAAATGTGGGTCCCAGAATGAGACCAGTTGAAAACCACTGCTCCAGTGAACATTTATTCCTGATTCAGGAGTTTTCAATCAAAAATTATAAGAATTAAACAACTTGTTTCTCTAACTGTGCAGGATTGGCTCAGGTCATGGTGACCATGGCCCAGGATTGATAACTTTCAAGGACTCAGATTTTTCAGCGTAGATCCCTGTTCTCGGTAGCTACTGAGTAGATTCGGACTCATATTTTGACGTTTTGACAGTAAATACTTGACAGATTCGCTTTGAATTCGACTAAACCGACTGTCTGTGCTCCTAAATACAAACTCAATTTACCAGGTGTTTCAGCTGAATCACTTTAATGCAAAAAGTAGTACCGCTGGGTGTCAGTTCAGCTCATGGTCGTCTCGTTTATCCAAGTTGTTCAGATACGATGAAAGTGAACTGTAAGCCTGCGGAGGTTCACACTGTCGAGCCGGATACAGTTGTTCCGAATCATATTCAACACCCTTACTTACCGTTAACGTTCACAGCCCACGACTGATTTCCCGTAGTTCTGAGTAGTTTAGTAAATAATGGCATCCATGGTTGATATGCTCCCTCCAGCATGCCCTACACGCCCCGTGCGCATCACTTATTCTTTGTTTTTTGGCGAGTTGCAACCGTGAATTGAAAAAGAGCGCATACCGCCACCTACTGTACTGGAGTGCACATACAGTCTATGTTTATTATTCGTCAAAATGAAAACAATAAGGCACATTGGTGATACTAAGAGTATAAAGTGTTGAACTAGCTTTTTAATTAAACAAAAGAACATGAATAAAAGAAAAGAGAATGTGAGAGTCTTATTCTAGGACAGTAAATAAGTCGAGTAAAGAAAACAGTTTCAGGGCATTTTTGTTTTTCATGTAGTTCAAAGATTTTTTGTATATTCTGAGTTCGTTTATCCATCAATTGAAGTGGGGTTTCATCTTGAGGTACTTACATCTGGGAATGAAATGTTTACCAAGTGTAATTAAAATGTTCACCATGAAGTTCTTTTCCTTTAAACTGTAGAGTCCCATCTTTTCATTATTTTACATTTGCAGCAGTTTATGGGAAGTTCTATTAAATCCTCATTTTTCCTTTTGGTTTTCCATAACCTCTACCCCTATTATCCCCGATAAACCTCAAAGACTTATTTTTTCTCCAGCCATATTATTTATTTATTAAGCTCGTGGGATCTTATCCTTCTGACCATACGACCCCATCATCCGCATATGGAGCTGATCCTATTGTATCCAGTTTCATGAAATACAATTAATCATGATAACTGATAAGACTGGATTATTAACAATTCCTCTCTGATTTTAACTCTTAATATATATATATTTTTTTTCTGATCAGCAAACACATGTACCAACTCCCATCTTATCCTTTTTCTTCCTATGGGCCAGAAACCATTTCTCATCCATGCAGCAGTCTTACATACTCTGTACTTTTCATTCAACAGCCCCAGCACATTACAGTCCTCTATTCAATTCTGGTTTATATTCACCTCTTTCATATACTTTTATTTATTTGGTTTTTATTCCACTACCACTCTACCTCCAGAAAGTGCACTATTACTCACCATGCTGCTATTTGACCCTTAGTTTTTATTATTTTTATTTTTTCTGTATATTAAATTAAACACTATCATGCTGTGAGATTGAAGCCATGCAATGACATTACGTTGCAGAGAGAAATCACTGCTGTGTTTTATTCTGTGCAATGACAAATAAAGAAAGCCTAAGTCTAAGTCTATTAATATTTGCTCCTTTTCTATATGACAGTCCTAAAAAAAATTTTTCTCCAAATTCTCCACATCTCACATCTCTGCAAGTGGTAACAACATGACCGTACTTCTGGAAACACAGGGAACTCAGGGGAGCTTTCTTAAAAGTATCCAAGATACACATTGGCAGTTCTTCCCCAGAAAACAAGTAATTTTTCTTGCTTTTCTTCATCCGTCATACTCTGTACTACCTTCCCCCTACACTTTACTAAATGCCCAGCACTCCTATAATTACTGATTAAATTAGTTAATTAAAGGCAAATAGTCTGTGTTTGTAATGTGTTTAATTTTCTACTTAAGATAAGACACATAACTCTGCTGAGAATCTGCTGGGCGACTCTTTCAGGGACTGCAAAAATGAAAAATGCTGATCCCAAACGCAGTGTGTCTTTTATCCACTAGATGTCATTGCTTATTAGCTCTTAATGCGGCAAAGAGCCAGCATGAATATGCCTTTCTTTATAGAGTAAAATACTCATATCATAGGGTCTCTGAGGTTTCTGGTGTTTTTTTTTTAACTGGACTCTGTTCTAGCTTCAAGGATGTGGACATCAGCGTTTATAAGTCACTTGAAAATGTTTCCAGCTTCTTCTGCAAAGCCATCTGTCAGCATGAACAATCTAATCTTCTGTCAAGCTAAGATTAATTTATAACAGTCAAACTCTGGATTTTATCACTGTTATAAAGATGATGTTAATTTACTAGCATCAGTCTCCCAATTGTTATCACTTCAATAAAGCTAATATCAATTAATTTGCACCAGTCTCTCAGTTTTTATCACTGTAATTATGCTAACATTAATTTATTGGCATCATTCTCCAGATTTTGTCACAGTTATAAAGATAATGTTTATTGATTAGCATCAGTTTCTCTAGCCTAACCAATAATATAAAGTTAATATCACAATATACACATCAGTCTCTACAATTTTATTACTGTTACAAAGTTAATTTATTAGCATTAGCCTCTTAGTTTTTATCAATGTTATAGCTAATATTGATGTATTAGGACCAATCTCTCAATTTTTATAATGTCATAAAGTTTATGTGATTTAATTTATACCACTATTGTGACACTAATATTAATTTATCAGCATCAGCATCTTAATTTTTAATGCTTTTATTTAATGCTTCTTCATTGATTAGTATTAGCCTCTTCATTTTAAACACTGTCATAAGGCTAACATTAACTGGAGATCTTTGTTAATGTCGTTCTGCTTCAATTGTTCTAATTTAGACCCCCATTATTAACCTCACCCTCATTATTAGGAATTCTATTACTGTTACTACTATTGTGCTATTACTGTAGACCTGTTGACTTCAATTTTCCATAAATCAAACTAAGATCAGTCCTCCATCTTTATAATGCTGTCCAGGTAAATGGTGAACACATACTTGTTCCATTATCTCTGGCATTGTCACCACACATGTACTTTTGTTATTGTTGTTATTAATCTCTGTCCATCTCTCTGTTTTTGCATCTCCCTCCCTCTCTATACAGTTACAGCAGATGACTGGTTTGCTTAAGGTTTCTGTCTTTGCTCTCTACCATAACTTGCTGAATGCTGCAAAGTGCTACGCTCATGTGGATTAAGATGGGATAAGGATGGGTCAAATCTTATGGGATGAGACTCAATCTTATCCCACTTATATGTGGGGTGTTTATCAATATCATAAAGAGTTTGGCCTTGACCAGATCTTTTTTTTGCTAAGCATCTTGAGGGAACATTTGTTGTGAATTAGCGCTGTATGAATAAAGATTGATTGATTGAGAGTTGGTGCATATCCAATCTGAGTTTTCTGGTTTGACTGGGGGACATTTATCTTATCTAGGGCCAGACAAAAGCGTTAAGAAGATATAGACCAGTGCTTTGACTAAAGTACTAGGGCTCAAGTTGAATAGTTGAACTTTTTGACAAAGTAAACACATTGATCAGGTAGAGTTAGACATATCTACACAGCTGGGAGCAGCTATCTCTCATGTGTGTGAATAACAAATGTCTTCCCTACACACAGTAATTCCACCAACTCGATTACTCCCAAGGACTCTGTCAATGTTTAACATGGGTCATGGATGTTGTTGGCACCTACTGTACATTGCACTTTCATGCAACAGCAATAAATATCACCTCAATCTAGCTTTCATAACAATATGGGGACTACTCCCATGTTTGCTTTCCTTTGAACAACCAGTCCCCCTGACTAATTGGTCCTGTTTGCCAAGTCCAGTGTGCTTAAAGTGTCCACTGATATCTGCTGCCACTGCAACAGAGAGAATGATATGTTTTTGACAAGTGCAGTGTGGGTTTCTGTTAAGGTTATTGGATGTCATAAAACAGGTAAAGTAAAGCTAAATGGACTTAAAATTCTCTGATATGTCCTTTATCTTGTTAGACGCACAGATCAAACCCAAATGACGCCTGCCCTATTTCTGATGGACGTCATGCTGCTTAATTTGCGGTCAGCAAAGTGTTTATTGCACTTGCGTCGGCTTGGCTTTGAGAGGAATTCAATATCATTACAGGTTAATCTCTTTGATAGACTGCAATGGTGACGATAAAGGGGGAAAAAAAGGTCAGAGTGATGTGGTCCTTTATCTTATTTTAACGTCATAATCTTACCTTTCATGCACCACATGTATTACATATTTGACTCTCTGGTTTAATAAGGATTTGTCTCCTTTCCCGTTTCATCAAACACCACCTACAAAGGTGAGGTGGGAAGAAGGAGAGAGAGAGAAAAGAGGGGAGAGTGTAAAAGAGAGAGTACAGAGGCTCCTCCTTGTTCGCTGCGTGTGTTTTCTTGTGTGTTTTTTCCGCCTGGTCTTCACACACACTCCCGCTCAGCAGAGATTCAGAGGTGGAGAGCAAATATTCTCACTGGGAAAAAAAGGGGGGAAGGGAAACAGATTCGCTTCCTCTTCTGTCAAAAAGAAGGAACAGAAACAAGGAAAAAAGGGTTGAAAGAGAGTGTGATTATAAAAGCAGAAGGGTTACTTTAATCAGCCCTGCCTTCTGCACGTGCTCAGTGAGGGAAAGCTGTGTTCCCAGATGGAGAGGATGCAAGGAGAGGGAGAGGTGGACCACCTGGAGCGACCAAGCCCACTGACAGACAAGGAGAGGGTGATGATCCAGGACTCATGGGCAAAAGTCTACGAGAACTGTGATGATGCTGGAGTGGCAATACTTGTCAGGTAACCTTTCCCTTTTTTTACACTTTCTCTCTCCTGTTTGTGTTTGTGTAGTAAGCATAGAGTGAGGAAAATATTAATATTTTGTGGACAAAAGTTGTGATGACAATTTGAGTTTGCTCTTCAGTCCTCAAATGATTAGAAGCTAAATATCACACCAAACTGTATTTCATATTATTTGTCACCTTTTATTACGCCCCCAGTGGAAAAAACAGCACATCTTGCCTCCTCACTAATGCTACATATGTACAAGTACAACAACACTTTAAAGTATCACTTACTGTGTAACTTTGCTGTAAAGGCTGTTTTAGACAAAGTCATGTTGATCGCCTCGTCTGACAGTGTCCATGTAGTAATGGTTACACAGATTCAAAAATACAAAGCAGTTAGTCCTCCAGCCGGGGGTCTTGTTTGATTTTGTAGATCTACTAAAAACATCACTGTTTAAAGCTACTCTTTTGGTTTATGTTGGTTTTGGCACCCCCTCTAGACAAAGTGGTGCTCTTTTTTTCTTGAACATGAGAAGGACATGTTTTTTTAAAAGCCTAATGTATTATACATAAAGACTTTTGATCTATAAGTCTGTTTTTGTGCGGTCCGATAAATCATTTTGTCTAACACCTACCCTGCGTCACTGAATTCAGACATTAATACTCACAATATAGAAACTAGCAGTCTTGGCACAAACGGTTATTTGGAGACATCAGTACCAATCTCAGCCTGTTTTGTAACCGAATAAAAAAACCTCACAGGAGCTTTAATATCAGCCATGGCTTGTCCCTGTCCAAATACAAAATAAAAAAAGTACTTTTTGAACAAAAAGCAAAATCAATTCTGGTAGTGTCTGCTGAATCAAACTGAAGACCAAAATGCTCATAATTTTATTACTAGGCAAGTGTGAATAGGGTTAGTTAATGATGTGCACTAACAGCAGCCATTAACCCTTGAATGCTCAAAGGCGTGAAGAAGTATGTGACCTGACAAGAAGAAGCACTTTGAGTGGTTAGAGGATTAGCAAAGTGCAATAAGTACAGCTCATTTACTATTAACTTGTATTGTCTCTCTAAAGCTCCTTTCACGTTAAACCCTGATATTTCCTCAATAATTAAAGGACATTCAAGCCCTGATAATTTAGGGACTTGCTATGTACACAGGCACCCTATAGCAAGAAGCTTTTTTGTCAGGCTTTCAATATTTAATATATGCCAAAGTTACCGATTACTTGTTACGTCAGGTGATTATGTATTACGATTCTTGGATACATGGATTTTATATATTTGGTATTTGGTTCAAGTTAGAAGGTTGGGTTGGACTTGCAGAAGGAGGTATTATAAACTTCATATATAAATACCGTTACAAACTCAACAGAAGACAACAAAAAACTATTGACTGAGTGAGTAAGAGTAGAAAGCATTATCATTCTTCAATACACTCAAAGGGGATGGGTAGAGCATTCAGGAGGTATGAGATGTATACATGAAGACCTTTCATATTACAAATCCAATGTAGATAGCACAGTAGTAGAGAGTAAAATCATTCTTCAGGATACTCTCTTTGGTTCGATTGAGGAGAGGTTGGGTAGGGCATGTGGGAGATCCAGTTGTCACTTGCATATATAAAGACTTTTCCATAATAGAAGCACAACAGTACCAAACAAATACGAATGACAAAGTAGTTAAAGGATTAAGCATAATCATTCTTCAGGATACTCCCTTTGGTTCAGTTGAGGAGAGGTTGGGTAGGGAATATGGGAGTTCCAGTTGTAACTTGCATAAATAAAGACCTTTCTAAAGTAGAAGCTCAACAGTAAAAAAAAAAATACTAATGACAGATTAAGTAGGGGTTATCCTTGATACACTATATTTAGTTCAGTCGAAAAGAGTTACAGTAGGGCTTGTCAGAGGTACTATTATCACCATTATGGCATATTATCATTCTTTAATATACTCACATTTGGTTTAAGCTTTGGGTGAGGTAGGCTATACAAAACATACTAAAATCACCTGCACGTATAAAAAAAAAGACCTTTTCATGATAAAAACACAACAGTAGAAAACAAAATACTAATGACTGTAATAGTATAAAGCATTATCAGCCTTCAGTACAGTTGGTTCAAGTGAGGACAAGTTTGGTAGGGCATGCTGGAGGTACTGTTCTCTGTATGTAAAGACTTCTCCATGACACAAACACAACAGAAGTACCAAGTCAGTATTAGTTATTGAATATGCAAGACTATGAAGGGTTAAAATCTTTGCTATATCTCAAGCAGGGGTAGGGCATGCAGGTGAAAAAGGAGTCTTTCATATCATGTTGACTATTCTGTGTGTATAATGGGACATTTCTGCGATACAAACTAGAAAATGCTGACACCAGTAAAGAGAATCGAGCCGCAGAACTGCTTGCTATGAACAATGTCAACACTCTGCCGACTTACAGGGTATTTCCTGACTGCCTTACCCTCTGTGTTCACACATCTCTTCACCGTGACTTTTGGCAGGAATTTTACTCAGGCACTTTTGGAAAATGCTGGATAAAGTTGGAGTGAGGATTTAGTCTGTTTTTGCTCAGATGAGCAGCCCACCTGCACATTGTTGGGAAATTTTGAGGAGTTTGCACATACTTGTAAGGCGCTGAGCTTTACTCATTCTCAATGTCTTAAAAGTGATGTAATATTAAGTGATACTCTCACCTCTCTAATCTTTCCTTTATCCAGTGTATGTAGTAACAACATTATCATCCATCTGCTTGACATCTTTGGCATCCAGAGGGCTTCCTCCTCCAGTCGAGGTCATGTTTTGAACACAAGGTTGCCTACAGCAGCACTTCTCTGTCACTTCTTATCTCTGAAATCAAAGGATGAGAGTTTTTTTTTTTTCCAAAAAGCATCCAAAACATTTGCCCTGTGTTTTCTGCTGTCAAATCAACCATCACCGGCTGCAATCACTAAAAAAGAAAGCATTGCTTTAAAACAGCACACTTCAGAGAGTCGGACGACATTCTTCTGAAGGCTGTTACACTCGTTCTTTCACAGTCAGCGAGATTCACCACATGACACTGCATGCCTGTATAATCCTTCATGACTGCGGGAGGTGAAAGTTGAGAGGGAGTGTAGCAGAAAAGTGCAGCGGGGGATACACTTGCACAGCAAAAACAACTATAAGTGTGTATAGTATCACAGATGGTCGACCATTAAGTGCAGCACTAAATCTTACTCCTCTTTTTTATGATAAACATCCCCTCTTATTTCCTTCCTCCACATTCCTGCACAAAGACCCCGTAACCTTGAGGAATTTGAGGAATGGGGATGGATCGATAAGCAGAACCATTGTAAATTCTGTTTTCATGCGTTCAGGTTCTTCAAACTCACCGTCTTTTGGGATGGAGCAGAGACATTTGCAAAATTATGGCTCTAAAATGAGAAACTTTCCCTCGATTCTGCCCCTCAGTTAGTCCTGTAGAATAGATAAGAAGGGATTAAGAATCCAATGACCATATCAGAAACTAATGAGGCTATTTATATGCAACCACAGGTCATGCAATTACCACCGAAAGATTAAACGCCACAGTTCCTCATTAGTTTGCAACGAAAAGGCATACTTTGCTCCACTCTGAGCTGAGAGATTAAGACCCCTCCTTGTCATCTATCATATCTCCTTTCCAAATGTTTGGACTCACAAGTGAAACCTCCAAATCCGGCCATATGTTCGAGAGCCAACAGAGATATGTTTGCTTCCTTTTTGTGTTCGCTGTTGCTGAAACAGGCGGGAGATGAGACATCGGGATTAGATAGGCAGCAACCAGATGCACTGGCCTCCTTCCCAGACTGTGGGGAGGGGGGAGTTTTTTTTTCTGATTTGGTTCCTCTTTGCTAATTCTCTATGACACCTCTGAGGGTCAAACGGGGACATTCGTTCACACATCCTGAGTCTGAAAAGAAAACGTGGAACCAGAACAAAAAAGTCATTTTAGCTGCACTACACATCATACAACAATAAAAAAATCCCCAGGTGTGCTCATAGTTACCCAAGTAGGCATGGACCTTCCTCTTTCTTCACTTTGCTTCCTGTAATTTACCCCTTTTGTTGGATATTCTTAAGAGACGTGCAGGATCATGTTCTTTTCTTTTCTTTGTTGTAGCAGAAAAGAAACCACAGCAGAGCCAAAAGTTCACGACCACATGCAGAAAAAACAAGCATCAAATGATTCAATTGTCTGTATCCTCCTCTCTTTAGTCCAGTGGTTCTCAATCCAGTCCTCGATGTTTCCCTGCTCCAACACACCTGATTCAAATGATCAGCTCGTTATTAAGCCATTACAGAGCTTGATAACGAGCTGATCATTTGAATCAGGTGTGTTGCTTTAGTCCCTTTTACACAGAAAGGTCAATATAGGTGCAATATAGGAGTTAAATATACAGTAGATCCCTAACCTAATGTGGTTGGGGATTGATTTTCACTGTCATGTAGACTCTTCTATCAATCTGCCCATGTTCAAGAGTTCACCTGTTTGACTTTAGCCGGGAATTTGAATAGCATAAAAGCTGGGGAGTAAAAGGAAGTTAGGGCGTAAAAGAGATGAAACTGTCATATCATATGAACAAAGGTACAGAGCTGTAAAAGTAATAATATTTCCAGAAAGATTTGTCAATAGCTTTGGTTCATAATAGGTCAACCAGGAGATGTCTCAGAAGTAACAAGCTGAGAAGCAGCATGTCCCGTAGTTGTTGTGGACGTGACTGTTAATGCTTTGATTCTTGCCTTTGTAAACGGACACTTTGGACAGTAATCCAGTTCAACTGCTTTATAAAGCTATAACCGTTGCTCGGTTTAATTGTGCAGGTCAACTGACTGACTATCAATGCCAATTGGGCGGAACAGAGAAGGGCTGTGTCTGTGTTTGTGAAACTCATGTAGTTGGCAAACTTAATTTGGTCACTGATGTTAGTCAAAGCTTTGTTTGGTTACTGATACTCTGGCTTTTTAGGTCAGTAAAATTACACATAATGATATCAAAGTTTGATCAGTAATTAGAGCTCTGTTCAAACACTGATACTGGAGCTGACATCTTTGTTTGTGAAGGGATATGTCGGCAGCTCGGTTTGTAATGAATAGGAAGGGGAATTTCCCTTTGTGTGACTAATAAGGGAGTATCTTATATTAATATTTACAGCTTTGTTGGTAGTAATTTTACAGTTTTTTTCCTTGATCACTGATATTACAGTTTTGTTTGGTTACCACTGTCACATCTGTGTTTTATTACTAATAAAACAGCTTTGTTTTTAAAAGCCAGAATTCTGATTGAAAATTCTCACTTTACTCTCAGAATTTTGTAGCTCGACATGTAGCCTGACCCATTAGCCAGATCATTTTAAATTTTGCCAGCTTATGAATCCAAAACTGCTGCCATTTCATACATTTTCCCTTTGTGTCAGATAAACCTGACCAATCAAAATATCTCATTTAAAGCTCCAGTGAGGAACTTTCAGTTTGTGTTATTTTTTTGCCCCCCTGTGGTCAAACCAGTCTCTGCTTATCCTGACTGCTACATGCTTGAATAGTGATCTATGACAACAAATTTCCCCCTGCTCATTCTTGACAGACAAATGTACAAATCATTGTGAGTATTTCAGGTGAAAACTGTCAAAACAGGGCTTTGTGTTTTGACTTTTTTTAGGTTTCAAACAATAGAAATAAGGATATAAAATTCTTAAATTTTGTGGCTGTTGGTCCTGTTTGTTTTTGGATTTCATTTCATTCCTATTTCATAAAAGAAAAAAAAGAAAAAAAAGAAAAAAGCACCTCACAGGAGCATTAAGTTTCCATTTAGATGAGGAGTTGCATTGGAAAAATTCTATTTGAGACCTGCCCTAAATAGTATCCTTTTTTGTCTTGATTTGGTGCTTTATGAAACTGAGGAAATAATCAACTGAAAAATTAACTGAATGACAAAAAGGCCAAGTTTAAACAGATCAGACAGAGAAATTGAAGCAAAGATAAATGAATGGAAAAAAATAAAGTGCTCATTTTTTTAAAACTTGCTTTAAGATTTGCAAGAAATCCCAAATCATCTGTTTACCAAAACTGTGAAGAGTATTATGTCTTCCACACCTGCTTGCATCTGCACTGACCAACATACAAACACTGAGACTGCGCTGAATAAACTGAAATATGCTCTCAAAGCTAGAGCATAAACAGTTATCTCCTCTCCCAGACACCACCAGGGCAGGATCAACCCTCAGGAGAAACATCTGGTGTGGACCTTTCATCTGATGCTGCTAGTAGAGCTGTGATGATAAATTACAATTTTATTGTCGAGAGCAGCAATAAAATCTTTGCAAAAGACAGCTTAAATGGCCATGACTTGAAGACAAACAGAGAAATTTTGGTTGGGCTTGATCCGGTTGTGCAAAACAACAACATTTCTGGTATTTAGAATGACTTCCAGATTCGAGAAAAGACTAAATTGAGTAATGCTGTGGTGTGCAGCACATCAGGAAGACATATCTGTTGTGGTTTGGTCATTTCTACAGCACGGTTTTGCACATTTAGGCTTTTTCTTAGATTGTGCATGCAAAGTTAATAACCTTTCATTTTGCTCCTGCACTTTCTTGAAGGCTCTTACAAGTTTGTGTGGATGTTAACAGAGGCTAATGAGGATGAAATCCCTCCTGACCTCCCTATCACATTATAACAAACATGTAGGCATGATGAATTAAAGGCTAGTGTGGTTTATAACTGCAGTTATTCACCTATTTGTGTCATAATTTCTCTGCAGCTGGATATTTTCTGTCAATGACTCGACTACATACCGCTCAGTACCAAGATAACGTTAAAAGCAAACATCTAAAGGGGAAATATGCAACACACTCATGTCAGTGCTTGTATTTACTCACGGTATCTTGCCAGCAAGAAAAAAAAAAAAAAGATGAATGTGGGTTTTTTGCAGGATGGTGCTGTTACAGGCTGAAAGGTGGTGAGATTAGTGGAGCTACGCAGCAGCTGCTCATACTCATATCTCCCCCTCTCCTCCCTTTCAGGCTGTTTGTGAACTTCCCCTCATCCAAGCAGTTCTTCAGCCAGTTCAAGCACATCGAGGAGCCAGAGGAGCTGGAGCGCAGCGCCCAGCTCAGGAAGCATGCTCACAGAGTCATGAATGCCATCAATACACTGGTGGAGAACCTGGACAACTCAGACAAGTTGGCCTCAGTGCTGAAGCTGGTGGGAAAGGCTCATGCGCTTCGACACAAGGTGGAGCCTGTGTACTTTAAGGTAAAAACAAGAATTCACTGTAACTTTGCAACATTTTCTACTACACTCTGCTAACTAGCAGCTGCCCACCAGCTGCTGTTATTAGCTTTAATCACGCAGCAAATATTCAAAGTACATTAAGCTGACAAACAAACTCCCGGTGTAAGACCACTTCTCCTGGACAGTCTTCTTTTTTATACACATTAATTTTGCTAGTTAGCAGCTGCCCACCAGCTGCTGCTATAAAGCCATAAACACACAACTCACAGTATCAGAGCACCTCTCCTGCACAGCTATCATCTTTTTATGGACCAATAGATAGAATGACAAACACAAGACTATTAACTTATAAAATCAGGGGTTGTCTGAATACAGTAAAAAAAAAAAAAAATTAAATTAAAAAAGCCATTTTCTTCACCCAATGTTATATTTTTGTAATTTATGCCCATATTTAAAAATGTTGGTTGGAGGATGTCATCTCCACTGCCAAACCCTCTGTTATCTTCAGCCACAACACTAAGCTAAGCTAGCGTGACCATATTCTGAATCCCCAAAAAGAAGACAGGACTAAGTGGGGGAGGAAACACAGAGTCACACAAAGTTAATTTTGAGAGTTTTTCTGGGTCAAGTCAAGTGTCTATTACGCGCCTCTAACTCCCTAAGTCTCCATGACACAAACGCAAAACTTCCATACAAAACCCTGGACATTTGAGGGATTTTATAAACTTCCCCAGACAAAGCTGGACAAGGACAGACAGCCCGGACAGCCCCTAATAAAGAGGACATGTTGCGGTAAAAGACGACGTATGGTCACCCTAGCTAAGTTTGCTTACTATCTGCAACCTTTAATTTCAACTTAATAAGGCTACTCTAACTGATCTGCTATGCTGTTCTTTAAAGGGCCATTAAGTTTTCTGTTGCATTCCACTGTGTCTCCCGCAGTTTCTCAGTGGCGTGATACTGGAAGTCCTAGGAGAAGAGTTTTCAGAAGTTGTGACCCCAGAAGTGGCCGCTGCGTGGACCAAACTCTTGGCTACAGTCTACTGCAGCATCACAGCCGTGTATGAGGAAGTGGGCTGGGCTAAGATTAAGTCTTCAGATGAATGACGCTTTTTTTCTGGCTTTAATGGACCGTGACCAGAGACTTCTCATTTTTTAGGGCCAGAGCTTCATGAGGGATGAATGGACTTTAACGACTTTAAAATGGAAGCAACGTATTTTTACAGAGGTTATCTGAATATGTAAGGTATACACTCAATGTAATCTAAGATAATCATGGGTGGTGGAACATAAATAAGAACAGGTACTTTGCCTTTTTAATGGCTTATTGTGTAAATTAAAGCTCAACTTGTATTTATATATTCTTGTAAAGGACCAAACCATTTTAAGGATAAAGTCTAGAGGTCGTTAATGCAATCATAAACCCTATAGAGTTCAAGAGGTCACATTTGACTTGGATGTGCCTTTTACTGAATGTGTAAAGCTGGAAACTGCCATGTAGATACCATTCTTCATGAATAATATTTGATGTTTATTTTTTTTTCCCTTAATCGGTCCTCTTGTCTATTGTTCATGAGACATTTATACATTTTAGCAGCTAATCCAGATGATTTTACATTTATGTCACCATAACCAAACTTTGTATCTGTCTTCAACTACATTTTTAAATAAAATTCAAAGAAAACCCCCTGTCATAATGTCAGATCCTTTTAAACGTATATGTAATCTAATCTGATTCTTGGCCTACTGCTCTGGCACTGTCTGCTTGAGTCAGCAGTGCCAAGTATCAGTGGCTCAGATGTAGAAAGCACCTATTTGCAGCCTCATTTAGTCCACCACGCTATCACTTCTCATAACAACAATCTGAGGAAACTCTACACTTAGGGTTATTATTTTCTTTTTGTTAGCAATTTCAACAAGCCATTTAACAAGGTTATTTGGCTTTCTGTGTCAACATCATGTTGCAGGTCGAGTTGTTTTCAGAATAGAAGTACACAGCCTGCTCTGTTTACCTCCTAGTCCTGCCCTGCCAGATCTAACCCCATTCCTTGATCCAAGCTAATCCTCTCAGCTAATCTTCCCAATCATGAGTGACAGCCAGGAGGAAACACAGGAATAGTTCGATTGTTACACCACACATGCCCTGCCTTTCAACCATCCAAGCCTTTCGATGGGAGGTGAAGTCTCTGTGCTCTAAACTAACAACAATACCAAGGCCAGAGGTCCCTGGGTGGGTTGGAGGACCATGTGTACGACAATGGTGGTCCTCACCACCCTCGCTCTCATCCTGCGCCAGAGATTCTCCAACAAAATCAAGCCGTAAGTACTCACCTTGAGCTATTTCTACCTTAGTTTTTTGACAGTACCACACAATTTAATCAGCTCTTGTCAATAAAACAAAAATAAAATACTTTTATTTTTAATCATTTCTAGATTCGTAATCAGAAATTTCACAAAATATCAATTTAACCACAATGGGTTTGTGATTTAAGTGCTAACTAAACATAGCATACTTCCAGTCATTCTTCAAAATACCAACACAAGCAAGTGCATGTCTGTTTTTCATGTGTGGGAGAGTGAGGGAGGTAGTGTGAGTCCTATCTGCGCCTTTGATTTCAAATCACTCTTGTGATTATTTTAGGGTTTGCCTCGGGCGGCAGTGTGTGGATTAAGTGACTCGATACATCACAACAGTGTCTTCCAGGTTTTTTTTAATGGACACATGAATAGGGGGTAAAGCATCTGAGCTCTTCAGCTCACAGCTGCTAATTGACACAAAGTGCAATCTTCTCAAGAACGCATCCCCCCTCCCCTCTACACGACTCACCGCCTGAGCCTTGCATTACCTTTCACACAGCTATTGCAAATCGGGAGCATTGCAACAGCTAGCTTACACAATCAGCTAAAAAAAACTAACTGCTTGTTATTTTAATGAGTTCAGCCACTTTGCCAGACTGTGTCCAGATGATAAATATGGAGCTGAGAATTATATTTTTGTCACCTAATACAGGCAGAAAGCGGCAGCAGAGAGAGAGGTGCCATACATGAGAAGCAATGGAGCCAATGGAGCAGCAAGCAACACAAAATGACAATGAGCATCACAGGGTAATTATGCTCAGAGAATCAAGTCAATGAAAATGACAGCAGGTGTGTGCTTTGAGTAGGGGGCATGAGTGGGATACCATCTTTATATTTTTATCAAACACGTCTTAGCAGCAAGGCCTGTCCTGAAAACATTAGCACAGTGACCAAGTTCCCTCTATAGTTGTGTAAAAGCCTCAATACTTATAAAAAGTTGCACTCCTGTTGATGCACAGAACACCTATGGTATCAATTTTGTGTTTACTGACTGATTAGCAACTGAAACAACAATGAACAGAGAAATATGGAGGTTAATCTAGTTTTATTTGGAGATAATACCCCTTGTTAGCTTAAGGTCGGACGCAATGACCTAGCTACCATCGGCACAGAGATATGCTCTGGATATTGTGTCTCTCTATGCTAGGAATTGTAAGCTAACATCCTGTTTCATAGTTTTATAGGAAACAACCAGTCTTGGATGTTTTAGCAAACATTACAGTATGCTAACTTTTAATTTGTATCAGGTTAACCAACTTTCTTGCTAACATGTGATTAACTATCAAAATGTTATTTCTAAAGTGCGTAAGTGCTGACACCTTGTGCCTGCAATTAGCAAATAGGTTTTAGAAATATTGTTTAATTTATACATTTGGCCAGGTTTATCTCCAGCTTTAATATTCATTTTCTTTTTATTAGCTACTTTAAACAGAAGTGGGGAACAAACAATAACTGTAATTTGCTAAGCCATTAGCTGTGGCACATAAAATGCTAACAAATGTTGCTAGAAAGCCTTTTTTTACCATGTGATGCCACTTCCTCATCTTCATATGCATGTTCCTCTGTAGCCACACTTCAGGTGGGAGCTCAATTGAAGAAGGAAGTTGTCTCCCAAAAGTTAACAGTACAAAATAAAAGGCACAGATTCAGTGCTGACATTAGCATTACCTACATCAGGTCTAAGGAATTACCTCAATTGGCATGACAGCTCTTGTTCCAGTAACTTGCCTAGAATCTAGAAAATAGAATAATAAATGGCAAATACTGTAGCTGCTAGCATGATGTAATGATGCAATGGGTCAAGCTATGGAGGTATAATGGAGGAAGAAACAAGATCATCAGGCTAACGGTAGCTTGTGGCTATCTGCCCAAAGCAGTCATTGACAAAGTAATTCACCTTTAATTTAGCAGATGTAATGCATAGCCAGCAATCTCTCTAAAGGTCTCTGTAACCTTTTAACACCAAGTTTGAAAATGTGGCTTTGTTTCTAACGTATTCAAATTAGGGCCTAAGTTAGCAACCTTGACGTAAGCCGCCAAAAATAGGTGTTTCGCAGTGAAACAGGACAGAGTTTGTTCTTAGCCATGCATGCTGAAATCCAAAGGTTTCAAAAATAACAGCAACACTTGCTGGTAACAGGAGATCACTGCTTCCAAATAAATGTCAAATTCTATCCAGTTGGCCAAAATTTCCTCAGCAGGCTACTCTACAGGCTTTTACAATGGAAATGTTATATTCTCTATCAAACAGGATAATATGGCAAATATGGCATACAGTTACTCATTTGGCGCTCATAAATTAAACAAATCTAGTCACTGCGCTGTTATTATCCTGAGACAGGTGTGCTTTCATGGGCTTATATATCATGTCTACACATACGAAACAGTCTTTACAGCATGACCTCACCCCAGTGTGTATCAAACCCCAACATGTGCAGAGGCACAAGGGCCCGTTCATCAACCCTTGCAGCTTTAATTCTATTTAAATCTAATTAAACCGATGTAATTGTTTTAAGAATAACTGTAAAGGCGGGAGGAAAAAGAATAAAAGTACCTTGTTATGCTCCCTGTTTTCCAGTTCAAAGGAAATTACTTTGATTTTGAATCCAACACAACCAATAAAACTAGGATTTACTAATATGCCATTTTTGTTGTTAGCTGGAGTCCCTGAACCTGAAGTGAGGCAAATCCTTCAAATGATTCAATAAAACCCTCGACTACACGCAGTGATAATCTCTCTTTAGGTTGAACGGACAGGAGACGAGTCAGGAGTTGTAGGAAGGTCCAATGGTGATGTAATTCCCAGGTATACGGGGTGAGGTGTGAAAAAGCTAATGAAATCACAGGGTCATGCTCTCTGACTTAAACAAGCTTTTCCACAGGAGCAATTAAATCTGTACTTAAGCAAGTACTTGAGCAGAGAAATCAGAATTCAGGCTTTTTCTAAGAATTTGGAGGTCAGCGTCTGACTTCTGACTGTTGATCTCAGAAATCTTACTCTAAAATCAGATTTCAAAGTTTTTTTTCTGAGAATACAGAGATTAAAATCAGAATTCTGTGAAAAATTCAGAATCCTTTGGCTAATGTCTGATCTTTTTTTTTTAAATCAACTTGAGATTAGAGTTAGAGTTTAAAAAAAATGCGTTGATATACCATCAGTCTGACAGGATATTTCTAACTTGAAATAAAACAAATTTACCAAGATTTTAGTTAGCTTTTTTTCCCTTAGAACTGATCTTGTTTTATCTTCTGCATATCTTTCTTGAGACTGGCAGTGTTGATGTTTTTTGGAGGATTTTAGCCGTTATGTAGCTTTATAATAGGTACAATTAAACCCATGTTGAAAAGATGTAGGGTAGATTAATTTTAGATTTATTTTTATTGCAAATTCAAAAGACAGAACTGCAAACAAACACAAAACTGGAAATTAAAGAGAGAGAAATAAAGAGAGAAAATATCCAGTTGGGACATAGGGATCTGAAAGGTTGTGCGTCTGCGTGTCATGTGAAGGGAGGTTTTCAGAGGGGGTCTCCAGACAAAGGGGAGAAAGTGGAGCATGTTACCGAGGCACAGATGCATAAAGAGTTAAGATGCGTGCCCCACATTTATCCATGAGTATTCATTTCTACACTGCTAATATAAATGATTCAGAGGCAGAACAACAATCCCTCAGCTCTTTGAAGGGTATACTGTACCTTAATGTAACTTCAGTTAGTGTGTTAACATTTTACTTTATTTGTATTTTTTAAATATAAAATAAAGACAATATTGCAAATGAGATCCAAAACGTAAACAAAGATGAAGAATAACCAAGAAACAATGGAAAGCAGAAATTCCATTAACAATGCATCAGCAGAGTTCAGCAGCAAGAGGTGCATTAACCCATACTCCTACATTTTTAATCTCCAGTACTGATATAATAATGAGTCTAAAGTGGCTGAGTAGTTTGTACTAAGATGAGTGAGCAAAATTAATTTATGTATTTGTTTGCTTGACAGGACAAAAAAGTACAAGAACCATGGGTTTATAAAGTAGACACAGTAGATGTCGTGTATAAAGGTTTCTAGCTGTGGCAAATTTGCAGTCCGTGTCCTGCAAAACAAACAAAAAAAAGCAAGAGAATGAGTGAAGTGTTTTTACACCACATTCATACACTGCTGGCGGCTGTGCAAAGCACCATCAGTATTGGCTAATGGTATTCACACATCTCTGGTACAGCCACCGGGGGCCATTTGGGGTTAAGTGTTTTGCTGAGGACACTTCAGCATGTGGACAACAGGACCCGGGATCAAACCACCAATCTGCTAATTGAGAGCCACAAAAACATAACAGGTCCTGAGGAAGCAACATAAGAGAAGAGAAGAGAAGAGAAGGCAGCAAAACAAAAGAGAAAAAAGCAGAAGTGGATGCAAAATAAAATCAGATAAGGGGGCAAAGGAAAAAACAGGCAAGGAACTAAAACATAAACAGATGAGGGAGCAAAAAACATTGTGAGAAAAACAAAAGAGGGAGCAAAATAAGAACAAAAGAGGGGACAAATAAACAGGAAAAGGGTGAAAATTACTACTAATGCTATGAGCACTATTGATAATGATAATTTTATATAAATAGCACCTTTAAAAATATGTATATATATACATTAGAAGAAAAACAGAAGAAATCAAGAATAAACTAAATAACAGAAGAAGTCAACAACAAAACCCTAACCTCAACAAACTACACTATACAAACTACATTAAAGATCCTATAAGAAGTTTTTTCACATTCATTAATAGTCTGCAATCCATATTGGTGCCTTTTGAGGCAACTGATACTGTAAAGTGGAGGAGCGCTGATGGAAAAAGGTTTGGTCACCCTTTGATTCTAGACTTCAGAACAGCGGAGAGAACGCTGCCTGAGGATCTAAGGCTCATTGGGAAGTCCACGTTTCAGTTATACAGCTCCGAACCAAGCTTGTAAGGCTTAAAATGTGATCAATACAATTTTAAAACCAATTCTACAACAAATGGGAGCAAATGTAGGGAGGTTTAAACAAGGGTGATGTGATGTTGTCTGTTGTGAAGCCGTGATGTGGCATTCTGGACCAGTTGGAGGCAAGAGAGAGCTTTATATCTGATAAGAGAGAGTTACAGTAATCAAGTGACACTGTTTATGACTTTATGTCAGAGTTTATATTCCCTGATGTTGAACTTTGTTGTATTTTGTTAACAGAACTCCCTTTCATCCAATTTGTGTTTTTCAGTGGCCTCTGCTATCAAGACTTCTGCCCACCCACCGGATACAACTGGAGAGATTTCCTGTTTTCTGTCTCTCGCTGATCACATTCTGATTCATTTGTACTTGACAGCTCATGCCAAGACTCCCACCAGGGCTTCAAAAACAAAAGTGGGCTAGAAAAAATAGTGGGGCCTGGTTTGATGGAGGCTGTCCTGCAGATGCTCTCACTGCTGAAACAGGATACAGCAAGCCAGAGAGTCCCAGCGCGGGAAATAAAAACAAACTCTGTGTCCTGTTGAAGCAGAGTGCACTATCATCAGAAATTTTCTCCAATTTTCTTGTCAAAAAACTTCCCCAAACATAACATGTGCCTCTATTTTCTGATTTTCTTGAAATTAATTGAAATGGATGGTGTTAAATGTGTGTATGAGGACAGGATGAGCTTTGGCTGAATTTATGTTAAGTGACTTCATTGCTAACGGTTGAGATGTGTAGGTCATAAAGCATGGTTAGAGAGATAGTAGAGGCATTTTGAAAATATCTATAGTATCAATATTTTATAGAATTCACAGGGGTCATATAAAGCACTGAAATGCAAGTATGTGTGTGCTTCTGGATGCCGACAAGAGAACATTTCTGATAAACACCCAGAGTGATTTAAACTGCTTACTTTAGGTGAACACTGTGCATATTTCTGCTGGCACTTTTTGAGATGGTTTGGTTTAATCCATTCAAATTGTATCCTGCTATTGCTATTTGTAGTGTGTCATATCTTCAATAAATATGATCCATGTTTCTAAATAAATCTTAAAAATGCTATGGAATTTCTGTCGTGGTGTTCCTCTCAAAAGTGCCTACAATGAAGCCTTTTCTATTGCTTTATAATCACTTGTGATTGCTGAGGTTGACCATGTTTACTGTAGTTCCATTGAAACTTTAAGCTCAGGATCTAAAGTCAATTGATTAGTTTACTTGAGGTGAACAAAGCTTGTTTTCACATTGTAAACGGGTTAATTTATCTTGTTATCCTCATAAAACAAAGGAGCAATCCCCTCTAAGTAATAAGACCATTTAACAGTCTTATACGGTCAACGTGAAGCAAAAGTGGCCTTTGAGGACAAGAAGTTCCTGTGATGCATGGTCAGTATGATTATCATTTTTACCATCAAAAACATACCAATATAGAATCTTTTGGACACAAAAAAAAACTAACAAAAAAAAAACAAAAAACTTTTTAGTCTTTGTCTCCAAATTTGTGTGTTTTGGGCGGTTGCTCATTAAAAAAAACACATTTGTCTTTAGTACATCTATTTTGTGCCATAGCAAAGCATAGCAGTGCAATTTGGCGCCCTCTGTTGAAGCCCTTTTGTCAACAAAAACAAATCGTTTAGCTATTATACACAAGTAATTATAATCTAATTTAGACACACTTATGAGTTTAATATTAGATATCTATCAAATCTGTTGTGCTAAATGCTGCCAAATACCACACCTTTGGACAAAATTTTGGGTAAAATCATGACATTGGCATTGGCTGAATAGTAAGGCTGAGATAGATAGATACACTCACCGGCCACTTTATTAGGTACACCATGCTAGTAACGGGTTGGACCCCCTTTTGCCTTCAGAACTGCCTCAATTCTTCGTGGCATAGATTCAACAAGGTGCTGGAAGCATTCCTCAGAGAGCTTGGTCCATATTGACATGACGGCATCACACAGTTGCCGCAGATTTGTCGGCTGCACATCCATGATGCAAATCTCCCGTTCCACCACATTCCAAAGATGCTCTATTGGATTGAGATCTGGTGACTGTGGAGGCCATTTGAGTACAGTGAACTCATTGTCATGTTCAAGAAACCAGTCTGAGATGATTCCAGCTTTATGACATGGCGCATTATCCTGCTGAAAGTAGCCATCAGAAGTTGGGTACATTGTGGTCATAAAGGGATGGACATGGTCAGCAACAATACTCAGGTAGGCTGTGGCGTTGCAACGATGCTCAATTGATACCAAGGGGCCCAAAGAGTGCCAAGAAAATATTCCCCACACCATGACACCACCACCACCAGCCTGAACCGTTGATACAAGGCAGGATGGATCCATGCTTTCATGTTGTTGACGCCAAATTCTGACCCTACCATCCAAATGTCGCAGCAGAAATCGAGACTCATCAGACCAGGCAACGTTTTTCCAATCTTCTAGTGTCCAATTTCGATGAGCTTGTGCAAATTGTAGCCTCAGTTTCCTGTTCTTAGCTGAAAGGAGTGGCACCCGGCGTGGTCTTCTGCTGCTGTAGCCCATCTGCCTCAAAGTTCGACGTACTGTGTGTTCAGAGATGCTCTTCTGCCTACCTTGGTTGTAACGGGTGGTTATTTGAGTCACTGTTGCCTTTTTATCAGCTCGAACCGGTCTGGCCATTCTCCTCTGACCTCTGGCATCAACAAGGCATTTCCGCCCACAAAACTGCCGCTCACTGGATATTTTTTCTTTTTCGGACCATTCTCTGTAAACCCTAGAGATGGTTGTGTGTGAAAATCCCAGTAGATCAGCAGTTTCTGAAATACTCAGACCAGCCCTTCTGGCACCAACAACCATGCCACGTTCAAAGTAACTCAAATCACCTTTCTTCCCCATACTGATGCTCGGTTTGAACTGCAGGAGATTGTCTTGACCATGTCTACATGCCTAAATGCACTAAGTTGCCGCCATGTGATTGGCTGATTAGAAATTAAGTGTTAACGAGCAGTTGGACAGGTGTACCTAATAAAGTGGCCAGTGAGTGTAGATAGATAGATAGATAGATAGATAGATAGATAGATAGATAGATAGATAGATAGATAAAATACCACATATGAGTATTGCTGTTACAAATGTAACTTTGAGCTAATACTTCATGGAGTTAACATTGTGCTCACAGTTCAATATCAGACCCAGACCTCACTAAATTAAACATAAGTTATATGGGATTAATTATTCAGCTCTGTCATTTGGTTTGAATGGATTTGCATTGGAGAGTGCTTTTTTACACTCTGACACCACCTGGTGGTTTCACTGTTTTGAAGAGTCAGCATTGGTAAGTGCAAAAGAGGTTTAAAAAATGGCAGTTTTCTTCTGTAAACACAGCCTCACTTTTCATTTAAGAGCTCAACAGATGCTCAGATTCGCAAAGTTTGGAGCTCTTTCTTTTGACTTTGGTGTGTTTTCAATCTTTCAATGGAAAGGGGGGGGGGACAACAGAGCTGTAAATAAAAGGTGCTGATAACAAAACTCAAAGACTCCAGTTTTACAGCAAGTACCGTTTTGGCGTCATTAAAATTTGCATAATATCTTGGGAGAGATGGAATAAAGCCTAACTTAAAAAACAAAGTCATGGTCATCGGTAAACCAGAAAAACAAAACAAAATGAACTAATCAATGTTAATGAAGAAATGTGTGGTTTGAAGCTCGACCACTATCAACTCCAACGTTTACTTTTTTAGAGGAACCTCTCGTTTGCCTCAGAGCAGTGGATTAAACAGAGTGGCGACAACTTCAGATCTCGCTGCCAGAGCGGTCACATGTTTTTTTCCTTTTGTTTGTTTATTTTTTACTTTTTTGGATGGTTTGTAGAGTCACTTGGGAAACCCATTTTGCGAAATGTTGACTGAACAAATATACGGACAATTACAGTTGTAACTTCTACATACACCGTGCACATGGAGAAAAAGGTTGTAGTTTTAACAACCTCAGCAGCTTACTGGGCCAATTTCAGATTACCTTAAAGCACCTGTGTACAATCACCTGTGTGTCCCAGTGTCCTTTGAGCTGGACCAGCTGCTCCGATCAGAAAAACAATTGACTTAACTCTATGTGTTCAAGATAACTCTCTGGTAGACCCAGGGATGCTGAGGAACTTTGAACCATTTCTCCTTCGTTTTTGTCTCTATCTTATGGCTTTTTAGCAGGGGTCATGGTCTGCTCCAGGTTTTCTGCCTTCTTAGTGAGAGGGTTTCTTCTGTGCCACTCTAACTTTCTAAATGCTGAAAGGTGCTCTGCTTATGGTACATTAAGATAAGACTGAGACTTATGATATAAGATTAGAATGAATCTTATCCTACAGTGATGTTGGCATGACATAGAACTGATTTATAACTCCACTTGCATACAGATATGTGAATAAGGATGTCAGCTGCATAAAAATAACATTTAATTCAGTCAAGTAATATGAAGATTTTACATAAATTTCCCACTTTACTCTTATTTTTCTAAATTATAATTGTGCAGTTACTTAGAAAGTGATTTACCAAACAATTTTGTATCAGCACACCTATTCCAGCTAACAACAAGCCTCCAAAATAGGCAACAAAATGTACAGAGACCAGGCTGTGAACCAATTCCAGTGAAAAACAGCCTGAGGGAAAACCAGGAAAACTCAGCAGGATTGATATTTTTTAGCTCGGATATAAGAATCCATCACTGCTTTTATCAACATTCAGTCATATCAGCATGAATAAAACCATGAAATCCTGCGGCATCCCTAAAAAGACTTTTTTTTTCCTTCACACAATACTGTTAATAAATCAAACACGATTAAAAGGTCTTTCTTTCTTTTTTTCTTTCTTTTTATGTTTTTGCTGAGTGGCAGAAGACACAGGATCAGGATCATTCATGTAACTCAGAAATTGCTCTGATAAAAATCAATTCAAATCAAATTTTATTTATATAGCACCAATTTATGGAGCCTGATCTGGCTCCATACCAATTCACAACAGTCTTCATCTCAAGACGCTTTTCAAGGAACAAGAGCAGGTCTAGACCACGCTCATTGTTTGATGATCAAGAACCAACCTAAGATGGGTTTTGGCCCATCTCAACTAACATGAGTAGCAGTGGCAAGGAAAAACTTCCTTTTAACAGGCAGAAACCTTGGGCAGGACCAGCCTCATGTTAGACAGCCACCATGCCGCTGCTGGGTTGGGGAGGAATGTGGAGAGAAGAGGGTAGAGGGGAGAGGACAGGGGGAGAGTGGGGGAGAAGAAACGTGGAGGGCCGTCCATCGGCGGGACCTTCCTCATTAACAGCCTAGGAGTGGACTTATCCTGGTTCTGGACGAGGCTGTACTGCTACACTCGGACCTGAGACAGAAAAACCAACAAATTATAAAATCTGAAGTCTGCAGAAATTATTTTTCCAGGGGAAGGTTTCACATCTTTGAAATAAATTAATGTTAAAGAAAATTAAAATTAAAAAAGACAAATTCATAAACATATTTCTGTAATTAAAATCATTCAGACTATAAAAGTTTTGTACGTTGTTTTGAGGGCATGCTAATGGCCTATCTATGTTGTCAGTGTGGTTTCCTACTTACACAGCGAGGCTTGGAACGGGACATGGGTGTTGCCGCGACCCTCTTCAAGATCGGCCTGGGACAGGACCAGTGGAAGCTTTGCACAAGGACCGAGGTCCGTTCTTTCTTTCTTTTTTCTTTCTTTTTTCTTTTTTCTTTTTTTCTTTCTTTTTTCTTTCTTTCTTTTTTCTTTCTTTTTTCTTTTTTTTCTTTTTTTCTTTCTTTCTTGTTTTTTCTTTTTTTTCTTTTTTTCTTTTTTCTTTCTTTTTTCTTTCTTTTTCTTTCTTTCTTTTTTCTTTCTTTCTTTTTTTCTTTCTTTCTTTCTTTTTTTTTTCTTTCTTTCTTTTTTTCCTTCTTTCTTTTTTCTTTCTTTTTTCTTTTTTTCTTTCTTTTTTCTTTTTATCTTTTTTTTCTTTCTTTTTCTTTTTTCTTTCTTTCTTTTTTTTCTTTCTTTTTTTCTTTCTTTTTTCTTTCTTTTTTCTTTTTTTCTTTGAGAGACAGGAGGAGAGGGAAAGAAAGAGGGAGAGACAGAAGAGGAGTGAGAGTGACTTACCTGGTTGAGCTTGGGGGAGGAGAAACGTGGAGGGCCGAACATCGGTGACCTTCCTCAGTAACAGCCGAGGAGTGGACTTATCCTGGTTCTGGACGAGGCTGTACTGCTACACTCGGACCTGAGACAGAAAAACCAACAAATTATAAAATCTGAAGTCTGCAGAAATTATTTTTCCAGGGGAAGGTTTCACATCTTTGAAATAAATTAATGTTAAAGAAAATTAAAATTAAAAAAGACAAATTCATAAACATATTTCTGTAATTAAAATCATTCAGACTATAAAAGTTTTGTACGTTGTTTTGAGGGCATGCTAATGGCCTATCTATGTTGTCAGTGTGGTTTCCTACTTACACAGCGAGGCTTGGAACGGGACATGGGTGTTGCCGCGACCCTCTTCAAGATCGGCCTGGGACAGGACCAGTGGAAGCTTTGCACAAGGACCGAGGTCCGTTCTTTCTTTCTTTTTTCTTTTTTTCTTTCTTTTTTTTCTTTTTTCTTTCTTTCTTTTTTCTTTCTTTTCTTTTTTTCTTTCTTTTTTTTTTTCTTTCTTTTTTATTTTTCCTTTCTTTCTTGTTTTTTCTTTTTTCTTTCTTTCTTTTTTTTCTTTTTTTCTTTCTTTTTTCTTTTTTTCTTTCTTTTTTCTTTCTTTTTTTCTTTGAGAGACAGGAGGAGAGGGAGAGAAAGAGGGAGAGACAGAAGAGGAGTGAGAGTGACTTACCTGGTTGAGCTTGGGGGAGGAGAAACGTGAGGGGCTGAACATCGGTGGGACCTTCCTCAGTAACAGCCGAGGAGTGGACTTATCCTGGTTCTGGACGAGGCTGTACTGCTACACTCGGACCTGAGACAGAAAAACCAACAAATTATAAAATCTGAAGTCTCCAGAAATTATTTTTCAAGGGGAAGGTTTCACATCTTTGAAATAAATTAATGTTAAAGAAAATTAAAATTAAAAAAGACAAATTCATAAACATATTTCTGTAATTAAAATCATTCAGACTATAAAAGTTTTGTACGTTGTTTTGAGGGCATGCTAATGGCCTATCTATGTTGTCAGTGTGGTTTCCTACTTACACAGCGAGGCTTGGAACGGGACATGGGTGTTGCCGCGACCCTCTTCAAGATCAGCCTGGGACAGGACCAGTGGAAGCTTTGCATAAGGACCGAGGTCCATTCTTTTGTTTTTTCTTTTTTCTTTCTTTTTTCTTTCTTTCTTTTTTCTTTCTTTTTTCTTTTTTTCTTTCTTTTTTCTTTCTTTCTTGTTTTTTCTTTTTTCTTTCTTTTTTTCTTTCTTTTTTCTTTTTTCTTTCTTTTTTCTTTCTTTCTTTTTTCTTTTTTCTTTCTTTTTTCTTTTTTTCTCTTTTTTTCTTTCTTTCTTGTTTTTTCTTTTTTCTTTCTTTTCTTTCTTTCTTTTTTCTTTCTTTTTTCCTTCTTTTTTCTTTTTTTCTTTTTTCTTTCTTTTTTCTTTTTATCTTTTTTTTCTTTCTTTCTTTTTTCTTTTTTCTTTTTTTCTCTTTCTTTTTTCTTTCTTTCTTTTTTCTTTCTTTCTTTTTTCTTTTTTTCTTTCTTTTTTCCTTTTTCTTTTTTCTTTCTTTCTTTCTTTTTTCTTTTTTCTTTCTTTTTTCTTTTTTCTTTTTTTTTTCTTTCTTTTTTCTTTTTTTCTTTGAGAGACAGGAGGAGAGGGAAAGAAAGAGGGAGAGACAGAAGAGGAGTGAGAGTGACTTACCTGGTTGAGCTTGGGGGAGGAGAAACGTGGAGGGCCGAACATCGGTGGGACCTTCCTCAGTAACAGCCGAGGAGTGGACTTATCCTGGTTCTGGACGAGGCTGTACTGCTACACTCGGACCTGAGACAGAAAAACCAACAAATTATAAAATCTGAAGTCTGCAGAAATTATTTTTCCAGGGGAAGGTTTCACATCTTTGAAATAAATTAATGTTAAAGAAAATTAAAATTAAAAAAGACAAATTCATAAACATATTTCTGTAATTAAAATCATTCAGACTATAAAAGTTTTGTACGTTGTTTTGAGGGCATGCTAATGGCCAATCTATGTTGTCAGTGTGGTTTCCTACTTACACAGCTTGGCTTGGAACGGGACATGGGTGTTGCCACGACCCTCTTCAAGATCGGCTTGGGACAGGACCAGTGGAAGCTGTGCACAAGGACCAAGTCCGTGTGAAGCGTCGGCTGGTCTGAAGACAGAAACAACACAGACATTTAAATTAAACAAGCTGAAACATTTGACTGTGTGGTCAAGGTCATGAAGGAAGCATCTGTAACATCAGTATCATCAAGAAGAGACAGTCAATACATTTTAATTTGAATTTAGTCTCTAATCAGCAGGTTAATTGTGCAATAGAAATAGATTAACATCAATGCAACACCCACTATTAAGAATTTATATTTTTGGTATGTCTATTTCAGTCATTTTATTTTATTGGGAAAAAGACTTTTTCAGGATTAAATAAGAAAATCCTCTGTTTTCAGTTTGATAAAAAACTGACTTCCACAAAAGTACAGTGGTTCGATAACACTTAGTGAATTTTTCCCATAATTGAAATTTTAAATATTGTGGTAGAAAAACACACACACTTGATCCATGAAAACATGAAAACATATTTCAGTGGAACATTATCGAACTCTTCATTTTAAAGGCTGTACATAAGACATTACTTTTAACTTAATTTTGTCTGTTTTGTAACTTTTTAAATAGGTTCAAATGTAATTCATAGGATTTTTTTGGTTACCTAGGCCTATTAGAGCATTTATAAATAGGTCTAACTATTATGTCTTTTTAGTTTATTTTGTCGAATTTTATGATGACTGTCATTCTTTAAAGTTATGAAGGTGTCCCTTATTTTAACACCACATTTCACTCCTTTAATGTGCCTCTTTCGCTGTAATACGTGTGAAAATTGCTTGTGTTTATAGTTTTCACCTGATAGCATTGGTTAGTATAAGGAGAAACTGTCAAATAAGTTTCAGACTGACGGCTTTAAATAGCCCAGAAGACATAAAAAATCTCTTAGAGAGATTTCGCACAATAACATGAGCTTTTCTGCTCTTAAGCACAAAGAGTCTTTGACATGGTGGGCAGGACTTTCATGTGATGTCAATGCATCACTTTTAAGCTAACCATTCGAACGTCTCGACAGTAACACACACAAAAAAAACGCCTATGTTCACTTATTTTCGGTTAATTTTGATAATGCCTGTCACATTAAAGTCATAAACACTGTAAATATCCATGCACACATTTAATTCTTGTCGATGCATCACGAAAGTCTCGACAGTAACACAAGTTTGTATGATAATATTATCATGAAATCTTACGGTCTCCATGTCGTAGATGTTGTCCTCTTTGTTCAGGTGTTTCTCGAAGGTGTTTGCCGGAGTCCTTAGTCGTCTGGTGAGGTTTTATTTATGATGAAGCCGTCAAAAGTTGTAAGTTCGTGAGCCACTTAAGTTTTCCGTGCTGTTCTCTTCAGATTTGATCCTCAGAAATGACCGCTCTCTCTGGCTTGTAATGATTTAAAGTTTTTACATCGTCACAGGTTACCATGGAGATTTAAAATGCTGTTTACTTTAGAAAAACCCTTACACTGGTAGGTTATATCTAAAAGTTTAATATTATCTTTGATTTCCTTCATCTCAATGGAATATAAATATCTCTTGAAGTAAAGTAGAGGTTATTTTTCGTCAACTAGTTTAAGAGTATAAAAAGCATTTTAATTTAAAAACCTTCCTTATTTCGGTACAAAACGACCCCTTTTTGAAAACTATAGCTTAGTAGGCCTATGTCTCATAGGTAACCCAACAAAAACTGGAAACTTCGTCTCTCATTATAATTTCCACTGAAGCCTTTACTTCAATTAAATTCAGTCGATTTTCTTTAGAAGGCTACTAAAAATAGTCTATATATACTCCTATCATATCAATATTTTAGAGCAGTAACTACACCTGTAAAGCACTTTGTCCCCCTGTTTAAAAAAAACAAAAAAAAACTAAAGTTGATCATTGTTATTTGACAAACCCCATTATAATGCATCAAAAAGGCCATAAAGATATCGAATTTTGAACTTTAAAAAAGCTCTGAGCCAAAATACCTTTTCACTTGAGTAAAAAAAAGCCTATTTTCATGTGATGGTACTTAATACTAATTCACACATAGGGTGAAGTCATTACATGCTTTTATTAACTTGAAAAATCTTTCTAAGTCAGCATAAATAATAAAAAAGATGTTTGGCTGAAAAAGAGATTTAACAGAATGTGAAATATAGGCTGATCTAAAAATTCTTCAACAGGAACCAGAGGGTGACAAGATACATCCTTGTTTCACACAGCCCATGACTTCGATATATTTAGATTCTGAGGTAAGAAAAAAAGAGATAAAAAATAACGAATGCATCTCTGTTTTTGGGTTTGAATGCAGGCAAAATGACTGTGTTAGTTATTTGGTATCACTACTTTTACAGCTGTGGTTCTTTAATCTGATGACAGCTCTGGATGGTAATTTACGGAGCCAACTTTTACGAATCATTCATCAAATCTGATATCTGCAAAACGAAATAAGGAAAAATCGCGAAAATACCGAGGGCCTTTTGGCTTCAAATCTGTAAACAGGTAGGAGGCGGAACCAAATTGTCCACAGTATATACAGTCTATGGTTTCAACATAGTAAAACAGACTGGCTCTCACTCCATACCAGTAGGTGGCGATAATACTTTGTTGTCTACCAACCTCCCAAAACTCAGAAGAAGACGTCATTGGTGTAGCGGCTACTAACAGGAAGAAAACATAAAAAGCTGTTATCTAAGCAGAGACATCTCTGGTTAGCTTAGCAACCAATGTAGCGTTTGTACAGTGATGAAACGCTCCTCCGAGTCGGATATAAACTGCTGTTTTACTATGCTGTGTCCGGAGTAGTACACTGTATCGACCGAGACTCACAGGACCACCGTTGTCCTCGACTTTCCTCCGGGCCAGGTGTCGAAACAAGGTAGGTTAGCCCAGCAGCGGTGTATTCTCAGCTTAGCAGGCATGCTAACTCCTAAAGAGGCACTCGAGTTCAGAATAGGCTGTTTTAGCAATCCACCGCGATTTCGACTTTTATCAGTCGATTGAGTATTTAAGTTTTACGAATGTAACAACAAGTTCATAAGAGTAAACAGTGTTGCTGACGGACGCAGGAGGAGGCACAACAACAGCGACTCAATATTCCTGCGAAACCCCAGCTGGAGATCATGTTTACTTGTGTGTTCAACATAGTCAACAACATTGAAACTAAGATATATCTGCTGTGGTAAATATCGGGCCGATTGTGCTCAACATTGTTTTAGTATTTGATCCTAACGGGGGCGATTTCATGCCCTGGTTTCAATGGATACCCTATGAACATGTGTACGGTGTTATCACTGACATCAATTATTTTCTGTGGAGCTGAACACTTAAAGGGAGATCAGCCTATATAGGTCAACTATAAGGGACCCATGAGGGATACATGTAAGGTACAGCATAGGTATGGGTCTCAGAAGGGCTATTTATGGGCTGGATCAAAGGTCAAATTAACATGGAGGCTAACTGTGGCATAGGTAGACATGGGTTTGAAGTTGGGGACACTTTTAGAACCCCTATGGTCCTCCAGCATAGACCTTCCATGGGGAGCCATGGAGGCTGTCCAAGGTGGAGGACTATATGGGTATTGTCTGGGTTATGAGGGCTTCAGCTGGTTATCAGGTGTTGGTAAGAGGAATGTTTGTATGGGTGGATCACTTAGAACAGTGTTTTTCAACCCTTTTTGAGCCATGGTACATTTTTTTATGGAAAAAAAAATCACGAGGCACACCACCAACCAAAAATGTGACTAAATGACACTTGGTAGTCCCAGATACAGGTTTATACAATGACAATATAGTCTCTCACTTTATTCATACTCACCCATTGTGAAACCTGGGGCTGTAGATTGTAGAAGTGCGTATTATTTTTATTAGTAATTCAACAAAAAATAGACCAATAAAGTGGAATTGGATAATTTCTCAGGGTACACCTGATTATCTGTCATGGCGCACTAAAGTGTCACGGCATACTGGTTGAAAAACACTGACTTAGACTACACACTAGGGTGCTGCATGGGTCCTGACTGGGACTGCGATTAAAGTGTAAAGAGCAACAAATAGATTGAATTTCTAAAGCCAATGTAGATTTCATATCTGTATGCATGTTTATAGGCTGACAGTGCAACATTAGTATGTAATGATGTACATGACTGAAAGTTTTTTGTTGTATTCATCCATTTCCTCCCAGGGTAAGAGGACAGTATCGTTCCATTTGGGTAGCAGATTTTGATCACGTCAGGATACACAAAGGAGTACTTTATGCCAGCCTCACACGGCTCCCTTCAAGCGTTTGCCGACTCCTTGGTCTTGGTAGAAAGAGGAGTCTTTAATCCTGGTCTCATTCCTTGCGGCATTCGCAATCCTTCGCTTGTCAGTGTATGTGTGTTGTCAAAATTTATGGTTCTTCTATTCCATACGGTTTAAAACAATCCAACACCTTTTAATTTTATGGTAATCATTTTGAAAAGCCCTAAAGCTTTTGAAAAGTAATAGACCCACATAAAAGACCATGGTCACATTTTCAGCCAACGGCAAATAGAAGTGAGAGAGCAAGCAGCAGTGGTTAGTCAACAAAGAGAGAGAGAGTACCAGTGAAGTAAAACACAGTACTCAATGTAGGTTAGAAATGAAGTTTTAATGCTTTTGGTTCAGAATAGGTATCAGGTTTTGGTTTCTACTTCTTCAAATTCTGTTAGTGTGACGAGCCGTTAAAGTTTCCAAATAGACGATGGAAGACTGTTTGAGATTTGTATGTTTTTTTATGTGCTGTATGCCTAAACTCTATAGTGCTGGTTTGGTTTGTTTTCATTGGAGCAAGTAGGTGAACAGCTCAAATGTATACTGTACTGTAACTTATATGAGCAATAGGTAAGACCCAACTGGGACTCATCAATGATCCATGTTAGCAAACGTCTGTTGGCCTCAAGTGGGAAAAATGGGGGTTAACCACATAGGGTGCGCATCAAAGACCCTTCATGAGCTCGATGGAAACTTGATAATAGAATCATCTTCTGTGCAATTAAGTCTTTGTGTCCTTTCCTGCTGATCTGTCTGAAACACTGGGGATTGTGTGTTATCTCTTAAATGGGTGCTCAGAGTCACTGATACCAACTTACCAGACCTGTTTGTTGGTCTCCTCAGGTGTGAATGAGTGACGTGGTGCCTCCCACAGCTCTCAGTGAAGTCCAGCTCCGCTTCCTCTGCCACGATGACATAGAAAGTGTCAAGCTGCTCTGTGGGGATTGGTTTCCAATCGAGTAAGAATCACATATGTTCATGTCTAAAGCACAAACTAATGTCTGTAACTCGTTAAGTTAAGACGATATTTGATTTTCATAAAAGGCACAAACAAAAATATTTAAAAAATGTGTTCATGCAATATTTTTTTTTTACTATGTTTGATTGTGAATGTGTGAATATCGTTCCAATTTCATCAAATCATATTTGTAGCATTTTCCGACATATCCACTTAAAAAATCAAAGTATTGTTCTTTGAATTGCACTGATAAACACTTAAGCAACCCAGACTAGGTAATAACAGCGTGACACAAATTGCGCATATTCACAATGATTTCAGCTGACTTGTAATGAAAGTGTGCATTAGCTGTGGTTCACAGCTGATTTAAGTGTATGATAAATACAGTGATTATGATATTTGGCGGCCACAAAGGCCATGTTAGCGTTGAACTTTGGGTTAAAAATATCTTGGCAGGAACACTCTTCAGCCCACAGAGAAAGATATTTAAAAAAACTCTATTTTTTGTTGTTGCCAGTTTAATCAAATGGTTTTAAGGGTATATTATTTAACATTTTAATTCTACTGACCCCTGAACCTGGGCATGTTACTATGGAATAACAGTATGTAAACAAATTAACAATAACTTTATAGTTCAATTTTGTATTATTGGAAATATCTAACATGTATCTCCTAAATATACATCAATATAGTAAATGTACACATGTTTTTATTTGAGAGTATGTATCTTTATTTACTCCTGTACATCCCCTTACAATCTTGAATACAACATCTCAAATCCTTATCCCTCTGCAGGTACCCGGACTCATGGTATCAGGACATAACATCCAACAAGAAGTTCTTCTCCCTTGCTGCAACCTTTCGAGGAGGCATCGTGGGAATGATTGTGGCCGAGATCAAAGGCCGGACCAAAGTACACAAAGAGGTACCATCTTATCCTTGTTGTGTATTACCGCAGAGCCTTTATGGAGTAGATTCTTTGAAGTCAATGAGGCTGTTGTAGGTTCAGTTTATCCTCCGTCACTCAGCTGCCTTTAGGAAACGTTTAAGCGGAACACTTGGAGGTCTGTTTTTAGTCCGCTAATTATAGATGAATCAGATCCTCCTTTGGCTGAATTTGACACTGTCATTACAACATAAAATAATGGGATAACTGGGTAATGAGAAAGAAACTGTTAAAAGGTCTTGGACCAGTTTACTAGTCCCTTTACTAATGCGTCTTTGACTGAATATGCAACATGAGGGAGAGTGGCTTTTATCTAATGAAAAAAGTGGCACAAAGAGGTGGCAGAAGCTTGCAGGAAAAGGTCCGCGGTATATTATGAGAAACCCACTCCTCTCACTTTCAGCCACTGTTTTTAGAAGTTGTCTGTTTAGTAGATGAAACTTCTGATTTCATATCTGATTTTCCTAGACAAATTTTTGCTTTGTACAATCTTCCCCCCCTGTGAAGGTTGTTTGCCTAGGCAAATAAGTCATGTGTTGTCCTCTGCAGGATTATGAAGAGCATGATCAGAGTTCAACCAAATTACCAGAGAGAGTAATTTTTATTGTATCAGTGCTGAGCAAAGTGCGGGTTTTCTGTTAAAATCTATTGTAGATGCTAAAATCATCTCATTAATGTTTATAAGGAAGGTTGATCTGATTATTTTCTCTCTTGTACTTTTGTGTTAGGATGGAGACATCCTGGCTTCCAGTTTCCCTGTGGATACACAGGTAGCCTACATCCTCAGCCTGGGAGTGGTCAAAGAGTTCAGGAAACACGGCATAGGTACTGGTCTACACATGCACACGCATACACACACACACACACACACACACACACAGAGATAAAGACAAAGACCAACGTAGCTTTAGGGTGTTCTGAAAGAAAACAATCAGAGAGACTAAATGTGATTAAAAAAAATGGGTGCATGAAAGTGTTCTAAATTAAAACAGGGACTAGATGTACTTTGGCCCATTTTTAGACAAAGGAGCTGTGGTGGTTGTGACTTATCGCTCATTTATTGAAATGAGGTACCCATGGTATCTTAAAACTTGCTCTCACCAAATTTCCACCATCAAAGTAAAACATTCTAAGAGCTCAAAAATAATCAAAATCCGTCAGTGATGCGTCAGTGTATGGACTGCATATATATTCTACTTTTAGCCACTTTCACTTAATTTTAATGGAACTAATTTGGTAAAATTGATATGAACCAATGATATAATATGAGTTTCTTTAAAACAGTAAGATGCAGCTGTCCTGTCATCACCAACACTGAATCAGCTCTTCCTTCACTCACTCATATATCAAACAGGATCGTATATATTAACTGATTATTGATACAGTAGTATTTTACACTACATTGTTTCAAGAGGATAGAATAAAATCTTATTATTCATGAGCTGAAGAAGAACTTTTAAACAAACCTTTTCTGTGGACTCTGGATTGGCTGAGCTCTCTCTCTTTTTCTCCCCGCAGGCTCTCTACTGCTGGACAGTTTGAAAGAGCACATCTCTACTACAGCCCAGGACCACTGCAAAGCAATTTACCTGCATGTTCTCACCACCAACAACACTGCCATCCACTTCTATGAGAATAGAGACTTCAGGCAGCACCACTACCTTCCCTACTACTACTCCATACGAGGCGTCCTCAAAGACGGATTCACATATGTGCTCTACATCAATGGAGGTCACCCACCCTGGACAATATTATATCCTTTTGTGGAAATAGAAAAGCACAAAAAAACAGTCTGGGGTCTGAGTTGCAGCAGAACTTGGGGCAGGTCCAAGGTTTGCCTGAGCCAGCTCTAACTATAAGTTTACCAGAAAGTAGGGATGCTCTGATACAACTTTTTTTTACTTCTGATACGATACTGATATTGTAGCCTTCAGTAATGGCCGATACTGATATTGAACCGATATTGGCACAAAGTTGTGCAAGGCAAGTTTTGCACTCAACTTCAACGTCTTTTTCGGACATAAACAAAAATACTGCTACACAGTCGACATCACTTCTACTCCTTGCTACTCTGTTAGTACCTTGTTACACACTGTTGTTGTGATCACGTGGATTCTGCCTGCTGGATCTGGGTGCTGCGAGATAGAGGTGCTGGAGCGGAGTCTGGAATGGATTGCTTGTATCAGAGTGCTTATACCGGAGATTTAAGATGCAGGCCGATGTAACCCGATATTGTTTTTTTTGCTGATTTCAGACCAATATCTAAGGAGCCCGGGAGGTGACATTAACATTTAATTTTTTAATTCACATGTGCGATTTAGTATCTCACACTTGCGTTTTATACGCGTCTAGTACGTGCGTTTTATTTTTATCCTGCGCATGCCTTACTGTAAATAATCCTCTGCGCGCCTTATTGCGAGAGAGGAAGGACAGTGTCATGGACAGAGAGCATATTATTATCATTTTCTTTCATTTAGGTATGACTCACAAAGAGCTACTTTATAACTTAGCCACATTTGTTTTGAGTAGGAGACACCTTATCAGGATCCTTAAAGCACAGCGACTTTGTCGTCAGCGAGATTTGGACTAGCAGGAAGTGACTTTGTTTATTAACGAACAGTTAAATCGCGCCTGCGATATAATAAAACGCATGTGCAAGATACCAAATCACATGTGCAAATTAAAATCAAAAAAAGTTTATATCACCTCCCGAGCTCCTTAGTTATCTGATATCGATAATGGATCGGGACACCCCTATTAGAAAGAATCATTTTCCGCCTTCTCCTCAGGTAGAGAGGGGTGTCTGCCCTTGATTGTCACAAAGATGGTAGGACAAGGACATGATGGTTTCATGCTCTGCCTCCCATACTGCATTTGGAGACTTAAAGTACAACAAGCGAGCAGTATTTTAAAGGGTTAACAGAGGGGGTAATGCTGGCCATCCAGAGTTGACAGAATCTTGATTACAATGAGACTTGAGTATTTTAAGGCAATTGCACTGATATAAGAATTTCATAAACAAAACAAACGTCCTTTTCTTTTGAATTTTTTCTTTAACTCCTGATCCACTGACTATATCCAGCACATCGGTTCCACTCTGGCCAGCCTGAGCCCGTGCTCTATCCCTCAGAGGTTGTATCGACAGGCCCAGTCTCTGCTGCGTTCTCTCCTACCTTGGTCCAACATCGCCTCCAAGACGGGCATACAGTACAGCAGAACAATGTGACAGAACGGGGGTAGGAACTACACCAACAAAAGCATGCTTTATTTCTATGACCATGTGTTAAACAGGTATCTGATTTTTTTTTTCTCCTTTTTTTTTTCCAGGTGTGCACTTGTGTGTCTCATCAGTCTTCCCCTGTACATACCAAGAAGTACAGATCCACATATTCTCCATCTAGTAAACTTATCACAGCCAGTGTATGTGAAAGGACTCGGGTTACTGGAGTTCTACTCTCAAGACAGCACCCATTTGACACGGTTGACACAAAATCCCAGTTTTAGAAGTTATTTTAATCTCTTACTTATTATCAAATATATATACTACTACACCATCCCATAGTTACTATAGTAATGTGTTTTCACCCTGTCCTACCAAAGCTAAGCAGTGTCAGACCTGCTTTAACTAAGACTGTGAAGCAAACAGAGGTCTTGATACAAACTAAACTCTGTTGACAAAGGAGACAGGCAAACGCAGGTCATAGTTTTGGTGTAAAGGGGTGTAACATACACACACACACACACAGACAGACACACTGGGTACCTGGACTAAAGGTTTTATCCTGCCTATCTCTCAGTCTCCCTCCATCCTGTCCACCACTGTCACAAAGACTATGTATACTGTTTGTATATTATATATACTAAGCTAATATATAAAAAAATAAATGTAGGACTCTACATTTGGATTGGATCACACCAGATCATTAAGGACAATGGCTGGTGAGTGTGTGCGCACCTGTATTCATACATATAGGTATGTAGACCCATAGACAGATAGATAGATAGATAGATAGATCAGTAGATCTAAATAAGAGTTTTGTCACTCCCTCCTGGGAATTATTTTAAAGTTTTCCAAAGAATGATCACATCCTAGTTTCAGACAGGCTGTTATTTTAAACTACATCTAATGTGCTTAAAATTTGAGGACGATAGGCTGTAGAAATGTATTTACTTATTGTTTTCTGCTGGGTCACATGGCCACATTGTCACTGTATATAGGTGTTGGGGAACAATCTATGTATTTCATGATCAATGGCACTGGTGGTCACGTCTGAGGATGATGATAAATCTAACTCTGAGTTGCTGTGACTGCTTGTGAGCGCGGGAGAAACAGGACAAAGCTGGAGCGGCTTCACTGCTGGATTTATTATCAGTGAGTAACGGGCTTCTTTAGAGAAAGGCTGCTCAGAAATGATTGACAACTGTTTCATAGTTACTCAGTATTACCTGCTGGTGTCCCAAATTCTGTTTTTATTTCCCCCCAAAATGTTTCTAAATGGGCTTTATATTACCCGGTTGAAATTCATAGACAGTTTTCGATCCTTTATATTAAATTATTACTAGAGTGTGTGTCTCACAGGAAAGATGACAGAAAACATTAAGATTTTTTTTTCAGATTTAAGGTGGCATGGTTAATTCAAAAAGTCAACTCATGCACTGATCAGATCAGTCCACCTTAAAGTTTTTTCCACACTGTCAAACAGCAGCCAAACGTAAGATAGGAATACAAGACTGTGAGTTGGAGTGGAGTATTTTGAAGTGTGTGATTATTGCAAAAAGTCTCCACGGTGCTTTTTTACAGTCTGAAATTGCTTCAAAGTGACCGCACATAGCGTCAACGAATGAACAGCATCAACCTACATCAAATATGTAGGTCACTGTAGACCTTTGTGTTCAATATGTGAATTTTCTGTCCCACGTTTTGGAAACAACACTTTCTTATTTTCATGCTAATGAAGCTACTGGAGAAGAATATTATTATTGTATTGAATTAAAAATCTATACTAAAGCTCTGTAGACTTCCTCTCTACCTTCCTGCAGCCCTCCTCCTCAACACTGATCACATTAGGGGGCTCTGAACTCTGGGGTCCTCTCGCTCTAAACCACTTGTAAAATTGCTTGACCTGTCTGCTCAAGCCTTTTTCTTTTATGAATTGTATAAAATCAATAAATGTAAGTTGGTTACTTAATATATGAAAATAAGTCAGTATTCAGGATGTTTTGTTCTTTGGTTTGACTTAAGTGTACGTTTGTCAAATTTATCATCTAAAGGATAATTGAAGTAATATACCAGGATAAATATGTATACTCACATTGTTAGAATTTAGTATGTTTTTTTAAAGGTGGTTTTTATGGATGTGATTCCTGCCCCTGGGAATTAAACTGAGCGATGCAGCTGCAACAACTGAATGATTTTAAGTAAACAAGGCTGCTTTCCCTGCAAATCTACTTAAATATGGAGAATATACTGGATCATCTTGGTTGTCAAAGCTAAGATACCAAATGCTGGATAATAAAGGGTCTAAAGTGGCCATATTTAAGATGAGCTACTATGTGTGATGGAGGAGATTGATGGCATCCATTTCTTGTGAACATGCTGCAGGGATCTTTGAAATCACCTAACTGAGGTGCACTGAGGTTTTTTTGTGTGTGTGTGGCCTTCTGTCCTTGAACCAAATTGATTCAAATCATGAGCTGACGAGGTTGAGTAAAATCTGTCACTGCGATTACTGAATGTTTGTAAGAGTAAAATCAAGAACAGTATGTGCTGTTATAAAAACTATTATTTTTCAACCAGCACAATATTGTGGTTTCTGGCTCCCCAAAGGGAGAACGTTCATATGACTTTTTTGTTGTTTTTATCACTTTATTTCAAGTCTGAAAGGGTTCATTAAGTCTACAACGGGCTGATAAACACTCAATGGTTACTGTTTTTTCAAAGTTAAAACAATGAAAATTAATTTTAATTTCCTAAATGAAAATGAAGAGACAGGGTAAGAATTTTCACTGTTTTGGCTAACAGGTACTAAAAAAACACTCAAACATTATGAATGCCTAACTTAAGATAAATGGATTGACCAGCAGGGGGCAGTATGGCATTCCTGTATGGATCAAATCATTGTGACATTTGACTTCAACTTTCAAGACTCAACACCCCAAAGAAGATCGATACAGGGTGTATTTGTATATTTTGTGTTTATAGAGAAAGATATATACGGGTGCATCTCAATAAATAAGAACATCATCAAAGAGTTGATTTATTTCAGTTATTTAGTTCTATATAGAATCATCTGACTGATATATTTTAAGTGTTTATTTCTTCTCATTTTGGTGTTTGTAACTTACAGCTAATGAAAAACACAAAATTCAGTATTTTAGAAAATTTAAATATTGTAAAAATGTTCAATATTAGGGACTCGTGGCGCCACTCTGTAATCAGGTAATTAACTCAAAACACCTGCAAAGGGGTCCTGGGCCTTTGAAATGGTCTGTCAGTCTGGACCAGTCGGTCACACGGTCATGGGAAAGACTGCGGACTTGACAGTTGTCCAGAAGACACAACACAACAAGGGCAAGACACAAAAGGTCATTACTAATGAAGCTGGCTGCTCACCAGAGTGCTGTATTCAAGCACATTGATGGAATTCTAATGGAAGGAAAAATGTGGTTAAAAAAAAAAAGAGGGTGAATAGGCAACATGGATAACTGTAGCTAGCAGCTGGTCGTGAAACAAAGCCTATTCAAGAATCTGGGGGAGATTCACTGAGAGTGGACTTCTGCACCAATATGTTTTCCTGACTTTGTAACATTTACAAAAACTGAAAGCACTTAGTACAAGATAATTGACATAAAAAATAGTGTTAAACGTTAGAAAGTAGCAGAAAAATTAGTTACTGTAGACTACTTTGAATATCTACTCTTTGGGCTGCAGAGGTTAGAGTGACTCAACTCACAAATTGACCAGACGTCGGCGATCACTCTGAAATTATTCCCAAGTGTTTCAAATTAGGTACCTCATGTGTATGGCAGGTATAATTAAGTTATAGAAACCTTCTTCTTATTTTATTCTATACGACATTTTTAAATCACTCAATTACTTTTATTTTACATCCACTCCTTAAATCTCCATTTAGGTCTTATTTATAGACATTCAGGCAAGCTAGTTAGTGATTACTGCACACATCCTGAAGTTTCTGAGAATCTATAACATTATCTTGTCCCCACATGATTCAGTTTTTAGACATTTGATCATGAGCAGTATAGATCGTGTATTGCGATAACGCTGCTATAAAATAGAAACGTCTCTCAGATCAATTAAGTTAAAATGAGTGAGGAAGAGTCATCGGAGAGGACGTCTGTGTCTAATGAAAAACTCGTAATGCAAGGCCAGTGACTTCAATTTCCTTTTTGGACTTGGACACTCAGCTGAGCTCAGCTGGTGGCTGAAAATTTTCTTTTGCAGAGTGGGGCTTTTACAAAATCTTGAGTTATACATGGCACAAGCACATGCATAATAACAGTGCATCAACTAAAATGAAAAATCCCCTTTTGCAAAGCTGAAAAGACAACTTTTGTTGTGTTTTATGTGAAAAGAGACATAAAGGTGATCACTGGGATGGACCATTTACTGTATACCAGCAATGATATGTTTGGGATGTCATGGAAATCTGGTTAAGCCAAGATCTCAAAAGAGGGTGGTGGGACAACTCCTTCTTTGAAGCAGCAGCCAAAGTCAAGCACAGAATTTTGCTTAGGGAAAACTCTTTCTTTTAATCGTTATTTTCAGACATCTGAGAATACATGAACAAACAACCATGTAGTTACACCAATCCTGTTGAAAAAAAGGAACAAAGTTTGACTTGAAGTTATTAATTTATTTTGGGTGAGTTCTGTCCTGAAAGCCTCCTCCTTCTCAGGACTGCTCCGCTGCAGGGAGCAGATATGTAATGAGAACCTGGTCATTGGCCTCTTTCTCAGTGTGAGCATCCCATTGTTGTTCCAGCTCACTCTGAAGGCTTTCCACCTGCTGTCTGAAGCTGAAGGTATAAGTCACATATCTGAGACTCACCTCCTAATGAGATGCTTCACTGAGAGAGAGTGGATGAGTTTGTTCTCCACTCTTTCTCCCTGGAGCTCAATGGAAAACTTCTCATTGCTGATCAAGTGAGACACTTTTAGCCCCTCATACTCCATTTGGAGAAGTGTCTGATTCTTTTGCCTGTTGATTTCCCTCACCTGTGTGGCAATCCTGACTGCAGAGAGTGTATCCTGGTTGATGTACATCTCCTTCAGGCTCTTTTGCTGTTTGGTCTCAAATATTAGGAGCTTCTTCTCATTCCCTGCAGTGTTGTCTCACCCTTTTCGGTTGCTCCTTGAGCTGGCTCAGTTCTTGGCGTATTGCTGCCTGCCATCTAAAAGGCCTCCTGTTGCCACTTGGATTGGGAAAAAAGCTGTTTAAAGCTTGTTCAATTTTAGTTTAACAAAGTATTTTACACAACACTTCAGCATTCTGTTTTCCAGTGTTTACAGTATTAGTAAGGTGGAGTCCAAATACTTCTGTTCTTTAGTGGTTACTAATGAGTTATCAAGTATGTTGTTTTAACATGAAATATGGCTAAATATTCCTCCGTTTTTTTAACTCCAGCTTTTGGTCAGTCTAGAGGTGGTTGTAGCCTCATTGCTTGTTACTCTAACGCTGCTTCTGGTTGTGTAGCACATCCTTCACCCATGCATTCACTATCTACACAGTATGTGTCAATGGCCGATGACTTGAGTCTTAAACTGAGGTTAAATAAGGACAGATGTGAACACTGATGCTTTTTATTGCCTTAAACATCAAGATTAATGATAAATTTTGTTTGTCATGATCTTGCTGAGTCACTGTTGTATGGTAGAAACTGTTGGGATTTTTTAAAAGAGATTTCTCAGTAATGTTATTGAGGATTGTAAAACTTTTTCTGTCAAGTCTGAAAGTGTTGAGTAGGGGGACTAAGAGTCCAGTAGGACACCCCGTTACTAATGTTAATAGTGAGTTGGTGCTGGAGTTAGCCTGTATAAGATAAATTCAGAGGAATATGAAACAAATGAGCTAATAGAGGAGAAGTAGAGAATGACGGGGGAGAGAGAGAGAGAGTGAGGGGAGGTAGGATGCTGATTTGCTTAATTGGAGTCACTGCCTCTATATTAGAGACAAACTCGTGTTTTTGTCGTCCAGCTGCATTTTCCTCCCACTGACTCTTCTTCTGTCCTGAGAACTGTTCAGATCTGAGCGACATTTTCAGATTGAGGTAAGAGAATATTTGAAACTTATTAAAAAGAAATGATAACTTTATGATAGTGTGTCATGAATGTGTATAGTAAGGCTTTACAAAGGAAGATTTCTACCAATGTGATAGCTTCATTGACTGATTTCTTGTGGTGGTTTAAAAAACGCATCTTTCAATAAGTCTTTATGATGAAGAACATAAATACAGTCGATTACAGAGAAATTTTTATTTTGTTTCTGCCAAGAAATGTAGTTTTGAAGAAGTATTTTATTCTTGATTGACTCAAAGTTTATTGTATTCCCTCTGTAGTGTTCATGATAATATACTGTATCCAATACTGACACCATAAAACCTGAACAGATAAAACATAGAAAATGGTATGGTTTGACACCACTGGGGATAATTTTGAAAAACTGTATTTTGAGTGAATTGGTCCTTTATGCACAGAAGAAGCTTGGCATTAAAAACACAGTTTGTGCTTTTAAACTTATTGGTTTTGACAAACAATGACCATAATTTGTGATTTATGTATTTGTAGGCCAATTTTGCAGTAGGGTTACATGTAAAATGATGCATATCATAGTGGATATTGGCCAGTAGTAAAACTGGTAGTACTGGTGTCATTCAGTGATCGGGTTATTAGAATCACAAGACCTGCTGGCTATCCTTGCTGACCCTGAGTCCATCCTCAGATAGAAAACAGATACCCATCATTGTGTGGATGACTTGAATTGATAAGACAAATTATAAAAATCTAATTTCCCGACAGCAAGGGGTGTGTTTCCGTGACAACCAGAAACCAAAAATGCCAAGCTTCAATTCAGAGCAGAGGAAAGGGCCGTAACTAGATTCACGTGTGAGCAGATGAGTTTAGTTATCAGACGTTAGCAGGGTCTGTGTAGACACTGAGTCCCAGGTGGTATTGTCTAACTGGGAAGCAAAATGTGGATGCATTCCATTGCTTCCTCTATAATAGCCTTCACAAAGAGACCATTGTTGCTCTCTGTACCTTTGCCATAAATCAGTTGATTGGGTCCCCTAATGCAGTCAAGGTTGGACATCATGTGAAAGACACGTTTGACATAAGGTAATGATAAGGGGCACGTGTTGAGCATGTGTAACAGTATCAGGGGCACCACCAAGGATTTTGAGCCCTTTAAAAATAATTCAATTAGCTTTACCACCACAGCTGCTCTTATATATTAAAGCTGTGTCAGTCATTGGCTCTCTGAATCTTCCAAACTTACCCCCTTTAAATGTATTACATTGTACCAAGTATTAACATTTTTGTTTACATGCTTTTGTGTTTATAGAAAGTGTATTGTTCCCTCTACATAGCTTGAGGTATAGCTCTTGGATAAAGCAAGACCACCTCAATAGATCCTTGAAGCTGCAATTGTAAGCTTGCTTTCTTAGTGTAGGATGTTCATGCTAACACCAAGCACAGCTAAGACTTCTGAACTCTCTTTGGTTTTACCAGTATGCTAGCAGTATAGATACTAGCAGTGCAGAGTAAAAGAGGTATACATTTCTATATTTTCACTGATTTTCTCAAATTGACGAGGGAAACACAAGGGTTGGACTTTACTTTTTATGCTCACCATACAGAGACAATTAACTTACACAATCACATTTGTAATTACATTTATCTACAACATCAGCCAAGTGACCAAAACTTCTCTGGAGAAGACATTGCCTTATAAAACCATCTTTGGCATACATTTATTTTTGACTTTTCTGTCTTGCATTTAGGTTGTTTTTTGTAAAGCTATGCTTTCAATTTGAAGTATACTACTTCTGGTAGATCATAAGCTACAGGACTGAATAAAAACAGTTAAAGGACTGGTTAGAATGTATGTGTTTAATTGATTATCAACCTTTTTGGGTCACAATAAATCATCTGCTTTTAAAAGTATCCAATTATCTCTCAGGGGGGGTGCTTCAGCTAGCCCGATAGCAACTGCTGCTACTTCATCTCTCTGAATCCCTTCATCTCTTTAAACTGCATCAGCTTGCTGCCTCTTACTGCTTCTTCTGCAAACTTTTTTGCCACCTCCTTCACCCAAACCCCTCCTTTTTATGCTGTTTCTAATTGTACTAGTGTCATGCTTGCTCTGCTCTTTTCTTGTGTGTTGTGGTGGTGGTGTGTGTGTGTGTGTGTGTGTGTGTGTGTGTGTGTGTGTGTGGGGGGGGGGGGGGGGGGGTCTAAGCTGCTGCTCATGAAACATAGGTGGTGTGTGCTCTGCCTGCCACAGTCTCTTGCATTTCATGAGCGCATGTGAAAAGACAGAGAGCTTTCAGAACAGAGCCATGTCATCAAATATAACTCAGTACCTAGTATGACCTCTTATTCCTCCCTTCACTTTCCCTTTCTCTATCAGGCCTCCTCTTTTGCAGCAGGATGGCCCTTCTCGACTACCCTGTTCCAGACTTGGATGTTACCTTGCAAGAAGTAAGCCGTGTCTTGCAGCTCACTCTGAGTCCAGACCTCTATCCTGAGTTTAAAAATGCACTGGAAGGCCAGAGGGAACTCCTTCAGGGGGGGCAGCAAAAATTTGCAACCATTGCTGCAAGCAAGGAGAACTGGGTGACAGAGCAATTCAAGAAAGCTCTTCTGGCTTGTGCTGACCCTTTGCCCACTTCGACAGCTCTACCTGTGGTTCTTCTTCCTTCCCAATTGAAGAAATGCACACAGCTAGGAAGGGCAGCTGCATTGCTCTGGGCAGCAGCAAAGCTGTACTGTGAACCCTTGTTATTGGAGGGTAATGTGCCAATGGAGCGCACACAGCAGTCTGAGATGTTTGCTGCCAGCCGGCTTCCTGGCAGGATTCAAGATGAGATCAAGGTGAGATTTTAGACAAAACAAAGGGGGCTTAGGGCTTAGAGGTCTGGGTATAGACAAAGCATATCAGTCAATGTTCTTAAAGCAATTTCTCACTCATGCCTTTGCTATTGAATTTTTAGGTCTACCCAGATAGTGTCCATGCCATTGTCATCTGTACAGGAGGAATGTTCCCCATTGACATACTTCGGTGTCCCAGCACTGGTGGACCACTTTCTGCCAGACCTTTTATTGACATCTACAACCAGCTGGCTCATGTGATGGATCAGCCCAGTACAGGAAAACAGAATGATCCCTCCGCCATTTGCAGCCTCACAACTCTTGAACGCAAAGCCTGGGCAGCCACCAGGGAGGGGATCCTTGGGCGGGGAGGGAATGAAGAAGCATCATTGCTTAAAATTGAGAGTGCTGTGCTCACACTCTGTCTGGAGGACTGCAACGCACCCTCTGAGTTGGCTGATGTCCTCAATGCAGTCCGGCTTGGAGGAGGTGGAGATTGTCCATATCTGAGATACTATGACAAGGTACTTGAAAAATCTATATAGCAATCATAAATTATGCTGAAATCAGATTACTTACCTTTGTCAGGCATCGACTTGAACAAAGACAAACCCAACTTTGTTTTCTGTTTTGACAGGTGGTGAACCTGGTGGTATTTAAGGACAGCACAGCTGGGATAGTGTTTGAGCACAGTGCTGTGGATGGGATGGTGGCTGGGCTTGTGACTGAGCATATTTACAAGTTGTCAGAAACTGTTGACCTTAGCCTAGTGTATAATGACACAGAAAATGTGAATGGTTCTGTCAGAGTAAACAATGGTATTTCTTCTTGTCCAGCATCCCTCACATTTCCTTTGCGAGTAAAAAACACACCCAATCCAGGCCCTAATTTACAAGCTACACACCCAGTTCTAACTTTTGATATGTCCTCCTATCCTGATGTCTTCTCTACTCTCAGAGGGCAAAGAGGCCTGTATGATGCTTGGATCAACTTCTCTTTGCAGCTCTCTCTACGGCAGACTCTTGGAGAATCTGCTTCCAGTCACATACTTGTCACACCAACTCATATGCGCCACTACAAACATGGCCGATGTGATCCTACATACTCACTCACCATGCATTCCCGCAAGTTAGTGGGTGCCCTGGTGTCTTCCATTGACCCAAACAACAAAATTCAATACACTACTGACCTCCTGCACTTGTTCCATCTTGCTTTTTTGGAACACAAGAGTCTCATTAAAAATACTAAAAGTGGTCAAGGAGTTGGTCCCCATCTAGCCGCACTACGTCGTTTTTTGCCATCTGGAAATCCTCTCAAAAAGTTCCTAGACCCTTTTGGATGTCCATCTGTGTACCTCACAGGAACTGATATGGTGGAGGGTGTGGAGTGTGGAGTAGGGAATGTTTACGCCAAAGACCAGCTTGCTGTAACCTACCTTGGAAAGAGAGACAAGGTTCGAATAGTGCTCAATGGGAAAGGGAGCTTTGCTTTGTCACTGGAGAAACTTATGGAAAGCTTGAGGAAAAACCTTAAGCTAGTGATGCTATTAGCTGTTCGATATGCCATTGCAAACCAAATGGGAGCCCTGGAGTGTGTGCTCCTTAAAGGACAAAAAGAGAAAATGAATGGTGAGAGAGATCACTGCCCAGGAAGGCTTGACAGAGACAAATCCATTGTTGACTCCACCTCTGGCATGAGTGCAGACTACACTCTGGTCATCCACGGTGGTGCTGGAGAAGAAATGATGCTGAACACTGAAGTGATTGGGGTAATTGAGTTTGCTCTACAAACAGCATTGAGCCTCGGATCCCAAGTGCTTCAGCAAGGTGGCAAAAGCCTGGATGGTGTACAGAAGTCAGTAGAAGCTCTTGAGGACTGCTTCCTGTTTAATGCAGGTAAAGGGTCAGTATTCAATAAAGATGGAAAGAATGAAATGGAAGCAACCATTGCAGATGGCAACACAAGGAGCTCAGGTTCTGTTGCTTGTGTGAAAAGTGTGAAGAACCCAGTAAGAGCAGCCAGGTGTATCATGGAGAAAAGCCCACATTCCCTCATTGTAGGGGATGGAGCTGAAGACTTTCTTTGCAGTTTGGAGAGTAAGGATAAGCCCGTTGCACCTGAGTATTTCCAAACTGACATACGTCAAAAAGAGTTAGCTGTCAAGCTCAGTAGTGGAAACAACTCAAAAAACAACCACCCTCAGACAGTTGGAGCAGTGGCCTTGGATCGTTGGCAGGGGTTGGCTGCTGCATCTTCTACAGGTGGACTGGTTGGAAAACTGAAAGGGCGAGTTGGGGATACAGCAGTGGTGGGAGCAGGAATATATGCTGATGACAAGGTGGCTATAACCTGCTCTGGTGATGGAGATGTATTTCTTAGACACACAGTTGCACAGAAAATAGCCAGTCTGTACAGTCACAAAGGCTATACCATCAGGCAAGCATGCAAGGAAGTAATGAGTGAAGACCTGGATGGGATTTGTGGAGGAATCATTGCTGTCGACAAGAAAGGTGATGCCACTATTGAAACAAATTCAGGTGTGATGTTTGTGGCTTCGATAGTCAATGGCATTTCAAGGGTAGAGGTTCTGAGGCCAATGACGAGCTTTTCAGATGTGATCTGGGAAACTGATGAGCTGGTTGCCTTCCTTAATCCTAACCCCTGGATCCCAGGGTCAACAATTCTGACAAGAAAAGCACTTAGTGGGGTAAAGAGCATTTTCCAGATGGCCACACCTGACTTTGTGGCAATGCTACAAGGGGCAAGAGTTGTATCAGGCTTGTTATGTGAACGGTTGGGAGTGCAGCGATGTGCCTTGGTTTTCTGTCCAACACCTGACAAACCAGCACAGATCAGATTACTCCCTCTTCACGGTCTGGAGCCAAAGTGGCATCCCCATCTTGCTAATAAAGAGGAATTCCACACTTATGATCCCGGCTACTGCACCTCAAAAAGTGGCCCATGCTGGGATAATGAAGCACTTACCCAGGTCCAAGCTAAGATTAGGAATGGTTTGCCAACACCAAATGCACCATCCTGCTATGACTTTTTTGGGGATGCTTCCAATGACAACATATTCAGTCGCATTGTGCGTGGAGAGCAGCAACAGTGGAGAGTGTGGGAGGACAATGAGCATGTTGCCTTTCTGACACCATACCCAAACGCACCTGGACTAACTGTAGTGGTGCCACGAAAGCCACTGTCCAGTGACATCTTTAAACTGGAGGAAGCTGACTACATGGCTCTGATTTTAGCCACTTACAAAGTCGCTCATCTGGTGGAGAATGGGATGAAAGCCCAAGGAGTTGCACTTATCTTTGAGGGCTTTGAGATCAACTATGCTCATGCCAAGCTGATTCCTTTGGTGCCTTCACCAGAAGGTACCAAGCCTGTGGAGCTGCAACCAGAGTGCTTCCAAAACTATCCTGGGTATGTGTCATCTTTGGATGGCCCTTCAGCTGATCCTGAAACCCTCAAGAAGATACACACAAAAATTACCCAGTGCAGGCCCCCTTGTTCTTGGAAAGAGCCCCAGTCTCACTCCACACTTGCCATCAAGAGCCAGTGGTACCGCAACCTGTTCCAAATACAGAACACCCTATTCCACAGCACAGTGGAATACTTTCACACTAAGTGCCAGTACTCCTATGCTCTTACACCTCTGACCACAGACACCATCTCCTCACCAATGGGCCTTGGTTCTGATTCTGAACCAGTTTCTGTTAACCTGCTGGGCCAGGAAATCTACCTTGCTGACTCCATGCAATTTGTACTTGAATACTTCCTTCGCTTTCAAGAGAACCTGCCAGGGACGTACTATATATCCCCCAGCTTTAGAGGGGAGGATCCTGATTCCACGCACTTAAACCAGTTCTACCACGTGGAGTGTGAACTGCTGGGGGACATGGACAATGCTATTTCCATTGCAGAGGGATTTCTAGCTCATCTGACACAGTCTATGTTGAAGAAACACTCTGATATGATCTTGAACACTGCCGGGACCCTGACACATGTCGAAAAAATGCTGAAAAAGCTGAATGGACAAACTCCACTGCCTAGAGTTTCTCTTGACCAAGCCATTCCCATGATGCCCTCTGCAGACTGCTTGGAGTGGGTACAAGATGGCCAACCCCAGTTTGGCAGAAAGCTAACACGCAAAGGAGAAAGGGTCTTGATTGAGAAGTATGGTGGTGCTGTTTGGCTCACTGAAATGGACCATCTGGGGGTTCCCTTCTACCAGGCATATGTAGAGGGCACTGGACGATGCAAAGCAAAAGCTGCTGATCTTCTTTTGGGACTTGGTGAGACTGTAGGTCTTGGTGAGCGTCATTCTACCCCTGAGATGGTACAGGAGGCCCTCAGGCACCATGGTGTGCTTGAGCAGTCCTACAAATGGTATCTTGACATGCGGCAAGTGAAACCTCTCCTCACCAGTGGATGGGGCATGGGAACTGAGCGCTACTTGTGTTGGCTGCTTCAGCATGACGATATCAGAGATATACAAATTATTCCTCGGATGAAAGGAATGAAGTACATGCCTTGAACATGGGTACTCTACTGTTTATCTCGGGGACTGGATTTGACATGCTAGTAATAATGAAGTGAAAGAGGGATATTTCGTGCAGTTTTTAACAACTTATATGTTTCAATCATCTTCACATGAGATTTTTTTTCTCATTTCACAGAGGAACTTTATCTTTTTATGACTCTATGGACACACAAAAACTTCCAACTAGCCCCGTCCAAACCTTTCTTGACCAGAAAGTTTCTGAAAGTGTTTTTGCCCTGTAACACAAGCCTGAGGTATCAACTCTGAAATCTTTAGAGTGGGACCTGATTTAATCCTCTGGTGTTCTTTAAATAAAATCACCATGTCTTAATGCTCTGTTTTAGTAGTAAACTCCAGTATAAATGTACCTGCCAAGAGTATGGTCATGCTGTAAGTATATCTTGAATTGTAACATTACCTTCAATCTTTGGTGTATTTATTTACTAACAATTTTGGAAAAATTGTCTGTAAGGCTACAAATTGTACAGACTCTTTATAGATAATGCAACATAAAGGAACCCATTTGTTTCAGTGCTTGTACAAGTGCTTTAATGCAAGCAATTATTTCAAGAGTCTTCTCTTTACAATGTTTTCTTTTATTTCTATTCCATTTTGTTGAGAAGTAAAGTACATAAATGAAAATCATATTACTGTGTTTTATTGCCTTTTTTATGATTTCTTTGAAATGACCGCTGTAAATAAAGATTAACTTCTTGAACGTTTTTGAAAAAGAGGGTCAGAGGCCTCCAGGAGTGCATCACAAAAAATTTACAATACAGTTAAAATACTGTGGCATTTTTAACCCAATCATTATGAATCCCACAGGTTTCACCACATTTACTAGTCATTAAAAAATTTCAGACAGTCATAGCAGACCCAGTGTTTTGGAAAATGCAAACATAAATGTTACAAATGTTCATAAAGATAAATGTTTTGCATAAATAGTAGTATATATTAAAATATTTAGTAAACCAAAGCAAATTTATAACTCATCTATAACCTTATGGAGGATATCAAAACCTCTGGGGGTGCCTGCAATTTACCTAAAATCAAATCTTTGCATTTCTTAGTTTTTTCTATCAATAATGACAAGATAATATTTACAGTTAAATATGACAGAAAACCGATGGTATGTAACTAGATGGTATAAAACATTCATATGCTGGGTGACATCACCCAGTAGTTTTTGAAGAGGCGTTATAAGGCCAAAGGAGGCAGGCAAAAAATTTTTTTGAAAAATACAAAGACCTCCTTAAAGACAAAGGAGATGGTCATAGACTTCCGTAGCTCCAAACCCCCTCTTCAGCCAGTGAACACCTATGGAGTGGACATCGAAGTGGTGACATCGTATAAATGCCTAGGTGTACATCTGGATTATAAATTTGACTGGTCTAAGAATATAGACTACATCTACAGAAAGGGGCAGAGTCGCCTCTTTTGCCTGAGAAGACTCCAAACAATAGACATCTGTAGGTAGATTCTACAGATGTTTTATCAGTCTGCGGTGTCTACAGTGTTCTGTTCTACGCTGCAGTCTGCTGGGGAGGAAGCACCACACACAAAGATGCAAGACGTCTTAACAAACTGGTGAAAAAGGCTGGCTCTGACACAAGCTGGACTCAGTGGAGGATGTAGTGGAGAGATCTACACTTAGGAAGGTGGAGTCTATTCTAAAGAACATGAATCGCCCACTTCATAACACCTTGATGGACCAAAGGGCCAATGGTGGTGGACGGCTCCTCTCTCTTCGCTGCAGGACAGAAAGATTCAGAAGATCTTTTGTACCAACAGCCATCAGACTTAATAACTCTTGTGTAAATAGTAGATAACTGTTAGAGACACATTTTGAGAGACAACAGACAATTGAATTTTCCTTCGGGGATTAATAAAGTTATTCTTATTCTTATTATTCTTAAATAATAGCTTATCTAAAACAAGCAAAGAGGTACAGAATAGCTATTAGTGTTCCATTCTAAACATAGTCTTTTATTTTGATCAAAATATTTATTTATTTATTTTTCAGCAAAATAAGAAATTAGCTTTGGAGACAATTTCTGCTGCAAAAACTTCACTTTTCTTTTCATATATATATATATATATATATATATATATATATATACATGTGTGTTATTTTTAAAATTTTTATTGCTGTCCCGAGCTGGGCCACCCGAGTTAAAAACTCTGGATTCGCCCTCTACAAAAATAATGACACGGTCTCTGAGTGTAAACTAAAGCATTACCATGAATTTAATCACGCAGTGTCTATGCGTGACAGTTGTTACAGACGCTAATTACCCGGATGTGGTCATTAAGTTGTATTAGTTTCCGGGTGTAACTGTCGACTCTGACCCCCGGCTACAGCACAGCCCTGCCTCCTTTATAAGGATTAAAAGATCTTTGGTGCATTTTCTCAGACGTAAGTTTACTCATCTTTCTTTGCTCTCTGTGTTTGTGTTCTATATTTACTCTATCCTCCGTGGTTTTCCTCTCGTGTGTTTATTCAGTAATGTTAGATAAAGGTAAGGTCAGCGCTCTATGTGGTAGCAGCCAAGGAGCATGTAAAGCTAACAAGCTAGCCGAGACATATGTGCGACTTTCCTTTGAGCCAGCCATTTTCTTACCACTACTGAGATTTACTAGGTTACATCACAGTAATTCAAATTAATTGGATAATGTGAAAATGATACAGTCGGGCAAATTAAGGATTGAAATAACCGGGCTCTGTAGGTGGTTGGAGTTGCATGCTTGTTAGCGTTAGCCAAGCTAGTTACCCTGTATTCACACTCTGCCAGCACAACTATGACTTCTTTTTATTTCAAAATCTTAATGTTGCATTAGAGGAAGAAATAATGAAACTGGAAAGGAGGCGGCTACTTCCGTTTTGAAGGTTAATTGTTGGATGTTAATGTAAACCATAACCTTCATCACTGTTTTCAAAGCAGAGACTCAGCAAGCCTGATGTTACGAGAGGGACTTCAGCTTTTTTCATCTGTTAGTAATCATGCACAGAGTAATTCATGAGAAAAGTAGTCAGCAGGTGCCTTTCTCTCTCAGTAACTAGTATTTTCAAGCTGCAGTGCAGAAATAGTTTGGCTAAGTCAGGCTCTAAAGCAGCAAACTCATGGTCTCTCCCCACACCCTTTTACTGACTTCACCTCCTCACATCAGACGAAGAGCAACACATCCAGTCTGATGGACAGAATAATTCCTACGCTCTGTCACAGACCTGGGTGATTTGGCAAAAAAAAAAAAAAAAAGATCACGATATATTTTGTGATATCATCCGATCTCGATTATTGACGTCATTTTTTTTCAAACTGCCAGTTTTAAAGCCTCTGTACTAAAAACTAAAGAAACTAGAAATTAGTTCAACATTTTACTAACATACAAAGTAAATAAAGCAAATCAAAGAAGACACACTTAGAAAAATACAAAAACCATTTTAACTTAACAGTACAACAAATACAGATAAATACTAAATAATACAGTTAATTAGTTTACAGTCCTGAGTGTTTTTGCAGGTATGCAAGACCTAAAATAAACAAATTGCCCCCTCAGAGATAATGAAGACACCTTAAAATCTGAACATTAGATGATGAAAATGTAAATGATATAAATTATTGATGGCTTTGGTCTGGTGGCTGCACCGCTAGTTGTGGCTAAACTGCTAAGACTTGTGCCGTCAGCAGTGGCAGGCTGTGGAGACTCCGCCCACATTTTCATGCTTTCCGTATAATCACTGGGGAAGTACTTCTTCAAATGATTCAACAGATCTGTTATGTTGCGGTTTTTGAGGACAATGACCACCAACGTACCTTACACATCAGCTAAATTGCTTGGCATCACTCCGGAGATACCCGGACCACCGCAACACAACCGACGTTGAACAACTTCTTAACAATAAGATCTTCGGAGGATGACTCAAAGTCATGGCTAACATCTATTTTGCTGCCCTCAGCTTCACGTTTTGCTCCATGTTCGGTCATTCTGTTTACTTCTTCGGTAACTTACAGAGGTGAGCAGGAAAAGCTCGCCTCTGATTGGCTGTTGTGACGCACATTTCCGACAGGTTTGATTGAGTAAATATGCCCACAGCTGATCACCGTGATCGAACTGAAATGTATCACAATCATCGATCACAATCATATAATCACCCAGTCCTACTCGGTCTCATATTTACATATAGCTGCATTAACAAGTTGAATGCAACTTTGCCTCCTTCTAACCTCAGCTCCTTCAACGGATCCCCTTATCCTTTGGCAGTGACTGACCTTTTGACTGAATGTCTTAAGTTTGTTTTAATGAGTCAATTTAACATCAGAGTCCCCTGACTTCCAGAGTTGCATAATATTATCTGTATTATATCAGTGTTGGTAGATGAAATATAGTGTTTATGAAGCTCATGATATTCAGTAAATGGGAGTACAATCTCAAAACCAAATTCTAGCTTAATTGTGCATTTCATGAACCTACATCATGAAGTGCTAAGGGTTTCTGAAGAATACTAAGAAAAGCATCATAGCTTTGTCAGCAGCCTCACTTATTCTGCTGTGAAAGTATACCACTCAATGGTAAAGGGGCTTGATAAAAAAGTGTAACAATGGTGATAATAATTGTCTTCATCACTTTTGATGATCAAATTTTTAGCTAAGTAGAAGATGAGGGCCTCCACAGACTCGTGATGTACATGGATTTGTGACGGTGTTGAACAAAGTTAGTTTAAAATTTAGGTATATTGAATAATGGCAAAAATCCAATATAAGGCATCCTTACATATTTTATATTGTATATTTTTGGTCTTGGGTATAAAAAAATGATGTCTGTGGATTATGTAAGCACTGAACAGATATGTGCCTGTTGTTGTTTTTTGTACTTTTTTCCTTTTAGGTTTGCTTTTGGGCTTTTTTAAGCCTCTGTTGAGAAGAAAGCCTCTGTTCCTTGGGCCATGTGATTAAATCACAAGACCAAGCCAGGACCCACCCATAGTTTTCTTTTTAATCAGTTTAGGTGTGATAGAAAGTAACTTTTGGTTGTGCTCTCCAGAACTTAATTTAACACAGCACCACCTACAAGTAGTAGGAAGTTACTGCCTCCACATCACCAGAGATCAGATCCTATCTGATTCTCTTAATTCACCAAAACATATTTCTGGTAGATCCTTAGACGTATCTCCTACCCTCCAAAAGAGCACATAAGTCTGTACCAAACACTGTTGTCAAGGCAGTGCTTTATTCACCACCTAACAGGAAAAAGTAGTGTTTTGAAGGCCCTAAAGTACTTGTGGAGTTGCCAAACATGGAGCACAGGAGCCCAGTGGAGCACTGACACATATGATACATAAAAAGTGAGTGGGTGTGGTCCATCTGCTGCAGTTAGCCACACCCACAATTTCATAAAATCCTACAATTTTCCCAGAAAGATGAGCTTTGCTTGGCATGTGCATCTTGGCTCGAACAAACCTAACATTTGACAAACCCGGTCATGCATCATGCGCCCCTAGGAGGTGAAGGTGTGAAGGCCTGCTCAATGCTGTTCAAACCTGTATTACCATTGAAGCTAAATCTGTGCCTGTACTTTATTTATGCTCTGACCTCTGCCCCTAAAACGATTGTCAGAGTGGTTTTGTATTTTGACTCAAACTCATTTCAAATAACCTTTTCCCAGGTGCCAGGGTGTCCCCCCTCTCCATGTGTGATCCCTGATGGGCGGCTGGTCTCGCACTGCCGTCCTGGAGCTGTACCGGGCGCTGCTCCGCGCTGGGCGTAACCTTGAGTACACGGACCGTAACTACTACCGCCGTGCTGTGGCTCGCGAGTTCCGCCGCTGCCAAGACTTGACGGTACCCGAGGATAAGGAGGACGCGTTGAAGAGGGGCCAGTTCTTCCTCAACAGCAAATTGGGTGGGCTTATGTAGGGGGAAGGGGTTTTCTGGAGGTGGGTTTCAAGTCATCCGGAGGTTCATCTCCCAGGTGAGTTTTCAGAAAAATAACTCAGACTCTGTGATATTCTTTAGGAGAGATCGTTTAAAGTTAGTTTGTAGAAGTACAAAAATTAGATGTTGGATGTTGTTCCTGCAAGATTTTTTCCTCTGTAGGTTCTGTTGAAAGGTACACATGTGGTATTGTTGCACTCTGGGCCAGCAACAGAGCAAAATAAACAAAATTCCCTTACATAATCCTCTTCTTTCTAGTATCCTCATGTCTTACTCTGATGTAGTGCTGGACGATAATTCGATAACAATATATATCGATCGATAGACGTGTGCTGCGATAGAAAAAAAACGGGTCGATAAAAAGTTCGATAGAAAAACACAGTTTCCCTTTCTTTTTCATCATAGCCTATCATGTAGCTTTTACTACAGTCATTACTTCCTCCCAACCAATCACAAACGCAGACCCAGGTACGCTACGGCACCAAGCCCAGCCCCTCTCAAACCACAACAGACAGCACGTGTATGAGAAAAAATGATACAGCAAGGAGAAGCGGAGGAAATTGTCCCGAAAAAAGGTTTCAGTAGTTCACCAGCATGGCAATGTTTTGGTTTTTAGAAGTCTGACAAAAAGCGAACAGCGGTCGTTTACAAAATTTGCAGAGAATTAGTAAAAACCAAGTCTGGTAACACAACCAACTTGTTTTACCATCTAAACCGATCGCACCCGCAGGAGTACGAGCTGTGTCGGCCGCGCCGCGGCTCCACGTCGTCGTCGTCGGAGGAATCCTCTGGAGCCGCTGCCAGCACCAGCACAAAGCATGTGAAGCAGACCAAACTGGACTTTGTTTCGCTCCAAAAATACGACAAAGCGTCCAAGCGGCATAAGGACATCACCCATGCAGTAACATGCTCCATAGCGAGGGACATACTGCCAATAACTACCGTTGAAAAGCCTGGCTTCGACCAGCTTCTAGCCACTCTCGACCCGCGATATGAAGTGCCCGGCCGCAAGTATTTCTCAAACACAGCGCTTCAGGCATGAAAATGGGTCAGGGGTTGAGAAGGGTGCGGAGGAAATACGTTCCGGTGTTGTACCGTAGAATGCACCCCTGCATCCCGTCCACTCATTAGCTTCTTAAAGTGGAAGAAAATGAGCTCATATTTTACAAAGACGCGAGTATTTGGATCATGGCTACTAGCAGGGGGTGCATTCGGCAGGGGTGCATTCTACGACACAACACCGGCGTGGATAAGTCCTGCTTCTCGTGCTTAGTTTGTGTATTAAGTCAATCACATGATAATTAAAAAAAAATAAATCTCCCGACCCCGGGAGAAATATTTCAGTGTTCAGACACCAGGCTGTGGGCAGTTTCCCACACAGTTAAAACTGGTAGTATGCTATTCCCACCTAAAGCTATTCTGTTTATTTATATATTTGTTTGTTTTGTTTATTTTCATCAAAAGACTATTTAAATATTTATTTATCAGATTTTCTGGTCACTTTAGTCTTTATGTTTGTCAGTATTTACTGACGTCACTCAGGCCACTTAAGTTGATTTCTTTTTTTTTTTTTAGTTCTTTTTTAAAAAACTTTCAGTTGTGGTAAAATAAAAAAGGTGGTTGAATAAAGGTTTGAATTTGAATTCAGTGCTTGTGTGTTCTTTATTAAAAGTAGGTCATTAAGCAATAGCAAAAAACATCCAGGGCTGCAATTAAAATATATGTTAAATAATTATAATAATTATATCAATAATTATCGATATCGATCAATATGATTTATTTTTTATCGATATGCTTTTTTTCTAGTATCCTCATGTCTTACTCTGATGCCTTTCCTTGTGCCTTCTTAGGGGCAGGATGGCCGGAGTAAATGGAGACCGTAAAGGGAAGAAAGATGACAATGGGATCGGCACAGCCATTGACTTCATGCTCTCCAATGCCAAACTTGTGCTTGGAGTGGGAGGAGCTGCCATGCTTGGTATTGCAACACTGGCTGTTAAGAGAGTAAGTGAGACGCTCTTGACTTTTATCTTTAGAGACTTCATGGTACCTCTTGAGAAAGTTAAAAGTTGGTGGATTGGTTGTCTGTCTTTAAAGTCTGTGTCTGTTGTTGGGCGTCATTGTCTCTGTTACATCACACGTGGTGGCAGCAGATAAAGATTTTACCGTTTTGGATGTGTTGCCGGTGTTTCCCACACATAGACGATACCTGAGCAGTCCATCAATGAATCCATCATTATCCGCTTTAAAGGGAAGTCCCAATAAGCTTTTTTTGGTCCCAGTCCCATACTTGTATTTGCTTAGATTTGTTGTTTTTATGTCATAGATTATTATTATTGATTTTTTTATGATATTTGATTGATTATGATGCAAACAGACTTAGCGTTTTAAGGGTACATCATTTACTGGATGTGCCCAACTTTGTATTTGGGATCCGCCAATTACACAACAGAGAACAGTGGATCAACCTGGCTAAAGCCTTCCACTGCCTTTTATTAGAGTGCTATTCATTGTCTTAATTACTAGGTCAGTTGTCTGTTTTGGGAAAGAACATGTTACATGTCGAGGAATCGCATTAGCTGTAGTTGCAGTCTTTGGACTCACAGCTTGTGTCGGCTCTTCAAAGGAAATAAAACCTCGACCGCTTTCTTCGTTGGTGCCCCCTGGTTTGCTCTCGGTGAAGCTGGAGGTATTCAGTCCTAAAAGTCTGATCAAATTGGTAGGAATGAGTGCAGTTCTGCAAAACGGTAGTATCATGGTGCTTGTTCATCAAAAATCTTAACCATCATTGTTTGTCTGCTCCAATAACTTTGTGATGTTGCAGAAGTAGTTATGGCTTCCCTTCAAATTAAAAGCATGTTTTAAGATTTTCACCTCAATATTATCGTAGCCAGGAAATATCACAATACTGATATTATTGTGGTATTTCAACACTTACAGGACTTGACGTTGAATCATTGATCAATGCATTAATATAATTATAAAAGCATCGGAAATGGATTATAAAATGTAATAAAGTCAGTTGTGTTTATTACTGAAGTTTAGGAATTTAAGTGTCACTCCACCTTCGTTCTGCCTTGAATGGGTCCTTTTTTCCAAGTCTGTGATAAGCCTGTTACTGTGATTTATTTTGGCCATGATAATCACATGGATACTATTCAACATTGTGACAGCTGTAGCTTAAACATAAACAGATGATGGGAAAATCCTGTGAAGAATTTGATCATGAACCCTGTCAATAAAGTTATTTTATTTTGAGTTGAGTTTATTATAACCATCTATTTCTGTTTGCTAAAATTCTTCATTATGACGGGGAAAAATGCACAAATCTGTTGACACATTTGTTACATTTTTGTCGCAGATGTATGACCGTGCCATTAGCGCTCCCACCAGCCCTACCAAGATGGATCAGACAGGGAAGAGGAGCTGGGAGGAGCCTGCCTGGATGGGCTCGTCACCCCGGGTGCTGAACCACAACCTCAAGTCCACCGTTAGCAGATCCATGCACTCTCTGCCCACCTCCTCACATGCTTTTGAACCAGGTGAGGAAAACAAAATGCCCTCAGTCAGATGAATTTATTCTGCACCATTTTTCCAGATTAGAGTTTTTATGCACTGTTGTGATTTGGACTTTTCAGCCAGCTGTTATTTTATCTGTTGACAGTAACCCTTTGGGGAGGAATCTTGCGCTTCCTTTACTGTATGTGTTTGATGTCTGTGGTGTTGTAGTTGTTCAATGGTGTTATTAGACTGATTTGACACTTCATATAATCTATAGTAGTAGTACTCAATGTAGTATATCTGTTTGATACTTCTTATGTTTAGAAATGTGCCTCTGTGACGTTGCAAAATCTCTCTGCATCTATGGAACATTATTTTGACTGTTATTTGCTGTTATTGTCTTCAGACTGCTTGCGCAGATCTTTGGGTCGAGCCGCCGTTGGAGGAAGCGGGGCCACGCAGTCAGACCTGGTCCGAGCTCGGATGCGTCTGTCCCTGCAGGAACATTTGTGGGGTTTCTACCAAAATAATGTCAACATCCCCGCTGAGGAGCAGGCAACGGCCAGGAGAGCGGCGCTGGACATCTGTGCTGAACTCCGAGTTTTCCTTCACGCCAAACTGCCTGACATGCCGCTCAGAGAGATGTACCTGAGCGGCAGTCTGTATGACGACCTGCAGGTAAAGAGGCTGCAAATGTGGTTCTAGTTTCAGACATGGGTGAAAAAAAAAAAGCTGATATCACAGCTTCTCTGTGCCCTGTCTTCTAGGTGGTAACAGCGGACCACGCCCAGCTCATGGTGCCTCTTGTTTTAGAGAAGAACCTGTGGTCGTCCATCCCAGGAGAGGACACCATCATGAACGTTCCGGGTTTCTGGCTCGTCCGCAGGGAGAATTTGGAGTATTTCCCCCGGAACAGCAGCTACTGGGATCGCTGCATGGTCGGAGGGTACCTCTCTCCAAAATCTGTCCTCGAGGTCTTTGACAAACTTGTCGCCGGCTCCATCAACTGGCCGGCTATCGGGAGTGTCCTCGACTATATTATCCGTCCTGTGGTTCCCTCAGAGACTCTGACCCTGGAGGTCCAGTATGAGAAAGACCGGAAGCTGTATGTAGACTTTCTGCCGTTACTCGTGATGGAGGACGGAACCTCGCTGATTGCAAAACCACATCGTCTAGCAGCGGAGCGCCACGAGAACCTGTGGCGGCAGAGCTTCCGCGTGGCCGAGACGGCACGCCTCAGGGCCCTGGACCAGGAGGACGGTGGCTGCCGATGTGCCTGCCTGAAAGTGTCGAAGGCTGTGTGCAAGCTCAACCCTGCCCTCAACCGGCTCAACGCCAGCCAGCTCACCAACGCCATCTTGTTGCTGTGCGAAAAAGAAGGCGACTGGACCCAGGATGCGCTGGCAGACCGCTTCCTTCAGCTGCTGCGATCACTAGTGGGACACCTAGAGGCTGGGAGGCTACCGTGCGCCCTTAACCCTAAAGTTAATTTATTCTGCGAGCTGACTGAACACGAAGTGGACGAGCTGGGATACACTCTCTACTGCGCCCTCTCTGACCCAGAGGGGCTGCTGAGAACTGCCTCTGAAGAGCCTCCAGCTGATCCCTGATGAAATTACCCAGAAATCAGTGCAGCTCTGAAATATCCACCACTGTTATGTCGGCATGGGGACGGCTGTAAAGTCCCTGAAAAAACAACTGCATGGAAGCATCCTCTCTCCTCCTTCATAGTTTAATGTATCTTCACTAACAAAAAAGTGATACACACAGTAGCAGTTACTAAATGTTTAGATCTATACAAAATCATGAAATCTGTTTGTGGTGTGATCAGTTTCATTTTAAATCTCAAAGTGAAGGCTCCCTCAAAGCCTTTACATCAATGAAGATGTCAGCTGATCTGCTGTTAGGGCCTTATAGCACCAGAATAGAGGGATTCATTCGATTAATCCTTATAAAAATGGAACTCAAGCATCATTTCTATATAAGAAAACCATATTCCCATATAGCTGTGACATCATGCTCAGGGTGGTAACTTCCTACACTGTTATCATGAATTATTATAGTGCTCCAGGTCTTGAATTGTATGAATCTTGATAATCTGACAAACTGTGGTCATGTCACACCTCACAGATTGAAAAGCAGCCGTAGAGATTATTAGAAGAGCGGTCAGGTCACAAATTATAGACCCAAAAATCTCAGATGTGTCGGAAAAGGTGTAAAGTTCGCACAAGGAAAAAAAATGATTAGATTAATGACCTCGTTGAAATCACCATGGTTTTTGTCAGTGTCCATTTTTGACATTATTAGCCGGCTAACACTGCCATGTTTAGTTCCGTTCAGGTCGGTGTTTCTGTTGAAGAAAAATCACCCTGTAAATAGGGGACCTTCATTTTGTTACAATGACAACATAAGCGCTTGACTGACAGTCTTGAGTAAACAGGGTCACTCTTCATAGCATAACACCAGCAGCATAACCCTCATTTTTGTCAGCCTCTGTCTGGGATAAGGATGATGAATCTTATTGGTGTAGCAGCTTTTTCCCCTTGAATATTTGACAAATGGTAAAGGAAATCGCCTTCATTCAGGATGAAAGCTTTAAAAAGAATACAGCAGCTGGCTGAGGGGCTACTATCTCACATGTGGATAGTACTAAATGCATCGTATTGTTAGCTCGTTAACATGACATGAAAAAATGGACGCCAACGTAAACATAGGTACTTCCATAATAGTCGGTACATTTTTCCTTTTCCATCGTATCTATTTTAGCGAACAAGGAAGTGTCTGAATGCTAAAGTTAGCTGTGCTGGAGTTGCTGCAGCCCAACTTTCCTGGTTATCTCTGTCTATAGTCAACATGGCTGCTCAAAAATCAGTGAGCTGTTAAACGCACAATTTGTCAGATTATTGGGTTTTATGTGACTTAATGATTTCAAGATACATGATAAGGATATGAGTTGACCACACTGGATGTGATTTCTCTTGAACACGGCTGTAGAGGGAATATGAAGCCAATTTTAACTGAAATTTTACAGGACAGACATGTCAGATGCAGTTAAATGTTCCTCACTTTGTTTTTGTTTGAGTCAGTGCCACTGTGTCAAGGGTCAGGATGTCATGTTGATTGTGTGTTCGCCAACCAAAAAGCTAATAAATTGTTGATCAGCCTGAAGGACTCAACATTCTTGAATCAGATGTAAAATGAAATACTGCAACTGTTTCAAAATCAGGGTTTTAGGAGGCGGAGGATCTCAAAAAGAAGCATCAGGCTGTTCATGGATTGTCTGCAGCGTGCATGTGTTTTCTACCAAACCTAGGAATCAAATGAGAATATACAGCATGTCGACTTTTAGTTCTGTTGATTACATTTTTAACTCACGCCATCTATGTCATCTGATACAAAGCTGTATTATCATCTAGCTCTTGCCTAAGTTTGTGACATCTCTGATTTATTAAATTTGACCAAAAAGCTTCCTCATCTGAACAAAAATCAGTTTTCCTGAAGAAGTTTTCCGTGTGACTGTCTTCAAACAGAGCTGCTTTTTGTTATGAATCAAAGGCTTCCTTTGTCAGTCTCCAAAGCAAAGGTCTGATACGCTTTAATTTTTCATGTTTTCTCTTACACTCTTTATCTCGGGGGTGTTCTGCGATGTCAAAATGTCCTGAAATTGATTTGCATTTATGATGTCCATCGAAAGTGCTTTTGTTTACTGGTTTTTGCTTTAATTTAAATTCCTTCTCAGTTCTCTTTTTACCCTTAATTTTCACTATCATCAAACCATATTCTTGATCTGGATTGTTTAAGACTGGTACAAACCTGCAGGAGAGAGTTTATCTGATGTTATTCTGGAAATCATTCTCAGTATTAGCTTTTACCTCTTCAGTCTGGTGTGTGTCTGTGTGCACACTTTAAATCCACATTTAATCCCGATTACCTTTTAGGTGCCAACCTGGCTCAGCCTGTCTAGAGTAGGTAGCCAGACACGTATTAGTGCGGTACACTAGGACGTGCTATAGGTCAGTTATCGCACAAACACCTGACTGGTAGCTAAAGAGTCAACAGTCTGGACTACCTGTCAGTTTGTGCGTATTGCAATAGGTGCTACTCTCTATTAGGTTGTGATTGGATCAGGATGGATCGACTCACAGATCCTGAGTTAAATAAAGCCGCTTTCTTTCATTAGTGTCTGATGTTAGTTGAACCTGTGAAGTCCTCACTCAGCTGTCATTGCCATTCAAGTGACAGTAACTGGATTTAGATAAACAATAGCCGTTATAATTATCCAAAAATGCTGTTCAAAATATTCACAATGTTGCTTTTTGTTCTCACTTTTAGCCTTAGAACAAAAATATAAAAAATGCAGTGATATGGAGCGTGTGTGTGCTCTCAATTTACCAACCTACGTTTTTTTGTATTGTCTACAATATGAAGGGATTTCAGTTGTTTGAGATCTGTTGTGCTTTAAGTCGATGATAACCATGAAAAAACAGGCAAATATTTTTGTATTTATTGTACATTTGTAACCAAAAATAGCCAAGTATTTATTTGCAACTATTCAATTCCACTTGTAAAGTACTGCCCATCGTGCTTCAGTATGTGCTTTGTTCCAGATGTAATAAGATTAAATGATTCAACAGTAGTTCTTCTTTGTGTGCATATCAAGCGTCTTCCTTTGCAGACTTACTTTATGCTACAAGTTACTTCTGTGTCCAAAGGAGAGGACTCAGTGTACAACTTTTGTAATGTTATTTGTCAGACATAATTCAAAGTAGATCACTACCTCTACCTTATGGAGAGAGTATTCGCCATATGCTGTGTTGCATGCTCTGTATAGTTCCCTATCTTTTTTTTCTTTCCTTTTTTTAAATTTGTTCAGCTTTGGAGTTGAACAGTGCCGCACTTTGTATAATTCAATAAATGTTAAAGATGACAGAAGTTTTATAGTTTTTTTTTTTTTGCATCACTAAGACTTTAAAGTAATTAAATGACAATGAATATTCAGCCAAAGACAATAAATGCAGTGATAGGTAAGTTAAGAAAAAAGCTCAACCTACAGGAAAGAATTAAAATTTGACAACTAAAATGTGAAAAACATCAAATTGCAGCTTTTTATTTATCAGCAGTTGAAAGGATGAAGGCTGATGTCATCTGTATAAGACCAGAAAATATGTCAAGTTGACACTGAACTGACTTGGCATCAGCTAATCACAACAACAAACATCCAATGCTATCATGAGAAAGGTATAAGGAAATACAAAACTTCTCGATAACTGAACGTAGCTGTAGAAGTATCAGGAAGACGTTGTCAAACAGTAATCAAGTGTTTCTCAGATATTCTCTATAGCTTGTGTTGAACAATAACCTACTCTTTGGAAATTCCTAGCTCACTGTCATGTTAGCCGAAGAGCAATTACAGGTGACTGTAACCTATTGTGTATGACAGAAAACACCCGCGTTTTATAGGTTCTAAGCTACAATTATCTGTGTATAACACCATATTTAAATCCCTAATGATCATAATGACGTTAGTGTAGCTTTTAATCAGCACCTTACTTTGGCATTTAAGTGTTTGCAGGCCGACACAAGAGCAACAATACTGTTCAAATTTTCAGGTTCAATAAAACAATCAATGTCATTTCTGCACGGGAGAACAAATATCTTGCAGGTCTTACGCAATTCATTGTTTACCAACCACTCCCTGTAATTTCCCATTTCCTCAACTTTAATCTTCTCAACTTTTCCTCCTTGGTTTTGTTTCAGATATGTAGGCACACACAAAATATGGTATATAGTGGGGTATATGTACAAGCAAACCCACATAATTTAAGATCATAGAACTTAAACTAATCAATGTAGATGTCTCAAAGCATCATCTATGATTGAAGACTCTCATAGATAAGATACACTATGACCTCTATTATAAAAGTCAGGTTTAAAAAATGTACTCCAATCCTTTTAAGGGCCTGCTGGGAAGCTTAAACATTTTTTAAACTATTTAAATAGTTTTGTTAAGCTACTAGTGATGTAGAATTTAATGATAATGTTAGTTGTTGCTCGGAAATACTTCAGCTCATCTAGTGTGTCGTTACAACCTGACATATTATTGTGCCTGATTTTTACCCTCTTTTGGCCGAAGCAGTCTTTATCCTGTTCTCTACATGCTTCAGTAAATATTTGACATGGAAACAGTCAAATCGGGGCCCTTTCCTTGGCTGTTCGGCTGATATCCACCCTTTGGTACCGGTTTCAGGCATCGAACATTCCAGTAAAGAAACTGTCAATTGTGTCAGTGATGGTCTTGTTTGCTTTTGTATGTGATAAGAAAGAATAAAGTTAAACAATTTACAGCATTTGTTCAAAGTTTTATTTGGTATTAAAATTCACAGCCTTGTTAAAAAGAACATCCTGAGATACCAGTATACAAAAGCAATCAAACCAAAAGAACCCAATACTGGACTGGAAATTGAAATAAGGACCGTTTGCTTGGAAAGAAAGTATGTTGTCAGAAACAAAAGTGGCATTTCAACTCTCAAAGCATGTAAAAAGCCAAAATCAAACAGCACAACACCAAATCCAAATGAATTAATGTGACTTCATAATCCCGTGAGACTGGCGACATGCTAGAAACCAAGTGAACCAGTCCCTTTGTACCGCAGCAGGAAGCACTGCACCACTCCTTGTTGAATGGGTGTTTGATACATCATCCACACCTGCTTGTTAGACAACAGCTTCTTATGTAAACCATCCTCTGAATTATGCAAAATATTTACATGGCATGCCAGACTTTTAAGTGCAGAAACATAAGGAAGCAGATCAAATTTTGCAAAACTGATGATGAAATGTGAAAGTGCAGCAGAGATGATTATTGTCAGTGGACTACTTTGCGGAGGCGAACCCTACGCGGTCAGCATTCCTGTCAAACACTGTGTAGTACTTCCCGATAAAGACATCTCCCATAATCCACAGGGGCCCAGCGGGAGGTGGGATATCCATGGCCATGAAGCCTGATAGGCAGATTGATGTACCCATCTGAGACTCCTGGGCAGAAACACAAGAGTTTTGATGAATTTGTTGTTAACTGTGAAACTGATGGTGGTAAAAATATAGAGGTATCCGATAACTGAACACTGATTAAGCGCTGTGACATGAGTGTGTGTACCTTCATGACATAATCCTCTCCAGTCAGGTTGAACAGCTTCCCCCCAATGTTGAAAGAGATGACAGGGAGAGTTGGGATCTTCTTACATTCGATAAGATACTGAAAGAAAGGAGGGGAGTAGATTAGGCTCAAAGACTGAAAATGGAGGGGGGCCTGTGACGCAGATTACACATAATTTTAACACTGACAAAAAATGATAGATTGTGTATCAGCCATACCTCTCCCATCAGCAGGGGCAGAGCTCCAATGGCTTTGTGCAGCGCTCTGATTTCCTCCACAGGTCCCACCATCAGGGATGTTCCTGTGTCTACAATCGCCTGGCAACCTGATTTGCAAAGAGTCAGCTGGTTGCCAACCTCAACTCTGCAGCAAAGGTTAGAAAGATAGGTTAAACATACTGTTACAACCACTGATGCATTTTAATTTCAGTCAACTGGGAAAGGAACGCAAAGGTGAGGGTTGTTTCCATGACAAACACAAAGTTTTACACCACCAAAAGCTTCCTCCTCACCCGTCCACTTGGATCTGCCAGTAAGCTTTCCGTGTGACGTTGACGTAGTGAAGATCACCGGTGTAGTACTGAGGGTCGGTCCCACCCAACATCAGCTCTCCTCCGACTGCTGCTGTTGGGTCTCTGAGAAGCAGAAGCAGAACCAACTGTGTGAAACGACAACACCAGTATGTGCTGACTCATTTCACAGGGGTGTGAAAACCCCTCTGACGCTAAATCAGCCATTTAAAGATGCAGCAGATTTGCTGTTGGCCAGATCAGTGTATTTTTAACACGAGGGCCACATTTCCTGTGATAGAAACCAACCTGCTGATGTAGAAAGAGAAAATGTTCTCAGGGAGCAGCTTGGCGGCCATGGCTGTATCAAACACCGGGGTGACATTTGCCACTGAAATGGAGGGGTACGCCATCCCCAGGACCCCATCAAACCTCGCCACTGCAAATGTGATGCCAGGCTGTTTTATCGCCTCGCCAAACTGCTGGTTAGGAATGGGCAGACCTGCAACCTACAAGCACAAGAAAAAAAAAGTGCAAAAACGGAATGATGGCAATGCAGACTGAAAGCACCAGTTTTTTTTTTTTTTTAATGAAATAATAGAAATGGTGTGACCGCCAAAATCTGAGGAATGCAGTGAGACAAAAGGGCAGTGTGGGGGAGTGGAGGAATGTGAGTGTGTGAGTGTTTCTGGGACTTACAGAGACCGTGTCCTGGCTGATGAAGCCAGACAAGCTGCCTCGGCCGTACTGGATGGAGAACACGGTGCCATTCTGAACGTACGTGCTCGACTTCTTTGAGTTGTAGCGATGATGAAGCCCTGAGGAAGGAAGAGTCACCCAACATGTTTTTCAAGCTTGCGTTACCAAATGAGATCAACATGCCAAGCAATTATTTTCTTATCCGGCTTCATAAAACCTCAAAGGTCAGAGGTAGAGGACAAAAGTTAACACTCAACAGGCAAGCCAAGATTTTAATGAGTGTGTTTACTCATTAAAAAGTGGAGGAACTTGGAGCATATGACCCACTGCAAACACAGACCAGTGCACTGTTAGCAGAGAAACTGCAAACTGTACAGACTTTAAAAGAAAAATAAGAACAACAACAAATTCAGAAAAAAGTTCGATACATTATTATGACTTTAAAGCTCCTATAACGACTTTTTATGTTTATGACTAAGACTGAGATTCATGCCGATTCCTTTTTGTGATATCCAAGAGCAAACAATGAGGTAGGTGTCAGCCGAGCTGCTGAAGAAACACTCCTCCTTTTAGTAACATCACATTAAATTTTCATGATAAATGATACAAGAAGGACACTAATTCAGCAAGTAGGGGACAAGTCAAGCAAAGACTGCACTGTCCACAAGCGTCACCAAAAATGGACACAAACGGAGAGTTCCTCACAGGAGCGCTAATATTACAGCAGTAGAACAAACAAAGCTGGTTTATGTAGAAACTGCTGCATCATTAGTAAACAAAAGACCCAATTACAATTACAAGAAAGTGCTGTAATATTCACTAGTGACTCAGACGTTTTATTTTATCCAATGGGCCAGATATAAGCCATACTGATTCGAGTACAAGATTCGGTCTTTGATCCCCAATACATCTGAAAAAGTGGGATCATTTGTATGTTTGGGGAAATGGTAATTTAACGCTTTAGAGTCAACTCTGTTTTACTTAACATAATATTGCTGTGTTTGTAATATCAGCTCTAAAATAGAATGATGAAGGGACTTGCTGTAAAAAAAAGAGCTTTGTGAGGTTTCTAGTTCAGCAGAGGCCCAGCAGAAATGACAACAGAGCAGCAAAGAAAACTCTACTTCCTATTTTAATTTGTTCTCCAGTTTGGTCCATGCAAATGTTTCTAAACCATTCACTGTGGTCTGAACTGATAGTATTCGGAGGAATTGCTCAGACAGGAATACATTACAATCTACCATGTGACATCTTGTCTTTTCCTATTGTTGGTAAGGTTGGGTCACAAATATGGTCAAGGGTTGGTTTTACATCCTTTTATTGGCCACTCAGATTCCTCTTTCAGTAACTTTTACTTACAGTGGGATAAAGTGCAATGATGTATGTTTTTGTTGGATCAATGTGACTAAAACGTCAACTGAAATTACACAAGGAAGTTGAAACTTAAAATTTTTGAAGGACAAGAAACTCGACACATTATTCCCCTCTGAACTGAAACGCTCAGAATATAACCAAGTATGGTTCGGAGTCTGTTTCTCAAAAATCATACTCACAGCAGGCCACGTCGAAGAAGGAGCAGTGAATTGAGGGGACCCAGAGGTTGGAGGAGCCAGTGTCAAACAACACAGTGAAGTCCTGAGGAGGGGTCCCGATGCTGATTACCCCGTAGTACTGAGCCTGAGGGGACAAAGGGATGTGCTGTGAAACCACCACTACATCAGAAAGTATTAAGTTTAGAGTCATTTACTACATTTACACATTCTGACATTTTAAACCTGATACACCAAGACCGAATCAACCCCCCCACCACCACCATTGTTCTTTGCAAACGCCACATAATGAGTTCCTCTAAACAAGCTCGATTACTCCTGCTATGTAAGCTAGACACAGAAAAGCAAGATTTTATTTTATTTTATTTACTTATTTATTCATTTATTTACTTCTTGAGCATAAGATAAATCAGTATTCAGTCCCAAAAACTGAAACCAAAAGAGTTTATTGTCAAGTTTATCTAATAACAGACTAAACTAAACTGCAGCATTAGAAATGTGAATGGCTTATTATGAGCAAAAAAGAAGTTTTGCAGCTCTTATTTTACCTTTTATATTAAAATCATAAACTCTTTTATAAGAAATTTAAATAGCAAAAGTTCATTTAGCCTTTAGTTTGACCTCGTTGCTTGACATCGACTACATTCCTCTTTTTCAAGGTGCAATACGGTTATATTTTTAGATCTGGGTCATTTCACACAGTGTAACTTGATCACACAACGTCTTGAAAATACTTTAACAAGAATAAACACTCATGACAGCTAGAATAACAGACATATCAAAGAGGTGCTTTGGCACAGTTAAAATGGGAAGCAAAAGTGTAACTTACAATCTAAACCAGCATTTAATGTGTGAAAGGCTTATTGTGAACAGCCAAGAAGTTGTTAACTCAACTTAAAGTAACATTAGTTGTGTAAAGTGAGGGGATTTGAATTCATATATCTACATGTTATTTAAAATACAAGGCAAAAGTAAAACAAAGCAGCAAATTCATGCTGCTGTGGTGCTTTTTTCGTCCTTTTTATCACTTGCAGAGTCACTCAAGTCCTGCTCTTTCTTTGACCTACTTCACCTTGAGATTGCAACAAACTCTTAGATTTAGAGGGTAAGTGTTTGGCACATTTATATTAGTTTTTACTCTGTAAAACTCATTGTGTGAAAAAACAACAGTCAACTTATGTTAGTTTCAGTGAAAAATAACACCATATAATCACTGAAACATGGGATTAAGTTGAGTACATACATCCATGAAGTTGGTCAGCCTCTCTACAGGCACTTTAGGGGAACTCATGTAGTTTGGTGATCCTGTGCTCTTTGCCAAAGCCCGAAGCTCCTCCAGAGACCTCCCATTGTCGCTTATCAAACGGCGCAGGCTTCTGGTTTTATGGAGTGGGACTCTGATAAAAGAGTTACCATTGAATTATATGTCAGAGGAACAAACATGCGAACTCATGCCTTATACAGGGGTCTTTTAATAGAAAGTTACACTTACTAAAAGGACTTTACATTAGCCCTTTAAGAAGCTTCCAACCTCAGAGATTTAAGTTTGACTGTCCTGTGCAGGTTTTGGTGTTGTTATCAAGTTCCTGAATGTCATGCTCAAACCAGTTTTGGTCATAACTGGTTGACCATGAAGAAAAGTAACACACCCTTATTTTATTAGATAATATTACCGTATGGAAAACGTGCAAACATTTTTCACAGTGTTCAACTTGTAAACTTTGAGGTAAATGTCACACTCATACTTAAGAGTAGTAGTAAGGCAATGTCCCCCTGAGTTGATCTGCAAAACACAGCATGCCTTAAAAGTATGAAAAATTACATAAAATAGCTTTAAAAATGTATATGTATCCTATAACATAGTTGCTGCTTTACTCAGCTGACCATTATCTGCTCTTTCATAACTCTTGCATGATTTTCATGTTTATTTTTTTAAAGGAACAATTTGTTCTGCCATTTTTTAACTATGTAATACTGTTCCCACACTTGCTTATTTTGTGTAGCTACTCAAAACAGTTCCACAAACTCTAAACTCTTAATACTTTATAGCATTAATTAATTATTTTATATTCAAGTTGAGTTAAATGAAATCCTCAATGTCGACACAGCTGTGCGTGACCATGCTTCCTGGTTCAGACGGAGCGCTCGCGCACTATCAAGTTTTGTAACGGTTTACATTATACAAAGTGAAATAACTTTAAAAACTTTTAACCGCAATGATGACCTTACTTTACTGGACCACTTTGATCTCGCGCACATTAATTAGAAACACGTGGGGCTTATTAGGGACCTGTGAACACGGAAGTTAATCCATCACGCGCAACATGAACCTACACTCACCAAACCTACTGAATGATGCTGAATAATCAGGATCATTTGGCTCGCGCTGCCTGCCAACACAAACAAAAATCAGCTGACAAACAGTATTTACCTGATTATGGCGACGCTTTGTGTGACCAGCAGCACCGCTACGACACAAAGTATTTCCAGCCGTTTCATCTCTGCTAAAGTGCAAAAATAACACTTCCTAATGCTGTGTCCGAATAGTCTGATATTAACTCTTGGACGAGCTCAGACCGCTTTTTAAACCTGTTCAGATAGAGCTCAGAGGGAGCGCTTCGGTAGTTTCCGCATTTACTCGGTTTTTCCCGCTATGAGACTCGCTGATTGGAGGAAAGGAATCGGGAAAGCGTTCTGATTGGTTTAAAAGTGTGACCATCATCTCGCATTGCAAGTCACTGCACTAAGTCTGTTAACAGTCACGAGTTGTATTGTCACTGTGAAATGAGTGATAAAGCACGCATGGAAGTATTAGGAGTACATTTCAAGATTCAGGTGAACAAAAACATTCCTCTTGTATTGTAAACAATCTCTTATTCTGCAGAATTACTCTAACTGTGCAGATAATAAGTAGCTGTAGCCAGAGCCGGCCCAGGCCTCAATGGGGCCCTAAGCAAAGTTTGATTTTGGGGGCCCTCTATTTCTGCCAATGATATTGATTGTTGATCATTCACACACATTCACAAATCTCTTTAACATTCCACGACATGCAAACATACCTTCTTCTTGGCGTTTTTTTCTCTTCTTCCTCTTTCTTCCTCTTTCTTTTCTCTGTTCCTGAAGAATATGTCCTTTTTTGCGACATTGTTTTGCCCCACAACTACCTGAGCACATTACTGACACCACATACACAGAGATTCGGGTGCCGCCAGTCAGGGTACCACCCACCGCACTGAGGGGTGAAGCGTCGAAGGCGTTGGGCGGAGGAGAGGTGAGTGTGTGCGTATGTGCGTATGTGCATGTGTGTGAAGGTTCATGGATGTGTGTGTGCGTAGGCCCAGGAGGTCACTCTGTCCATCGCCACAATCTTGGTGCCACAGGGTGTCAGCGCGATAGCACAGTGGTTGCTGTGGTAATGACCTTGATTGAGTTCCAGACAAAGTCAACAATTCGCAGGTGTCTTTTGGCTTCACACCTCCCGATGGGTGGAAATGAGTCACCTTGTCCATTCTATACATGGTCAATAGTTGCTGCCATCCGACAGAAGTAGTACTCCTATAAAGAGAAACGCCACTACATTTTGTGACATGCATTTCAATTTATAACCAGCATAATTTTTTTTTTTTTTGTGATGCTGTTTGTTATTGTTGCATCAGACATCCTCAGCACCTGCTAAGAACCAACCAGACCCATCGTAGCTCCCCCAAACGCTCTGGTCTCTTGCATAGTATAGTATAGGCACACTTTCAGGCCAAAGTACGCTAGATTTGAAGACATCCAGACAAATGCCAGGGCCACTCCTTTTCACATTCATGCTTTGCCTCACCTGTAGAGCAGAACAAGTCCACAAAAAGAGTGTTGATGAGAGCGACACAATACATCTCTGTCATCACTATCTTCAACTGCACTCCCCCGCCTTTCTTGTACATGCAGATTTGCTGGTTCAAGAGCATGGACAACAATTCGCAACAAAAGCTTTTGCAGGCTGAGTTTGCAAGTTAGCAAGCTGGCCAGTTCTTTACATTCCCCTGAATAAGGTTTGCAAGTTGCATTAAAAACATACACAAGCATTGGATTAATATAGAGAGTTCATGTTATTCTTTTAAGGTCAGACAAAGCATGTCATGATTACTTTCCCATGCAATTAGCAATATTAGCAATTGTTGATGATTGAGGAAGAGCGTCAACTCCAAATCGCACTCTGACATCCATCGGGTTGTCCCCTTTCACTCAGACCCATGACTAAGCATGAAAGCAGTCACTGAACACTTTAGAAAACACGCACTCACTTGGCCTGTCAGACAAGTTCTGGTTAAAAAACACAAACACCCTGACATTAAGTCTCACATTCATACACAAAATCTTTCTAACACACACCCTCTATTAACACTAACTATCAGACTCGTGTTGTTGACAACAGGAAAAACTGCCTGCCTTACGGTAAACAATTTAATTTTAAGGTTAAGATTCAGATATTTGGTTACAGGTGGTGTCATTACTTGAGTGGTGATGGGAAATATCAGTTACTGTGATGTTTTCTTAACGGACACGTTTGTGTTTGAAGACAAATGAGTGACAGCAACTGAATATTTGAGCTGCCTTCTAACCTGTTCATGTATATGTTATATTTCTGCTGAAACAAGGATACACCCACACATTTTTTTCTCTTTTGTGTTGCTGCAGGGAGATCCAACTTTCAGGCTAAGTCAGACTGGGTGACAGACACACAGGAGACAGCAACCATGGTGTGTGTGGCCTGACACGACTTGGGACACATGGGAGAAACCTCAAACTGCTTCCGAAACTGGATTTAATATTAAAGGACCAGCTTACCAGCTGGAACATGACGGTAGGTATTTGATCTTTCTGTTGTGTGCAAATTAATATGAGTGTTTGGTGTTTTGTGCTTGAGTGAAAACTGAGATTTGGAAGTGTGTACATGTTGTTTCTTACATGCGCTTTCAGGAAACTTAAGAGGAAGTTTCAAATAGGTGTCGTGGCTTAAATGATGAACACATTATCACTTTAACTAAGTATTTTATCTAAAAGAGATGGTGGGAATTCAAAACAAAAGTGTTACACAACAACCCAGCTACACAAACATGTGAATTCAGTAGCGTGAAGGATTGCGGTTAAAGTATATGCCTTTAATCCCACCGCTCGAACAGCCCTCTACAAGTTGTATAACAAGATCAAATACTTATTTGCTGCAAATAATAAGAATTTCCACAGTGGGGCTGTGAGAAATGCCTTTTAGAGCCCAATTTTTAATTATTAAGACTCACCTTGTTGGCTTTCTGGAACCGGAGGTGGTGTGAATGGGAGGGTGGTGCTGAGAACAGGGAGAGGTTGGCAGACATCAAAGCGATATAATAAATCAGAAAAGCTTATTTATTTGCTGATAAATGACCTACTTAACCACTGTGTTTTTCAACAGTAGGAGAGTCTATCTGTGATGGTAGCATGCCACTCATGTACTCACCACCATTATTAAACCAGTGTTTGACAAACACTGAACAAGCAAACAAGCTAAGCTGCTTAAACCCATACATAAATCCCAGTGTAGTGCTAATAAGATATACAAAAAGTGATTCTAGAAGATCAGTCTTTGACAAATCTGGTGTACACTTGTGTTAAAGTCACCATACCTTGAGTCTAAGTCAGGTTTCCAGCTCTCAGTGTTGCAGTCTGAGACGAGTCCAAGTCACAAACAAAGTGGATCATTCACCCCAAACTATTGACTGTTTGAACCTGGACTGACTGACTGGGACTTTTTGGAAGTGTAAAAAAAACAAAACATTTGTGTTTTAAGCATTAGACTCAAACAGGTCCTGTTGACTTTTCTGGAGGTTTAAATTATCACTGAAGTTACAGTGCTGTGTGTCTCGACCATAATTCCTTTAATGCAGAGAGGCGCACATCGATTCTGCAGAGGTGGGTTCACTCCAGGTGTCTGACAATCTCGGCTGTGCTATATAGTGACATATTTAAGGCTTTGACTAATTGCTGCGTATGGAGTTCAAAGAACTGAGAATCATTGTATTTTTTTGTGTTTTGTTGATCTGGAGTCAAAGGATTAGAGATAAAATTGTAGTGATTATCTGATTGAGTATTTCTGAATATTTGAGTTTGTTAAAGTCCAACCATCAACAATGGCACTGCATTCAGGAGGAAGATTGGTTTAAAGAGATTCTAAAGCTTCCATGGTGGTGAACTCACACCAGGATCATTTCTGACAACTTTTCTTTGTGTTTACAAGAGCAACACACACACAAAATACACCTGGATCATCTGAAAATAATTGAATCCTTTTGCCACTATTGTTTTTATCTTAAAGCTCCTGTGAGGACCTGTCATGGGATGGCATCAAAACAAACATTAGTCTAGTTCATTAATGTAAAAAAAAAAAAAAATCCACATAGGAGCTTTATTGGGGTCTGATCAAGCCTAAAGTGACAACTCAAGGAACTATATTTTTTTTACTTATGTATTGCAGCATTTCTTGGCCCTTGAAGTCGGTACTTGAGGAAAGTTTTTTCAACAATGGGATCAAAGCAGACGTAATTCATGAGGCACTGTTGTTGGCTTATTTTGATTTGATCAGGGTCTTGGGCTCAGTAATGTCACTTTCATTTACTCTTGAGGTGAATTTTGTTGTGTTTTGCATGCAACATGTGCAAACTTACTGCTTATATATCAGACTGGACATATTCCTTCTGAATTTCTCTATATTTTAAGAAGGTTGAACTTTGCACCTGCAGCATCTTTAACCTTCAATTATTTTCTCTTATCTTTAAAGTTCAAATTTGGAAAGTATGTTTTTTTGTCTCTGTTTAATCCCACAGCCGCCCAAGCCTCCCAGGAAGAACTCCCCACTGAAGTCCACTATCACCTCCTCCCCTGACAGTCCACAGGATACCTCAAAGGTAATAATTCGATCTCTTGAAAGCTCACTGTTGTTTTTGCAGCAGTTTTGCATGCTATCACCTTGCTCCATCTTGAGAAAGACTGGACACATTTATATTGACGTGAAAAAAGTGAACAGCTAAACAAATACTTGCACTTGATTTAATCTGAGGTTGTTCTGTATTTTCTGAAAAATCACTGCCTCAGTTACTCACTGTAGCTGTTGTGTAACTTGAGCGATGACAGCTGCAGATTTCAATTGTGATTCTAAAAGTTGATACACTTGTTGTGTTTTTTTTAGCCTGCTGTCAATGATAAAACCTCGGTAGAGGTCATAGTCAAGCCAGTGCCTCATCCCAGGACTAAAACACTACGAAAGGAGCATAAAAATGACATCAACAACGTCGCTGAGGCTGAAGACTCAACTAATAATACAGCCGAGACTCAAACACAACCAAAAGAGCCGAGCCATGACACCACCAGCACTGCTGACTCTGAAGACTCAACCAGCAGTACAACCAGTGGAGATGTGGGTGAAGCAGTTTTATCTCTTGGTGATATTGTTACTGGGATGATACTAATAAATGAGTCTTTCTGACACATTTCAATGTCCTCTGTCTTCAGAGTTCCCCACTCAGTGAATATCCTGCACAGTATAAAAGACCTCGTCCTGCTCGTCCTCCTCCACCAAGACATTCAACCTTACAACTGACCTTGAGTGAACCCACTGGAGGGACTCGATTTGTGAATGTAAACACAGAGGCAGCTGAAGAGGTAAATAATATGGAAAAAATGATTTTGCTCAGTTACGTAAACAAGGTCTTAATTAAATGCTTTAGAATTTCTAGTTGTGGAGTTTAAGTACTTGCAGGATAAGGTTAGCTTTATTCAGTTGTTACCATTTTTAAACAAGAAAGAAAAGTATCATTAGCCTGCGTGACTTTCTCAACAGAAAGTAGTCTTTAAAGATTCTGTGAGGAGTTTTTAGCTGGTTTTGAATCAGGGTCTGGAACTGTTTAGACCTTCAGATTAACTCAATGTTTGACATTGGGGAAAGAAGCAGAAATTCAAACAGACAGAGGCATGCAGAGGTTAAAAAACACACTTTTCCCACACTGTTAGTACAGTTGTTTGGTCAGATTCAATGGACCTTCAAGCAGCAGAAGTCAGTGCATCTGACAGCAAAGGGAAAATATTTGGAATTGCAGTGGTTTCAGACACACCCACCAGCGATTAATGAATAAGAGCCGGCTGATAACTCCCGAATTGTAATACTAAGCTTGTATTTTGAAACATACTATTTCTAGTATATCTTAGGTTATGGCGCTGAATGAAAACAGTTTAAATATGAATATTTTATGACTGTTTGAATGTTTTTGGATTTACAACTGCTTCTTCCTTATCTGTCGTCAGTTTTATAGAAACCAGGAAAAAGGACCACGGCTATGAACTCACTATAGAAAATGCAGTTATCATCATTACCAGTATAGTTCCAATACATTCCTATACTGAATGTAAGACAATTGTAGAAAAATTACAGTAGACTGGGTTAGAGTAAAGAGCAATCTTGAAGCAAAGAAAGTTTGGGAATTTGGAGACCCCGAGAAACCCAACTTCCATATTTGTTTCTTACTTTAGCCTCCAGGGAAGGGTACAGAGACAAAACAGTCTACTCGTCGACCTCCTCCAGCACGTCCTCCTCCTCCCTCTATCTACTATGATAGACTACCCTGTACAACAAGACCTAAGTCTGAGGTAAGGGCTTACCTGTTTTAAAAGTTTGTGGTAAAAGCCTTTCTTTGATGTACCTATTCCTAAATCAATCACTGTCATGGTTAAAAGTTGACAGATTGGCCATTTTTAAAAATTGCTGTATCATAGATTTTCACTCATGTTGTTATTTTCTTGGGTAGAGCGACACTGCTGAGAGTCCAGGATCCAGGTGGTCCAATGGCTCCATGAGACAAACCTCAGGTTCACCAGCTCCCTCTGATGAAGACATGAACCTCAGTGATTCAACAGTAACTTTCAAATTTAAAGTCCTGCTTTCTGAGTGTGCTTAATTTGATTTGTCATAAAGACATCACAGAGTCTTGAGTTGCTCACAGGTTGTCAGTATCTGTAATCCAACTCCAGTGTGCCTCTCTCTCTGGATGAAGATTTTGGATTGCATTCAATATTTTGGTTGTTTCAGAATGTGTTATGCAACCCTGAAGTGAATGTCTTTAATTTCAAGGATACAGAAAGACCCGCAGTTCCGCCCCGCCTTGAGTACTCCTCCCTCCCTTGCTCCACCTCAGAGTATGACTTCTCGCCTGAACAGGTAAAGAAAAACTCCAACAATTATATGTGATTGACTGTTCATGGACACTCGCCAAAACAGCAACAAAAGGTGCAAATACCAAGAGGCATCCCCAGGGCTGAGGAATGCAGTGACACAGAGGCACTGAAACTGCAGTTCCTTGAGTGGCCACTTGGAGTTAACTCCAAAACAGTGTTATAGTAACTAAGTTTACAATTTAAAATCAGAATTTAACAAGCTTACACCCTGGTATGATCCTCTAATTTGGGACACTGAGCTCATTTTCCTTGACTTGAAAACTGTTCAGGAGGTGAATTTTATTTCAGATTTACTGTTTGGATTAAAACTACAATAACATCATGATAAGGCTCATAATTAGGCTAATGAGTGGCTGCCCTTTTGAGGGATAGGTCGGTGCTGCTGTCTGCTACTCCACTAAGAAAATTTAGTCACTACAGTCACTAAGCTAAATCTTTCTGTGTGATTGCTTTTTGTTTTAAGGTTGATGTCTTCTGGGGATTTTTTAATTATCTGCAGTTATCATCAGTAATTTTTTGACACATTTTTCCTGGTGTCATGGAAAATTAGATGTAATATTGTTGACCCACTGTTTGGTTGGATTTGCACAGTTCGGTAGGCATAATATTCAGATTTCAAAATGCAGCTGCAACTGTTATCTTTCACAGGGTTAAAAAACATTAAATGAAGTACAATTTTTCACCTTTTAACCTGTCATTTTTTATTTACAGCTTATTAAAAGGGAGTATTTTTTAACTCAGCATTTAACTGTTAGTCTGTGGCTTCTTTTGACTCAAAGGTTATAGCAACAAAGATACCAACCAACCCACAAGCTAACAATAAAAATGTTCACTTTGAGGTTTTAAGATATTGGCTAAGTTTAAAGTGCTAACATTTGAAATAAACACAAAATATGATACTTCAACCAAAATGCTTAGATCGGTGAATCTAAGACTAACATAATTTTGTTATTTTGATTTTGATTTTTAACTGGTTTTGTGTCCTGGTTTAGCACGTTAGAAAGCAGACATTTGCTATAATCAGCTAGAAAGCTACTACAAACTATGTGCTAAAAGAAGCAAGATAGAAAGCTGAAATACAGTAAAAATATCAAAATGTCAAATATTACATTGAAAGACTTTGAAGGTGTTTGGATCTCCTTATTCAGTCTATTAGAAAGCAGACATGTTATGAATACAAAGAATGCCTCCACCAAAGCTAATGATAATGTCACTGACTTTCAGTCTAAAGTTCAACTTGGTTACAGCCCTCAATTAGAAGTCAGGACAAAGCACAGTCAGTTCCATACCAACCCTACTTGATGTTGATGACACATTTGGTCTGTGGTAAACATGCCTGTTTGTCTGGTGTGACATACAGATAGATTTGCTTCGATAACCTCTACTGAAATTCTCCCTCCTTCTCATATCACAAGATTATGTTTCACATTCTGGAAACCTTTGATGTCAATACTGTAATTTTGTTCAATCATTGTTCAGACCAGACCACCCCCACCTTCATTCGACCCACCACCCCCACCTTCAATAGAGACGACATCAGACACCATTTACAGTGAGATAGATTATCGACCCTACCTTGATGTTCTGCCAGAGGATAACCAAAGTATGGTGAGGAAGTATATTCAGTAAATATATACAAACACACATAAACACCAACACAGAGGCTTTTGAATTGACTTTGTTCCACTTGCCCGTTAAATATCACCAGACCCTGAGGAGATCGACGATGGGCTCTGTGCAGCAGTTCCCGAGCAGCTTCTACAATTCCTACCCACGTGTCGCAGACGACACAGAGGTAATAACATCTTCTTCTTTTCACTAATTCACTTGCACTTCTCCTTCCATCGATCTAGCATCTTTCTGTTCTAAAATTAAGCATGAAACATTTTTTATGATTGAAATAGTGTCTCTCTGAAACTGGGACTGTGAAGATAATCAAACTTGTTCTCCACAGGACATCATTGGGATGCTGAGGTGGTTGAAAAGAGTGTCAAGTGAGTGGAAAACTTTTAAAACAACTTGTATAAACATGTGTCTTTTTACACTTGAACATGATCATGAACCCTTTTAATATACCGTGGTTGACATAATATCAAAGTCATAAGAATCAGCTAACTATTTAACTTACCTTTGTGCTTTTATTTTGACAGAGTCTGACTCCATGGCTCCATCACTGTATGGCCTCACTATAGAGGAGGAAGTCAGGTAACCGCACAGATACCGTAATTATTCAGTGCCATTTTTATCTCTTTAAAATATGATGAGGAAAGTATGCTGCCAGGTATACGCATTAGATGTCTACTGTGCAGTTAAAACCTCCAAATACCAATTTACATCATGTTTTTTTGCAAAACAACTAAAATAAGAGTGGAATTAAAGCGGCTGAATTGTTTCTTGACTAATTTCAAATATAAGCAGGATGACAGAATAGGTTCTCATCAAACTTGTGTCACTTTCTGTCATTTTTGCCTTCAGATCATTTAATCAGAGAGCCATGAATGTTCGAAAGGCCCTGCGTCTCTTTAACCTCCTCATGATGAAACGCAATGAGACTCTGCGGGACATTATCGCGGAGTTCAACGCCCTTTGTGAAAGCCTGGACAAAGTGCACAAGATGAGTAAAACCATGGGCATCGCAGGAGGCACCACTGGTGCTGTGGGAGGGGTGACCGCAGTGTTGGGGATCGCCCTGGCACCTGTGACCTTTGGGGCCTCTCTGATCGCTACAGCTGTTGGTGCTGGTATGGTGGCGTCGGCCGGGGGGATAAGTGTGCATACTGCCAAAGCTGGCAAGAAGGTTGTGAACAGGATGACAGTGGAGAAACTGGTGTATGACTATAAGGCTAATGTTGTTGACCTGGAACAGTGCCTGGACTTTATCCTCTCTGAGATGAATGAGCTGCGGAGGCATGACATCGCAAGGTTACAGAGGGCCGGAGCCCCACTTGATGCAATCAAGACGGCCCACCTATCACAGTCTGTGTTCAGGGTAAACGACAACAGAAAAGGGCCGCACATAGGTGGGATGGCGTCTGAGAGACTGCTTCAGGCTTTTGCCAAGGAAATGGACGAGTATTTCACAGAGAAGAACGATCAGAAGCTGAGGAAGTCAACCAGAAGCAGGTTTTGTGGGAGGATGTGCCTGCTCGCTAAAAATCTGCAGAGTGAACTGGATTACCTGAATCTCATGTGGGAGTTGTTGAGCTGAGGGAATGAAAACTTTGAATGGATGTGTGTATGAGTGAGAAAGTGTTTCAGATTCCTTTAATTTGTGGAATTTGCCATCAAATGCCTTATTTATCTCCTTCATTATAAAAACCTTTTAGCCACATAGAAGAACTTTTTGTGTTTGCCTCTTTGTCTATGTGTGAGAGTGTTTACCAAAATGGTTCCATATGTGCAATTGGTGTTTGAATGCCTCATTTATCATGTATATTTTATTTTAACTCAGGTTTTGTTTGTATCTATGCAAATGAGTGTTTTAGATGGATGGTATATGCAATTTGTGATTGAATGGTTTATTTAATATATATGTATTAATATATTTTAAGAAACATACAAGCTGAATAAAAATTCTTTTTATACTCCACTATTAAATGCTGTCATATATTTTAATAAATGTTGATTAGGTTACTGAATAATGGTTGTTGTGTTTTTGTGTGTGAGAAAGTGTGTTTCAGAATTTTAAAAATTATTTAAAAATATATATATTGGAAAGTGAGACTGACTTCTCAGCTACTATCAGGAGTTTTTTGACATTGATGAAATGGGCCAAAGTCCATCTTATTTCATCACTATGATACTTTAAATCAAACAGGACCAGTGGCAAAACAATTATTGTGATATTATTTGTAATACCTGAAACTTATGTGAGGGAGCAGGTGTCAGCCAAGCAGTTGAAGGAATCTCCCTGTGTCTACAGTTTCTGTATAAAATAGCCACAATAACTGATATATTGGACCGTGAAAAGTACACAAAATGTTTTTCTTTTCTTTTGTAAAAGTCACTGCTCAAGCCTATTGAAGATAAATATGTCCACAATGCTTTTTAATTGACATCATGCACTGGAAATTACACCTGAACAAGCAGCCTAAGCACTGCGTTGTGGTATAGTATGGGGGTATGGGAGCTTACTGGTGTAGTTACAATTTTCATAGATAGGAAGCTTTTGATTAAGCTTTTGAATCACTATAATATGAGAGAAAATAGGTTGAACTAAATATGTAAGTACTGCGATGTTTCAAATTTGTGCAAGGGCCCTTCCTTCCTCAAATCTGCCAGGAATAGTAGCCTTCTGGTGACACACTCATGAAATGTTTCCTTACAATGTTGACAGACCTCAGTTTTTGAAAAGCTATCATAAAGTGGTTATACCAAACACAGGTTTGAAACCACTGAAATCTATCCTCACCATGAACCCAAACTCAAACACACCAGTGCTATAAGCAGTTTCAATCAAGGGGTGGTTTACTTCATAAACTGATAACTGTGACACAGCTGTCCCTCAGTAATATCCCTAAAAACGAAAGACATGGGCCTCTAAAACAACGAAACACTTGGATGGCACCGAAAAAGAGAAATAATAGCCTGCCTGACAATGAGTGACATTTGGAAAACAAAACATTGGCGGAGTGATACAGTAGGCACGGCGGAAGGATACCCCTCCCAACGCTCAGATTAAGCTCTAATAGCAGCACAGCGCCTCTGCCTGCGCCATTTCCTCTCCTCCTGAGAAACAACAGCAGACAGCATCGTTGAACATCGATCTTTTGGCCGAAATGGCAGTGTAAAAGTGTGCAGCGACCTAGCAGCCAACCAAACAGTGCATCCAGCAAGTGCACTGAGTCACACTTTATTCAGCAAAAATGTCGTAAGTATATTTTTAGTCTTACTTATCGATGACAGTTTTGGTGCGGCCTACATTACTCACGCGCCTTATCAGCTAGGCAGTTCATTAACCTTAAATAACATCTGAAATTAGTCTGACAGCTATTAATATGTTGACGTTTTGTGTGTTTCTGTCGAATGTTAAAGTTATTTTTGAAAAATTAAAAAATTCGGAGAAGTAAGGATTTGTTAAAAAGATGATGCAACACGTGACGTTACTGTGAAACGAATATTTACGTAATTTTCTCAATGAAAGTCGGTCAGTTTAATAAATGTAGCGAAAAGAGCTATTCCGTATATTTTTTAATTGTGTTTTTGACAGCTGCCAACGTGGCGGTAAGCAGATGGTTCGTTATTCTTTGGTTCAAAATGGCGGCTTCATGTAGGCGGTGGTAGAACAAAAGTGTGGCTGTTTATAGCGAGGGGAAGTTGACGTAAGCCTGACGTCAGAGTCATAAGACTGGGTGGATACACGGGATGTGCAGCAGGTGCAGTGCAGCCATGGGGGCAGTGTTGTGCTGCAGTATTAACTGGGTCATAATGGAGACACTTAAACCACCTACTGTATTTTTTTTACTCAGGAAAAGAAAACATTGTTGATAAATAACTCAGATATTGAGGCTGCATTACTATTATTATTTGTTTCACATATACGTGATGATGAAGTTTTCTCAACTTTTCTCATTTTTCATTGACTACAGGTCCTACGTGGAAACCCTCACCACTGCTGCTTTCGACAGCATAAAAGAGTTCGAGACCTGCCTACTGTCACGCTCTCCTTTCGTGACCAACAACAGCCACTATGACCATGATGATGACAAACTCACAGTTTGGCCTGGAAGACATGGAGGCCCTTCTCTGGGAGCCTTCCTCTCCCATGGCTGACCACATGGATCTCATGTCTTTCCGCCCTGACGAAGAAGAACAGCAGAAAGGAGGAGGATTGTCACTTGAGGGGGACACCTCACCCGTCTCCCCTCTCGCCTCCTCGTCACCGTCTTCTTCCTCCTCTCCTCCTCCCTTCTACTCTCCCCCTCCTTCGCCGCTGGCCGCCCTCCTCCCTGGGGACAAAGCCGGGGCCGAGTCTGACCTGCTCTCCCTCCCGTGGTTGGGTGACCCCAGTCAGCTGAGGCAGTCAGTCTCAGATGACGGCAAAGGTGATAAAGATGTAAAATAAAACATCCAAAAAAGTGGAGTGTTTATAGAAAATGTCACGTGTTTCCTGCAACAGTTATTTATAAAAATGCTTTGTTTACATCCACAGAGGATATGTTTGGTGACTTTGACTGGATGGCAGAGAGAGTGGACCTGAGCGAGTTCGACCTGGACTCTCTGATTGGCTCCTGCAGCCCTCATGATGAGTCCCCCAGCTCTCCAGAAGACCTCTTGTCCTCCCTGGATTGCCCCATGGAGCTTGAATCCCTCCCTGTGTCCACCCCTGAGAGTTTCCCTGCTGCCCCTCCTCAAAGTCTGCCTCCCCCTCCCTCCCCTCCTGTCTCTCCAGAGCCTCTTACCATCATAGTAGATGAGCCTGAATCCTGCATTGATGACCAGGATGTCCCCTCCTCTCCTTTGGTTGTCCCTGAGCCACAAGAGGAGCTTGAAATCAAATCTGAGCCCGCTTCCCCAGACCCATCCTCCCCTGCCTACACCCTGGACCTGGGCAGTGAAGTGGACGTCTCAGAGAGCGAGGTGAAACCTGTAATCACTCCTGTTGTCCCTCAAGTTCAGAGGCTTGTCCTCTCTCTTTCCCCGACTCGCATCGTCCTCGTGCTTGCCCCCAAAAAGGAAGTCTCCATCGCCACGGTAGCCACTACATCCTCCCCTCTACCAAAACCCTCCAGAAGCAGACCCTACCCTGAGCCGACGTACACCGCCAGTCCACCCTCAAACAGTGCAGCCGGCGTCAGACTAAAAGGTGCAAGTGGAGAAGAAAAGGTTTCTTTTAAGGCGCCAAAGGCCAAGAAACTGAAGAAGATGGAGCAGAATAAGACTGCGGCCACCCGTTACAGGCAGAAGAAGAGAGCCGAGCAGGACGCGCTTCTGGAAGAGCACACAGTGCTGGAGAGGAAGAACATGGAGCTGAAGGAGAGGGCTGAGTCAATGGCAAGGGAGATCGAGTACCTGAAGGAGCTGATGGAGGAGGTCCGCACCGCCAGGACCACGAAAGGTCTCAGCGCTGACCCCTAGTGGTTACACTGAACAAGGACAGATAATGTGTTTTAGAAAGTGACCATTTAGAGAGTGAGCTCAGCAGATTTTAATTCCTTTATATACAAGTATCATTCAGTGTGTGTTATATCCACCCAGCATGTCTTTGACCAGGTGTATCCCTGACACAAATGTCTGACATTAATTATAGAGTACTTTTGATATCTTTAGAGTAGTTCTTTGGAAAGTGTTTTCCTCTCAGTGTATGAGCTTGTGTGTTTTATGTAATGTATGTATATTTTTCTCATGTCTGGACCTCAGTGACTTGCTAGTTCGCTGTCTTTTAACATTTGGAGTTATGAAAACAGTATAACCCGACCATCTGTATTATGGATCCTCTAATAAAGAGTCTTAACCCTAACTGCTGTTGTATGGCCTGAGTTTTTTAATGCATACTAGGAGATTATGGGTGATTAAACAGATCCCAAAGGGTTCTTTTAATCTTCACAATGAAAAGTCAAAGTAATCACAGTACAAGACCACAAAAAACTGTCTTATCTGAATATTGACCCTGCAGTCATGATATCGGAGCATACCTTATGGGACTGAAAGGCTAGCTTATTACAAAGACTGAAGCTAAAAATGTTGCAGGTACATGAAATAAGTTAAGAATTTGATCTTAATACTCTGGATGTTTAAACTAGGGGAAGGTATGATTTAAACCTGAAATTACAGTGAAGGCAATTTATTAATGACATGACATTGCAACTTAAATCTCATCAACTGAGAGGTCTAGCATCAGACACAAACTACATAACACGGGCATGGTTACTGTTAATGTCAGCGAATGTACTTCATAAGCCACAAAAACTACCAGGATACCACAAGGTTTTGAGCTGACACAGATTTTATAGTACATATGTTGCAGCTGGCATGTGAGACTGCAACTAAGGGGACTGAAATATCTAAAGGTTTGATATGTGACATTCATGTCCATATATCGGGAGTGATGCCATCTGTGATCTACGTATATACATTCCAATCACATAGAAACAAACATTCTCAGGATATATGATGTAGGTTTAAAACGTAAAGATTTTAAAAGGGCATTTATTTAGATAAATACCCAACAATCTGTATAGGGCATCAAATGTGTTTGGCATGAAATGTTAACATGCAATTTATATATGCAAGTACACAAATACCTATCTATCTATCTATCTATCTATCTATCTATGTTGATTAATAATAATATAATGTATCATTTGTCTTTACAGTATGTAATATATGTTTTGATCGTATGTGTTGGTAATGTATTAATCTGATTATGACATGTTTTCTTCGCCAATGTCAAAAATGTATGTTAAATTTTTTAGAGGTAGGTACATTAAATAATCAGTTTGATTCATTTGCGCATGTTTTGACCATATATGCTGATAACATATACATTTGTATGGGCCACACATTTATGTGCGTATATTCTGGATATGGGATTGTGATATACAGTATGTACACACAGTGATGGAGGTTATGCTTCAGGCCCTAATAAAGCACTAATACAAGGTTTAATAGTTTTTAAATGTAACTGTGTGAGCCTCATCATCATTAATCTCCCTGTGCTGCTTAAATTTGGCTGACCTTCAAGGATTAGCAACTGTACATCTGAATTCAGGTATCAAATCACAATGTTATGAGATGGTTTCCTGCTGTTTATGACCTTGTCCTGAACAGAACCTGCTTTCATGTTTCTCCAAATAGAGAAATTCTTATTCCAACGTAAACTTTAAATCATGTTTTTGGATCAACATGGATGCTGTACGTATTATTTATATTGCATAATCTGATTAGGCAAAAAGCATCCCATGAGTGCTGATATAGTGTTTGAAGTGACTGTTAACTATGGATGTATCACCTCACCTCAGGTGCTCTAAATTAGGGTACAACACATGACAACAGGTTTTGTTGCTTAAATGTTGTGTTATTATAATGTACACTATACAAACATGGCACTATGCCATTTAACCACCATTTTTCATACGACAAGCATTGTTTGCTGGTCATACCTCTTAGTTTTTTGGCTCAATGCTCAGACTTGGTGACAACAGTTAGTGACGAATTTTTCTTTACTCAGATTCCACGTGATTATCAATCTGAGTGGAGCCTCTCACAAAAGACCAGGAAAAGGCTAATGGAGTCCGCCTGACCGCTGCAGGAACACACTGTAGGTATGCAATCAACTGACAGTCATGTGAAGCTAATAGCGGCCATTTCAGGGAAAACCCGCTCAGGATTTAATATAAAAATGCTGTCGTATGTTCAGTCCTTTTTCTGGTGATTATAAAAAAAGACATGTTGAGGTTTTGAACCATATGTTTGTCATAGCCCGTGGGAGAATCGGTGAGCAGATGGGGGGAGAGATGAGTGCTGACTGGTGCTGACCTATGCGCAGCTTGAATAATATTACCGACTAAAATGTGTGTATTCATCAGACTACAACCGGCCCAAGGTGTGCACACTGTAATTGGTCCAGGCTTTGGTCCAGACAGCTCGGGGACGATCCATATCTGGAGGAACGCCAAAGTCAAGATGGTGCAGAGCTACTTACAAAAGGAGAAACAAAAGCTTGGCAGGGATTGTGTGTTCTGCCTCTGTAAATGGCCTCATTTTTCTGGAAGATCTCATAGATTATTACTTCTTGAACTCCATATTTATCATAGACCACATCTTTTCTCCATTTAGCCCAGTTTTAGACTTAGTTACATTGAGTACAAAAGCTTTCCTGGCCTCCAAGATTAAAGGAAAAAGATCCTATGAGGTACAGTCCAGATGTGACTGTAGAAACTACTGTAGTGAAGTATCTTTTGGTAATGAATTTCGTGATAACAGTAAAACCATTTAATTAATTGAATTTCAGGTTCTTTCTACAGCCTACATCTTACAAATAACACATTTTAAGCACCTCTTTTTATAAAGTTTCTGCCATATTTACAAAATCTTTCTCTAAAACAGACAGTAAGATCCTGTTTTCTCAGCGTCTTGCATGAATACCATGTAATTTTCCACTTCAGAGTAGCAAATTGTCTTTCCACAGTGACACCCAGTGGCTCAATTTTCCAATTACTGCACCCACCACAGCATTTCAATGATGAGGACAAAGTAAAATATACACAGAACAAACACAACAATAACAAGATGAAGACCAAAACTACACAACAATATATCCATCTCTTTTATTTTCTTCTGATGATGGGTAAAGAACTGATGACGCAATCACGGTTTAGGCAGGAACACACAGGAAGTGACGTCACTTTGGCTACAGTAAAGTGGTAGAACTTACACAGTGCAAAAATGCTTTGCTAAAAGCGCCACAATGTGACATATTTTGACACTGTAAATATGCACAGCTTATACGATATATTCACAGGTGATTTAGGACTCTAAGACTCCAAATAAATGTCTGAAACATTTTTTTCATATCAAATTGTAAAGTCATGCTCGTCACACTAAGTGCTGCGGTAGCCTACGTCACTAGATGAAGCACAGAGTCAGTAAAGCATAAGGAAAGCATGGGTGGGGTTTCTCTTATAGGCTTTTGTAGAAAATAACATAGTAGAGCATGGCAGTGGTATCGGTCACATATTTTATATGCTTGTATTTGTAACTTTCAGAGTGTAAATTCTGTTTTTTCCACTTTCTCTTTTATTTTTTGCAATTGCTTTGACCGTATTCAGACGGGGCCATTTCCTCTAATATCACACTCAGGATAGTAGGTTTCAAAGTTGTTTTGATATTTGTATGGCTATATTCACAGTTGTTAGTCAAAGGGTTGGCTTGTCTACCAGGGATGTTTTATTTAGTGTTTTATTTCTTAGTTCTTTAAAATTCAGCCTTCTAACTAAGAGTAGGAAACATCAGAGGAATTAAAGTTGAGCCCCAGTGGCTGACATTAGTAAAATTGGCACCACCATCCCTCAGTCTAGTAGTTCTCAAGTCCAGTCCTCGAGGCCCACTGTCCTGCATGTTTTGGATGTTTCCCTGCTCCAACACACCTGATTCAAATGATCAGCTCGTTATTAAGCCATTCCAGAGCTTGATAACGAGCTCATCATTTGAATCAGGTGTGGTCGCATCCAAACATCCAAAACATGCAGGACAGTGGGCCTCGAGGACTGGACTTGAGAACCACTGCCTCAGTCCATGTAGGTTAAAATCCACATGCCTGTGCTGGTAAGGCTCTGGTTAAGTGGTTAAATGCTAGTTCGATAAGACACAGCCCACATACTGTTTTCTAGATTGCAAGACCAGCAAATTTCACAGCGTTACAAAATGCCATTAGTGCTTTTTTTTAACACCCGGAGAGTACAGTATCGACAAAAGCTGCTGGTGGAAGGTGGCTGCCCTACAGGTGATTGTTTCATATGTTGTAGTAGCTCAAAAGGGGGCTCTGTGACCCTTAACATTTTCTCTTTCTGTCATCCTTCCAGTCGTTGGTAAAATCCATGAGAGCTAGTTGTAACCAATAAACTTGTACAACACATTTTTAACCCCTAACGACCTGTATCCCAGCATTATTAGAGCATTAAATCTTCTTTCCTGAGTGTGACATCAGCACAAAATGACCACCGTGTGAATACAGTCAATAAAGGTAGAAGGATGTGATGGTGTACCAGAAATCCCCAAATAGACCTGCTTAGGCAAGAGTTAGAGGATAAGGAGTGAGGTTGCCTTCAACTCTATAGGCACTCGTTTATTTGCATGCGGTGTCTTAACATGCCTCTGAGAGCTGAATATATATTTTTTTATTTCTCAAAACATCTCTATTAATGTGAGAAAAAGGAGTCTCAATGATGTAGAAAAGGTAGGAAAAGCCCTATGTGAGCTCCAATGGTTCATGAGGTTATGTTGTTTCAGTAGCATGCTAAAGCCTGATGTAGCCTATAGGATACCACCCCCCACTGCAGGGCTGTACTCCCACTCACACGCTTTGATGCTGAGGCACGTTGCTGAATCTACCTTGTCGATAAATGCACTGGATGCATGAACGCTAACAGCCAGCCTGAGCTGCTCCGCAGGGATCTGAGACCGCACACAGTTTCGGTTCAGCCTGACTGTTTTTTAGAGCTACTCATGTGCATGAATGCTACAGCAGAGGAGGGCTGAGAAGAAATGCTGAGTATCTGCTGCTTTGGAGGGGGTTGCATTTATCTTCTTAGCACGAGAGAATCAACAAAATTAAGCAAAGTGCAAACACGGATTCCCTTTTACTCCCAGAAACGAAATCAAACACACAAAAAACTAATATGAATTAATATGTGGCTTACATCTGCAGTTTTGTAATTCGCACTCATCTGCATATCTATAAATGTTCCAGATTTTCCCCCTGGTGGAAACATTTCTACCCTGACTCCCTGAGCAGAAACCAGCTTAGTGTTAATGAAAACATTTCACTATCTCTCATATTCGTAATCAGATATTTCACATCCAAAGGTGCACTAGTATAAGTCAAAACTCTACTCCCATTTAGTACACAATGGGGCAACAACACAATCGTCTTACTTCTATTTCTCATATAGTCTTCAAATATAATTGGTTGCTATTAATCAAATCTTTTACTATGATTCAAACTAATTAAAACTGAATGACAGAAATGGCACTTGATGCAGAATAGTACAACCGTATAATAAAATGTACTCCAAGTCTTACATAGACATTTTCTCACTCTATTTTGATAATCAATAATTACAGCAGACACAAGTCCTGACTGCTCATGATATCATAGTTTTTTTTGTTTTTGTTTTTTTTTTACACATTTCCCTTTTGATTTTGATGTAACTCCTCATCTTTTTTGTTTATCAGTGCAGCCTGAATGTAAAGGAGTGGTTCTTCTTTTGCAGTTTTGAAACAGGGACTAGTTAGCAGCAGTTGATGTCTGTGTACATGCTCATGAAAAGGGATCGAGCTCTGGTCCCCTGAAGCTGAAGCAGTATGTTTCTCCTCCTCCTCCTCCTCCTCATGTATTTCAGGAGAGTGTTTGGAACATTTTGTCTCTGACGTGCTTTTTCAGTCTGGCTCCAGATTTGCTCAGTGATCGGTGAGTTCAGTCTTCACATTTCTAACAAAGAGTCTCTTGTTGGAAACTTCTGTTTTTCCTCAAACTCGTCAGGAAATCTTGATGAGGTTTCAGTGACATAAAGTGACGTTCAAGCCTTTTTAAAGGCTCAAAGCAAGGAGGAAAAGCTGGACGGCTTTTCTTTTGATTCAGTCGTGTCACTGGAGCTGGCATCCTCGACAGTCGTCCTCGGGCTCAGTGTTGTCGGAGGAGTAAGAGCTCTCCTCGCTCACTGTCAAATGCAACGAAATTCAATTAGACAGACGTATAGTATGAAATTAGATTTGTAAACATCAGGAGCTCTGTCTAACACACATAAAAAACAATGCAGAGTGATGCTGACAGTTTTCAATATCACACCTAGCTCTCTTGTTGTTTTAACAGTCAATTTATTTGCACCCATCTGTGCACCCGCGGGCACATCAGTCTCAGAATGAGGTGTGGTCAGGCGCATTGGTGTTGCATCGCTATCTTAGAGCAGGAGAAAACAACTGCACCACTGACTGACTGACTAAACCTGGTACAAGTTAAAGGTGTTTTCTTGCTTTTTAGAGAAGCAGGAGATGTTTATAATTTATCTGTTTACTGCCTGCACATAAACGCTCTGCAGCACTGCTGTTCCTCTGCTAAACATTAGTGCACTTTCTCAAAGCAGTCAACATAGTGTTACTTGCTTTTTTTGCATTGTGCAATCACTGCAGCGCACAAAGTCTCAACCTGTGCATAGTAATATTTGGAAAAAATGCCTGTATGCATCCTGTGTGTACAGGTGCACACTGGAAAAAGAGAGGACTACAAGCCTGAGTGCCTATGAAGCTCAAGTCTATGTAGAAAAAAGACAAAAAAAAGAAAAAATCTGCATTTAAAGCTCCGCGTTTGCCTTCAAGTGCACCTGGCTTTCAAAGGAAGCGAGTGATGACATAACGATGGTTTGCTTGCACCCTGAACTGATGAAATGGGGTTGAACAGCATGCATGACACACTTGCGCTATAAATCCTGGAGCTGAACTCTTATAATGCTTAAAACCACTAATCTCTCGTGGAATATGTAAATTAGTATATAATGCAGTGAGTACTTATTACGTTCTGAGGTGTAATGCTGTTTTCTGATACTGGAAAGCTGTATAATTTAATTTCACTGTGTAAGTAAGGGCACAACTTGGAACAAGAGTGAAAATACTGTCAGTGTAACACATCAGTTTCATGCAGTGTATTTCATTTATCCAAACTGCCATTTAAATTATAGACATGACAATAAAATGATGAAACTTACGCCATTCAGTCTGAATAGGGAGGAAAGCCTTGTCTCCGTTCTCTCTTATCATCTCCTCTATCTTATCCAGGAGCACAGACACACTCCGGTCCTTCCCCGGAGTTTTACTGTCCAGGACGTGGTAATAGTTCCCACAGTATTCAAGCAGTCTTTGCAGCTCTCGGCCACCTCTAAGGATGTGCTCCTCGATGGGTGTGCGGCCCAACCAATCACCACAGCTGAAGAGCACCATGGTGTGGAGGCACGCGCTGTCACCGAACAGAGTCTCTATGTGCGCCAGGAGCGTCCTCCTCTTCCTGGCAGTGAGGGACGAGACCACAGGGAGGACGAGCAGCAGGGTGTGGGGTCCAGGTCGTAGGAGGGCGGCGCCTCGCTGGGACTCTTGACGGATACGCTTTGGGGTTCGCCTCACTGAGAACCAATCCCAGCCTGGGGTGTCGACGATGGTGACCCGGCGACCAGATACAAGCGCCTGCCGCCGAAGGCACAGCTCAGTCTCCTGGCCTGACTCAAAGTATCGACGGCCCAGGATGGAGTTCCCAACAGAGCTCTTTCCAACGCCCTTCCAGCCTAACAAGAGTAACCTCAACTCTGTAAACACAGAGAGACAGACAGAGAAGGTATTAGATAATGAGAGATAAAAACATGAGAGAACTGGCTCTTTTAATCTTCCTCTACACAACTGTACTGTGGGTTTGAAATCCAATAAATGTACTTGATGATTGTTGTAATTTTAGGGCTCTGAACAAATGAGCAACTGAAAGGACAAGTGATAGTTTCTATGGTCTCCAGTTGTGGAACAGCCTGCCGGACAGCCTCAAGGCCGCAGAGACTGTTGATGTTTTTAAGAAGAGGCTCAAGACTCACCTTTTTGACCAGGCTTTTTACTGATTGCCTTTTTATATTTCTTTTATTTCTGTTCTTAGTCTTTTTCTTAACTCCTGCCTTCGATGTTTTTACTTCTTTTACCCCTTTTTGTATGGTAAAGAGCTCTTATTTGTTCATTTTCTTTTCTTGTTTTAGTCCATCAGGTTTTAGTCTTTCTTTTTACTATTATTTATTTATTTATTTTATTCTATTTTTTTATCTTTTATCTTCAGTGTTTCCTAAAGGTAGATCTTTCCTCATGCAATGTCTTGGTGTCAGGCCATGTCTCTTTGACAATATATCTTAAATTCTCAAACTGTGTGTGCTTGTGTGTGTGTGTATGTGAGGGTGGGTGTGTGTCTGTGTGTGGGTCCATGGGTGGGGTTTTATTGTTGTTTAATTGTTGTTTTTAGCCTCTGAGAGCAGGGCTGGCCCAAGGTATACTAAGCGCCTGCTTCGGGCACTGCGGCCAATAGGGGCCCGCAAGAGCAATTAATTTTTTTTATTTTTTTTTTTTGTCTTTTGAATGCATGAGTGATGCTTTCTGTTTAATCAAATATATATTATTGTAAAAATAAAATTAAGTAAAGTAAAAACGTTTTAGTGCTGCTGCTTCTGTAGGCCTTTGATTCTTACTGACGATATGTCAAAGCTCCGCTACCGTTATGTGCCTTCTGCTGTGAAATGTGCACTGAGCATCCAAAGAGCAGGTAGTTGTGGGGCGAAAAAATGTCACAAAAAAGGACACATACTTCAGGAGCAGAGAAAAGAAAATGCAAGAAGAGAAAAAACGCCAAGATAAAGGTATGTTTGCATGTCATGGAATGTTAATCAAAGAGATTTGTGAAGGTGTGTGAATGATCAACAATCAATATCACTGGCAGAAATAAAGGGCCCCAAAATCAAAATTTGCTTAGGGCCCCATTGAGGCTCTGTCTGTGAGGCACTTTGAGCTATATTTTTTGTCTGAAAAGTGCCATACAAATAAAGTTGAATTTGATTTAAGTGAAAATATGCAAAGACAACAGCTAATATTAGCATGGCAGATACAACAAACAGACACCCGTGCTTTTCAAACCTGTTTGTATTTGCAGTTACTGGCTAATTTTAGCTAAAAAGTTGCTCAAATCTAATGATAGATGCTATTTTGGTTAGCTAAGTTAAACATATGTTAGCATTTAATAACAGCAGGAAATAAAGTCCAAGCTAACATCATGGAGATCTGACCTGATACCACCTACTAACGTCAGCTAGAAGGTGGGTAAAATGAGTTGGTGTCATATGATAGATGAGGAGCAAATGAGGCAAATGCGTTGTTTTAACCCATCCATTAGCCAACCTCAGACAGCAGCTACCAACATGGCAAGAGTTCTCTCTGGATTTCCACCATCTATTGTCTTTTTAATTGCTCATCAGTCCATGACAGCTAGAATAACAAAGTTTTATAAATACCCAACAAGCTTACAGCCTACAGTCTGAAACAGCAGTATGACATCATTACAGCATTAAAGCCCCCCCCCCCCCCCTCCACTAAAACATGATATCAGAGGAAAATGGCTGCAGAGTGAATGTGTTGGGTGATAAACCGTTTAGAATTGAAGCAAAGAAACTGAAAATCAGCATTATTGATTGACGATGAGTAAGCTATTTCTGAGAACACCAGCCCTGGAATTTCCCAAGAACAGCATCACTGCAATTCTAGAGAAAAACACACAAGCCCACTCAGAGCGCAGCTGCTGCTTCCTCATACCTCTGGGAGGTCCTCCAATCATCTGCTCCCTCTGTCTGGTGTGCTCCTCCATTCTCATTCTCTCTTCCTCCAGAGCTCTCCTGGCCTGCTCCTCTTCCAGTAAAATCAGCTCGTTCACCTCAAAGTACCAGCCTGCAAGACATCAACACTGAATTATTCATTGTTTTTAATCAGGTTCAAAACAGACTTGGTGTATTCATTAATAATACAAGATCAAAATATTAAAATTGCAGAGGTGATGCTCTACATTGGGTGTCGTGTTACGTAAAAACAAACAAACCTTGGTTGTCAGTGATCAACTCCTCCACTTTCTCCATCAGCTCAGGCACCTGTGTGTTGTCTTCTGTCTCTTTCCGAGTGTTGTCAAAGGCGTGGTATCTGCAGGTAGTGCAAATGCTATTACTAAAGGGCCACAGCACTAGTTTTAATACAATAACTTTTACTTTTATTCATCTTTTATTCAGCTGGAGAGACCTATCAACCTTAATTTAACTCATCAGGCGGTGAAAACAGTTATATAACATCCCCTGTGTCTCTTTAGGGAGCTTACCAACGTTACGAGTAACCCCGAAGATGTCACTGGGAGTATATAAGCTTAAGCTTAAGACATGCAGTTTTTAGGAGAAGGTGTGATACTCTGGATGTAGGCATTATTGAAGCTTAAATCATAATACGCCATTTTCCACCGGTGTGGTACTTAAGGTGGGGAGCAAAATGCTGCCGTAGTGTCTTAATGCTGAGTGTCAGATTACAAATTGAATAAATGTAGGGAAGGAAACTTATTTTTGTTTCATTTTTAGTTGAAGGGAAAGTCCTGGAGGGTATCAACACTATAGTTAACTCATCAGCCACCACAACATAAGAGAAGATATTCCTTTAATAGTCACACAGGGGGAATTCCAAAAGACAGCAGCTAAAAATGGCATTCAGTCACTTCTTACTTTATGTTTTTAGTATTACTGGATTCTAAGCTAAAAATATCTTTACAGAGGATTTAATCTAATAAAAATGTAAAAACTCTAATTTCAAACGTTATTCCACTTACTGATGGCCAAAATCACATTCACCTTGAAAGTCTGGAATATAAAGTATTAACTATTACACCTCATAAAAACCTACTTGGTAAACTTGGGTGAAAATGCTGGCCTTATTTTTGTGTATTATCTTGACATAAGTTTAATTTCTGGATTTAGTGGATGACTGTGACTTTGACTGTGAAAACCTAAGAATGATCTAGCATGCTGTTTGAATTGAAAGATAACGATTATCTTTGACTTATCTATCCATCTGTACTCCTTTAAAAATCTACAAAGTATAAAATATGTGTAATTGCCCTTTAAGCTATTTTCTTGTTCCCATAGCTTCCATTTTCTGATTTTCCGAGGAAGAGGTTGGACGTAGGATCAGCTGTTTTCTAAAATTAGCAAGGGGGTTAGAGGATTTGTTGTGTTAACTTGACAGTAGCTTTAGATCCCTATTAAGTCTTTAAACCTCATATTTAAACTGTGGTGAAGACAAGGTTAAATGCTAATGCTAGCTGCTGTCTAACGGTATGTAAGGGGATTTATTATCAAATGTATTGTTTTAAGTGTCAAGTTCCTTAGAAGCTGTAAAATGGTACAACTTAACTGGAATCTGGAAAACATACTGTAATTACAAAATTGTCAGCCCTTTCTAGCTTCCCACCCTGATAATGAAGTTATAGGAAAGAAGCCACTGTGGGAAAACACAGTGAGAAGAAATGCTACTACTCTGTTGCTCCCACCAAAAGATCTGGTAATAATTTTGCGGTTGTTGCAGCTGGACTGATTAAGTCCTGATTGCAACATGTTTCTTTGTTTAACTGTTTTTTATGAATGAACAGACAGAGGAAAAGAGAGTAAAACAGACAGCGTACCTGCTTCCACATCTCTCCACCAACCACTGCAGGGACTCTCCAGTGTTTGCAATGTGCTCCTCGATGAAGACCCCTTTAGGCAGCTTGTCCACCCCTGTGAAAACCACCATTGAGTACCTCCAGGTCCCTCCACCCAGAGCCCCCAGCTGCTCCTCTGCCGCCCTCCTCTGTGTCTCCGTGAAAGGCTGCGTGACTGACACCACCAGCAGGATAGCGTGGGGTCCAGGAGGGCAGAGAATGGCCCCCATGCATGGACCCTCGCTGTCCAGGCTCGGCGGAGGCTGAGGCGGGGTGTTGGACTCGGCTCCAGCATTGTCGTTGTTGTCAGTTTCTGCGCTGTCGTCAGGATCGGAGGGAATGGCCCATGGCGGGGTGTCGACCACAGTGACCCGACGACCGTAGATCTCCGTCTGACCCACGTTGCTGTGAGTGGTCTCTGTCCCTGCGTCGAAGACCTCATCACCTAGGATGGTGTTGGCAGTGGAGGTCTTACCAGAATGCGGCCCTCCTAGGAGCAGGAGCCTCCGCTCTGGAGGGTGTCGGCCCCTGGGGTCACCTGTTGAAACACAAAGTGAGAGATTACGCTTGAGGTTGTCCCAGGTGGAAACATCTTTTCCTGACTCTGTTTCATCTTCTGTTTTATCTCTGGATGACTGCCTCGCCACTGAAGTACTTTTGTAGAAACTTTTGCATCTCTCCTCTTTATTTCTCTTCTCTCTCCATCAATTCTGACCTCCTTCTTCAAATTTTCTTTCATCCCTGCTCCTTTCTACACTACACCTGCCTTATCTTTCATTCATCCCAGACTCTCTTCTGTCCCTTCCCATCATGCCTCTCTTTTGTTTTCCACCTTCCTAAGCTTTGGAAAAAAACATGCCAAATAGGAGGAACCTTGGATCCCCTCCAGAGAGAAGGGCATGTGGACAGAATATGATTTACTCTCAGTAAAAGTTACACAACAAGGGTAAATGTTTCTAGAAACAGTGCAGCAGAAGAGCATGGATATTCAAGAGATAGCAAGCGGAAATATGTTTGTGCTGTGCTGATGACAGGATGTAAAAATGGAATGTGAGAAGAGGAAGTTTGGTGATTTATTTCAAACTTAGGAGGGCTGCCAAACAGGAGGAACTGACTCAAGCAACAGTGTCTCACTATTGTAGGTGTTTGATACAGACCGTGGAGAGTTCTCCTCGATTGCTGTGACTGGCTGAATGGTAATGAAAAGGAACCTGATGAGAGGTGTGTAGCAAAGGATGTTAAAAAAAAAAAAGCACTTACCAGTGTCAGAGGCAGAGGACACAGCAGCCATCTTGTGTGTAGAACCTCTGGCTTCCTCCTCCTCAGCCCCCCTCCTCCTTCTCCTTCTCGCCTCCACGGTGGATTCCTCTTCTTGCCTCCTTCAGAAAGCGATGGGTCCTGGGTGGCGTGCGAAAGGCTGGCGGCTCGAATGCTTCCTGGCTCTCTCTTTCACTCTTACCCTCATTCTACCGCAGTGGGACTCACTCTGTCTTCTTTTCACTGTGTCCACCCCCTGCTTTCGTTTCCTTCCTCATACCTCCTCTGCCATTCAACTTCTCTCCTTCTTCTCTTTTTAATCTATTATCCCCCACACCCCCTTCACCCCACTGTGGCTCCTCTGCGTCCTACTGCTACTCCTCAGTGTCTTCAAGTGCTCCGTCTTCTTGTCTTATTTATCAGAGAGGAGAGATTGTGCAATGCAGGAGCCTAGAAGCCAAATCCACCCCTGCAGCAGCAGCTCCAGGAAGATGTCTTGTCATTTTTTTAAGGCAAAACAGAGGAAGCTGTTCCTCCCACTTGGTCCTATCACAGCAGCAGCAGCAGCGGCAGGAGCAGCAGCAGCAGTGTGGCACTGTATGCAGACTGCAGTCAGGAGGACAGATAGAAAGATGGATAGACAGAGAGGGAGAGAAAGGGGAAGAGAGAGAGGGTGCTCTCTTTCTTTCTCTCTCTGGTCTCTGTTTACAGCTGGATGTATTCCCCAGATGCTGCATCACACACAAACACAACTATTTATATGATGCCTGTAGACACAGAGGCGATGTGAAGCACAGAGGGAATGTATACTGCATGAATTGACTTAATTATTCATATAAGGCATGTAGCCACTGCTTACATAATGCATAAAAGCTCCTATAAATAGCAGATGACACTAAGACGTTATCTAATCTGAATTAATATCAAAGCATTGTCACCTTAGCGTGAATAATTTCTGTAGGGAGCATCAAAATCATGTGATGTTGGCCAGAATTATATGAAATACATCATCCTAGATGTCTGAGATCATTCTTGGCTCATTCACTGACTAATTAGATACGCTGTATGGCGAGATACATTCACGGACCAGAGGGAAATTAGGCTTTACAAAATATTGTTTCTGTTTAAAAAGGTAAAAGCAGCCAGGCTGGTACATTGTGTAACTGTTCTGACGTGATTTCTCATACTTGAGCGCTGTTTTAACTCTTTCGCGACCACAGCTGGCTTAAACAAACAACTGGAGAGCGTAATGAGACGATGACACATTCGTGCCACGCTGCCGTCAAATGTTACAAGTGGCAGACGCCGACCTCACGCCGTACGTCGACTTGTAGTGTCGTAAAAAAACACCGCTCCCCCTTGTCCATGTGATGCTACAAGCTGAAGCCGGGCTAGCTTGGGGAGCAAGTGTGTGTCGGTGAAGTTGCAGGGCAGACCTTTGAGTGAATTTCAGCGGATTCCACTTAGACTGAAACATGGAGGGAGCCGACGAGTTCATGAAGTACCGTTCCCCGCTGGTGTCGAGGTACGCCAGCAAGGAGATGGCCTACAACTTCAGTGACAGGAAGAAATTCACCACCTGGAGGAAGCTGTGGATCTACCTGGCTAAAGCTGAAAAGGTTTGGCAAGTTGTTGATGCATACATGAAAACACACGTGCAAAAAACTGAGGTTTTATACACACCTCATCGATGCCTTTTACGTCCTGGAAACTGAAGTTTGCGACCTTTGAGGAGCCCTATCAAGTTCCTGCTCTAAATTTAGTTCTAAGCAAGAACCTCTCTAAGAGCTGTCTGCGTAGTTGTCCTACTCCTTGTACGATACAATAGCCAGAAAACAATGTTATAAATGTTGATTTTATCTTGGACTCTTTTTAAGAAAAATATAACAATATCAAAAACTTTGCTTTCCGACCACATGAAGATGTAATGTACGGAGGCCTAAGGTGGGCATGCCATGATAATATTTTCTGGGACATAGTGTTTTCTTTTTTCTTTTGTCCTCATCAGATTTCAACATATTTATCTCATTATTTCTAAATTAAAAGTATCCTCTGGTGATAATAAATAAATATGATAATATAAATCTCATTACATCAAAGGGCCAAAGTTAGTTTCCCTTAATTAATGGATTAATTTATTTTATTGTCCTAAAATGATAAAGTTAGCTTTTCATGATTTTGTGATTCAAGATACTTTTTGTGGATCTCATAAAGAAAATTTATTTATGAGGGAGATTAAGCCAATTTTTATTCGTTTTTTTTTTTTTTTTTTAATTTGCAACTCTGAGGGCACAGATTTTGATCATCAGATGTCCATTGAGATTTTTTTTTAAAATGACATCAAAAATTAAGTTAAAGAATTAAATGAAAGAATTATGTTCTTTTAGAGCTTCTGTGTAAACGTGTCTTGTGACTAATCTTACATTTAAAGCAACATTAAACATTTTATTTATACATTTAACTGAATATGCCAACTGGTTTTGCAAATATGAATATGTTTCGCACATTCAACAGAAGCATGCATTTTCTACAAACTGATTGTGGATTTGAAAACAAAACAAATGCAAGCAAATGTGTTATTGGCAATGAAATCAAATGGATAAGTAGTATATGGCTGCAAACTCATTTTTTAATCTCCTTGTACTCTAAACTGCTCTTGTTTCTCTTGACTGCCCATAAAAAACTGAACTTTCTTTTTGGCGCCCCCTGTGGACAAAGCAGTCTTTGTTAATCTTGTCTTCTACATGCATTAGTAGTGTCTCTTGGCAGTCACACATACTATTATTGTGAATATTTTAATGGAAAAGATGAAAAACAAGGCTTTGTCTTCAGCTACTTGGCTGACAGTGTCGTATAAAAAATGTCAAGATTCAAATGATCAGTATTGTCCCTGAAGATGTTGTTTGCTTTTGGATATCATGAGAAGGCATCAATATAAATGTCAGCCTTTTTCAGTTACATCAAAAAAAATCCTCAGTAGAGCTTTAAAGCACAAATGTTGTATGTTTGCAATGTTTGCAATGTTAAAATAAGTTGTTTCCTTATGTGGTAACTGATTGTAAACTAAATGTCCATGCGTGATCAGTGACCGTGATATCATAGGTTAATAAATAACTTGCAAAAACTTGTCAAAATTATACATTGTTAGCTGCACAAATTAAATGTTCAGTTTTCCCTCTTTGTGCTCAGTTAAGTGCTGTAAACAAAGTTAAATGCATCTTAACTCTTAAATTAGTCTTATGTATTTATCTGTAAACATGTGGTCTTCACTTAGATTATTTTATTTTATTGGACTGCAACAGTGCAGTAGGGGCAATAATGAAGTTACCTCAGAAGCCCCTTTAGTAAGCTTTCAAACAGAACAGTGAATGGTAAATTGTCTATCAGAAAAGCAAAGAATATGTTAGACATGCAGAGTTTTGAAGCATCTCCAACACTAATTCCTCTGAGTGGTTCCTGTGCCTGTCGGATTAAAGAGGGTGTGGGATGGCTAACTGATGTCAGACCCTGTCTCACATGCAGACCCTCACTTGTCTTGTTACACACTAATCAGCACTGATCAGAGTCCACGTTTAGTTCGTTTTCTGTATTTAGAGATCAGAGGTTCACTGTGTGCTTGTGTAGTTAGTCAGGCTTGTGTGGATTGTGTGTGAAAATAGCATGCAGAGAATGTCACAGTAACAGGAGACCATCTCACGAGACGCTACACTTTAATAGCCTGAGCCAAGCTCGGTTTGACTCCCAAAGCCTTTGAGCTCTTTCTTTTTTTTTTTAAGAGTCCAAGTTCTCAATTCAAGTTGAGTCCCGTTTTGGAGGATATCTGCCAGCCCAGTCAAAGTCCCATGTCTGCTGTTGATATACAAGCATTACAACTAATGCTGAGAAGAAAGCTTTTTGATTGTCTCTGCACTCAGGAGAGACAACTAGTTAAAAACAGGAGTTATAAAGCACCTTATACCTCCAATGTAATATCACTGTCATTGTATTAAATGATGTTAGGGATGCATGGTTGGAGATTTTTTTCAATTATTTCAAAAGTCGTGGCTGGAAACAAAAATAAGTAATAATGTGTCACCTGGTTGGTCTTATGTATCAGTGGAAATTTTCATGTTAAACATCTACAGATATTTAACTCTTTAAACTATTATCAGAGGATACTATACCGATTATACAACCCATGTATTGTGCAACCTAGTAGAGTCACATGTAATTTTCTCTCTCTTTCGCAGAGCCGAAGTCAAAACCAAAGATACATGACAATTTTTACAAGTTTGACCATTAAAGGAAATCAAGAAGTATCGTAGTGTATCGTATCGTATTGCATTGTATCACATTGTATCGTACCGTACCGTATTGTATCGTATCGTATTGTACTGTATTGTATCGTACCGTATCGTAAAATAGTTTGTCAGGTGACTTCTTCTGTCCAATGTAAAGTTCACCAGAGGACTGTCCCCCCTCTTCACTCTTTGTCTTGCACCATCTTCCTCCTCAGGGTTTGGGTCTGCCCATCACAGATGCTCAAATTCAGGAGATGGAGAGCCATGAGAAGGATATCGACTTTGCCATGGCTGCCGAAGAGGAGCGAAAACTCAGGCACGACGTCATGGCTCATGTCCACACCTTCGCACACTGCTGCCCCACTGCTGCTCCCATCATTCACCTGGGCGCTACCTCCTGCTACGTGGGAGACAATACTGTAAATATGATAACATACACTCCTAATCTGCATCATTAATAAGATTAAACAGTTAATAATCTCATATTTTCTGTTGAAATGATTCCCATTTGAAAAAAAAAACACTGGATCAAGATTTTGCATTTTGTCTGTTCCTGGATTCAGAGTTGTTTGTTTCTTCTCCTCAGGATCTGATTATGTTGCGTGATGGCTTTGACATCATCTTGCCTAAGGTGAGGCTCAGCTGTTCACCAGAAACATGCACACACATCCAGTTGTGCAACTCTAAAATGGGTGAAAATCAGGCTCAAGTTGCTCTGTTCTTTTTTTTTTTTTATCCTGAAGCATCAGCTGTTCGGTAACAAGTCAGCAGTGTAGAAGTAATTTCTTTTCCATGTCAGGTCAAGTAGAATATAAACAGGAATAAGCTCCTTAACATGAGGGGGGGTTGTATAAGCTCCAAATTTATGCAATAATTGTGCGCTAAAAATTGACTTCCTATTTTCCCACAGCTGGCCAGAGTCATTGACAGACTGGCCAACTTTGCAGAGAAGTATGCCGACCTCCCCACGCTTGGCTTCACGCACTACCAGTGAGTGTGATGCAGCTGCACCTTCTGAGGGTCCTTCAAAGCTTCATCAGTTTCCCTCAAGCTTCATCTGCTCCTCATTTTTATCATTTTCCACTAACATAGATTACTTAATAACTCTCCCTCTTTTCTCTCCCTCTCTCCTCTCACAGGCCTGCCCAGCTGACCACAGTGGGAAAGCGAGCGTGTCTGTGGTTGCAGGATTTGACCATGGACATGCGCAACCTGCAGCGAGCCCGAGATGACCTGCGTTTCCGGGGAGTCAAGGGGACCACGGGCACGCAGGCCAGCTTTCTGCAGCTGTTTCAGGGGGACCACGACAAGGTATGAAACCATCAACCAAGTAGCAGAAATACAAGGGCCAAAAGGCGACACAGATAGTCGTGAGATGAAATCTATTATGGTGACACTTGTTATATAGACAATGACACACAAAACAACAAACCGTATAGTACAGTGGTTCTCAATCCAGTCCTCGAGCACCCCCTGTCCTGCATGTTTTGGATGTTTCCCTGCTCCAACACACCTGATTCAAATGATTAGCTCGTTAGTTAGCCACTACAGAGCTTGATAACGAGCTGATCATTTGAATCAGGTGTGTTGGAGCAGGGAAACGTCCAAAACATGCAGGACAGGGGGGGCTCGAGGACTGGATTGAGAACCACCGGTATAGTGATATAGAGGCAACCATAACCAGTTAAATCATGTTTCCTCATCAGGTTGAAGAGCTGGACAAGATGGTGACAGAGATGGCCGGTTTTAAAAAGTAAGCCCTGCATGTAAATGAAAGAGATCAAATTCAGTAGAGTGACACCTTTCCTCTAACTGTGGTAGAAGATATGTGGTACTTAATTAAAGTCTGTTGACTGCTATTAGGAGTTCTGTATTGGCCTCGGGGTGTGACAGATCACAAATCTCATCATTCACCAGTCTTAAATTAAAGTCTGTACTATGATAAAATACATGACTCAACATGATAAAATGGCAAATCCTTGTTCAAGTTATCCAGAGTCTTATGTCCATCAAGCAGAACACCTAAAGTCAGATGTGTCTGCCTCCAGTTTGGTCAGTTGTCTCGAAACTAGCTTCAGTTCCAGCTCATTTAGCTTCAGTTCTTTTTATAATTCATCCTGAGCGAAGACAGCAGCAAATTTGACGCCTTCTTGCTCACCTCTGTCCTGGCCTTTAAAACCGAAAGCAAGAAAAAAATCCTGGAATCGTCAGGTGTAAGTTCCTGTACTCTTCTGTTTGATAAAGGCTTGAGGGTATGAAGGAAGCAGACCTAAGATAGACGCGCAATTAAGGATTTGTCAGTACTTGTCTCTACACATTCATAAAGCAGACAGTGATGAGTAAGAGCTTTAAAATTAGTGATGAACTGAGAAGAGGTGTGCATGCATTATACATGACCATAATCCAGTTTTCACTGGGGTACGAACTCAATCTGTGTGCTCTGAGAAGTGTAGATTGAAAGCAGGTTTGGGTACTCAGAGCTTAAACTGTAACTGGGGGAGAGCTTGATCTGGAGTGGATGCCGAGTGATACATCACATTGTCATCAACATAGAAAATATATATATATATATATATTTTTTTTTTTATCATTATTTTATTTAACCAGGAAATTCTCATTGTGGTTGAAAATCTCTTTGACAAGTTGTAGACGTACAACACATGATTTAAAAAAAAAAAAACCTTTTGATGATGGGTCTTCAGGGGCTCAATAATCTTGTTAATTAAGCTGATGATTTTTGTCTCTTTTTGTCTTCAGAGCCTACCTGGTGACTGGGCAGACCTACACTCGTAAGGTGGACGTCGACTGTCTGTCCTGCCTGGCTAGTCTCGGAGCCACTGTTCATAAGGTGAGCTGCAGAAGCTGGAGACATCCGGAGAAACGCTGCCATCTAGTGGTTCCAATGAAAATTTCAGACTGACATACACTGAGATGCACCAGCCATGCTTCAGTTCAAACATATTGATCACTCACTATTGATTAACAGGACTTAATGCAGTTATTCCCAGCTGTACTATCAGGCCACAGTTCTTTACATCTTTGCATTAAGTGAGGAGTTTTTTGACCTGTATAACATACACTGAAGTTTATAATGACTCCTTTAATGAAATATCTAATAAGATAATGAAAGATCTCCTGCTGGAGGTTAGAGATTCATATATTTTAATTTGTAATACCTGTAGTATCAGGGTGAGGGGGAGATGTCAATTGCACAGCTGAGGTTTTTAAAATATTCACATAAAATACCACAGTAAATGAAATATTTGAATTAAAGGTCAGCAGGATGAGTTTTATTTTTTTGTCAAAAGACACTGTTTTGACATGTACAGTACAAGATAGGCAAAGACTGCTTTAAGATACAATACAAAGAAGTTTCATTGATCCCCAAAGGGAAACTTAATTGGCCATAAGGAGAACTAAAAAATACAAACCAAAACTTCCTCACTGGAGCTTTAACTTTCTAAAGCTCATCTTTGATTCTTGTTTTCCTCTACTGCAGATTTGTACAGACATCCGTCTGCTCGCCAACCTGAAGGAGATCGAGGAGCCTTTTGAGAAAGAGCAGATCGGTATTTTAACACTCAATATTTACTTCCATTAAAGTTCCCTCAGGATTTCACAGAATTGTTGGTTTTATCACAACTCAAAGTGCCTACATTTGGGCCTTGGTTTGGCTTAATAGATTCGATTTGACCTTAATATTTATTTTTTTATAACACATTTCAAATTTTTGCAAAAAAAATTCAAATTACAAGTGTGTCACAAGAAATTATCCAAGAGTTAAAAACACACATGATGGGTTTAAAAAGGGCTAGAATAAAACATCAGCTCATCTGGTCCTTCCTCTTTCTTATGATTTTAATTCATTTTAAAAACAAATATTCTCTTAATATCAAAACATTATTTTTTCCATATTCAGAGGCTGCAGTCCTTGATGCATAGGTTGGGATATATTATTATAACATAGTTCAATGATGCATGTAACAGAATCAACAGTTGGTCGTCATGAAGTGATTTCTCTCCTCCAGGTTCCAGCGCCATGCCTTACAAGAGGAACCCCATGCGTGCTGAGCGTTGCTGCAGTCTGGCCCGTCACCTGGTGGCTCTGATGTCCGACCCCCTGCAGACAGCTTCAGTCCAATGGCTGGAGAGAACACTTGATGACAGTGCCAACAGGTCTGCAACATCTAACACAGACTTTGATGTTTTCCTTATGTGAGGTATTTGGGGTTTACCACAGAGCCGCTCAAGTATTCAGCAAAAAGTTAAATCAGCGTTTTATTTCCTCCTCTGGTGCAGGAGGATCTCCCTGCCCGAGTCCTTCCTCACAGCTGACATCATCCTCAGCACTCTGCAGAACATCACAGAGGGACTGGTGGTTTACCCCAAAGTCATCGAGAGACACATCCGCCATGAGCTGCCGTTCATGGCCACAGAGAACATCATCATGGCCATGGTGAAGGCTGGGGGCAACAGACAGGTTCGTCTTAGCTTTGTACAACAACAACAGATCAGTGTGTCACCTTTTTATGACGATAATAATGCTTATTAAGACCAAAACTGAGTATCTCTCTTGTATCACCACAGCTAGATGTGCTCAGAAACTAATAATTTGAGAGGGATACATACATCATTTAACCTTTCGCTTTGACAATGTTTTTTAAAGTGCTTTGAATTAAAGTGGAGCTGTAAGAGTTATTAAATTAAGCTGTCAATCACCAATAAAATGGGGTGTTTTGCCAATCAAGTGTTTGAACGCATAACAGGACAACAAACATAGCCATTTACTGCTCTAAAGTAATCTTAGTAATCATAATTGATTAATCTAAACCAATTCCAAATACAGTCGGTTGTCCGGGAAGTGACGTACGGGGAAAAGAGGAGTGGACCCAGAATTGATCCCTGAGGCACACCGTGTAACAAAGAGAGAAGACACACAGCCCCCTTATGGATACTAAAACTATCCTGATTATGATTATGGTCTCTCTGGTTTAATTTCTGCTCACAGTATCTCATTTTTCTGCCTCTTTTAGGACTGCCATGAGAAGATCCGTGTTCTGTCTCAGGAGGCGGCAGCTGTGGTCAAACAGGAGGGCGGTGATAATGACCTGCTGGCCAGGGTGCAGGGAGACCCATACTTCAGCCCCATCCTGGGCCAGCTGGACTCCATACTGGACCCTAAGACGTTTATTGGTCGTGCTCCTCAGCAGGTACGACACCATCAGTCATTTTTTATATCCTTTTTTCAACTCTGACGTCTTTTTTTTTTTTTTCAGTCCAGAGCGATGTTTCTTTTCCTCTTTGCTCACATTCTTCTCTTCTCATAATAATCCAGCTGCGAGAAATGTCCAAAAGCTCATGCTGAATTTCAAATTATCATTTTAACATCATATTCCCAATATTCTTCTACTCCAGGTCGCCAGATTTTTGTCGGAGGAAGTGCGCCCCCTGCTGGAGCCGTACAAGGCAAAGATGGATGTAAAGATTGAGCTGGAGCTCTAACACGCACTCACAAACACTCAGGTACAGAACAAGACCCTAACATGGTGGGTGGCTCCATCAATAAAGAACAATCATTGAAAGAAAGTCTCTTTTTCAAAGTGTTTTTATTTCTTTATTTTTCACATTTATAAGATTGTAAAAAGGATTATGTAAAATCTGAATAAAATAAAATAGTCCAGCTAGTCCATTTAGCTGGACTAAGACTAACCTTTACGGTTTAAACTGCAATACATACATAGCAACACATGGTGGCAATATTCATCCATAATTTGATCAATGGAGTTTGAAAACTTTCATGAATTCACACTCATTCTGATTAGACTCAGCTCTTATCTTAATATACTTACAGCTCAATCACTGAAAAACAACCCTCTTTGGATGGTTTTCCCCTTTTAAGAATTTTTTTTTGAACGCTTCAACAGCAGTGCAACATGCTTTCTATAGTTTATAACAAACAGTACAACGCCTCTGATATGGGAGTGTTTTTATTGTTTCCCCTTTGTTTCAAATCTGGCTCAATTTTCCCCCTTTGTTTCACATCTTACTCACTTTTTTTCACCTGATAATAGAGGTCAGCCAATGCTGGTCTGATAACTACCCAGCTCTGCTCTCGGCCTGTGAACAACCAAACTGATGTATGACACAGTCTTGATCTGTCGGATGTGACAGATTTAGAGCATAAAGGGTGAATACCAGGAAAAGTGTGCCTGTTTTCTCCACCTGTCAGCTTGATAACACAATAGAGGACGAGGAACAGAAAAGAAGGATGGCGGTATGAAGGAAAGGTTTTGTTAGCAGGCGGGAAAAGACAGTTTCCTATGACATAATCCAACTGTTACCCAATGTGTCATATATTTAAGTACTCAAAATTTGAAATTAATAATGTAAAGCCTTAAATCACCATTTAAAGAAAAAAGATTTGACTGCTGTTATAAAATCTGCGAAAAAGATGAAGAGGAGAAACCAACATGCTGCAAGTGGTTAAAAGGTGCTTTTATTTTGAAATGACTCAAAAAAAGGTCTGAATTTCAGCCTTCTACAACCCTTTACTGAAGTGAAGATCTCGTCTTTGTGCACTGGTGGTATCATTCACATCTTTGAAAACTGACCAGAAGGGGCGCTGTGGAGCGGCATAGGCTGATTATCTTTAATCTGATGGGAAAATTCAGTTCAGGCTCCATGCCAGTGTGTTTTTTTGGAAGATGCCTCTAGTTTAAACAGAGGTTCTACATTCAGCACGATTTGTCAGGGCTGTTTGAGATCCAGAAGAACAATAGCGCTTTTAAATCCGTGCTGATAGTGGGAGAGGTCTGTCTTTTGGCTCCAGCTCTAAACAATTTCTCTCATCCCGGTTCTTTGTTTATTTAAACATATCATCCTGGTTCTGCTGGCACTGTTCTTGTTCTTTGGACGCTGCGATCAAGTCTGTAATTTTGTTTATGTATTTTTTTGATGTCATTAAAAAGTTACTGGGGAGGTTGAGATGGGAACACTGGGCCCCCAGTGTCCTGATGGCATTCTTTCACATACTCCATGCTGAGTGATCACCAGGGGGGGGGGGCTTTGACGAGCGGGTACAGGGATCAGACAGACAGACAGCATGGAGCTCTATGGGAAATTCTCAAGTGCTGTTAGTTAGTTACCAGTGTTTCAATACAGGTTTTTTACCCACTCTTATTGTTCAACAATTCCCATAAGCAGGCAATAGCCTCACAGCTGCAGTCACTATTTCCAGTTTGACCTACAGTTTTGATGGTTATTACTGCTAGAATTAGTTATTTTATCTCTGGATTATTGTGGCTGTAACATATACTACTGATATAACTGCAATATTTGTTTACCACTTGGAAATGGCAAAACAAGAGTAGAGCAACACGTTACTTCATTAACTTGACGAATAAATAACTTGCCCCATCATTTATGTGTAAAAGGGTTCAAATCTATGAACTTCTATCGTTGGAGAATTGAATCGATTGTCTTACTTTTATTTTTACTTTTTTTCCGTCTTGCATTTTGGTTGCTTTATTTCTGCATGGAAAAACTGCTTTTTATTCTAAAGTACAAGCTACCCGTCGATTGCCAGCCCCCTGTAAAAGGGTTCAGTGCCACACACTGCTCGTAACCACGTCACTCGCCACTCTCTTTTGCCAGTTTCCTTATCTGTCCACTGGCCCGTCTCTAAATCAAGTAATGAAAGCCCGAAAGTAAACAAAAAAGGCAGTGTATCCTTGCCAATGTTGCCAGAATTGGTCTGATGTGGAATAAAGATTGGTCTCAGTAACAATATAAAAAGTTGGAGGCTGGATGCAAAGGCCATACAAACCTTATTGGGTCCCATGTAAAAATGCCCAATTTTACAGCAAAATTAAAACATGTTTACAGCCTGGTTCAAAAGTTATTGTGGAGTATATAGCTCATTTATCTACCTGTTCAATGAGGCAACCATGAAGATAATATTCAGACCATGAAAAGTGCACAGATCTGCACAATTAAAGGGAAGGCATCAAACAGGTGGCAGCATTGTCGCTGTTTGCTAGAGGACTAATAGCCCACCTTGGCTCCATGATTGTATGTTGGTTGAGTTTGCATTTCCAGTATGGCGACTGACACCATAAGGCTTCAAAACACCTCTGAAGAAACCAATCGGTGATGTCAGAGGTTCCACATCTATGTTTTATAGCCCATAAAGATGACTTATTATGTTTACTTCAAATGACTGGAAACTTGAGTTGGGTTTTCTTTCATGATGCCTTTGTTTACTTAAAACTGCACATTGGTTCTTTAGAGAAAAAAAGTCAGCAACTTTAACAGACAGAATTTTGTTAGATTTACTCTTGTAGCCTTAAACTTACCTCACAGGATGGATGTAAGTGTTAAAAAGATTTTTAAACTACAATCTGTCTTTGCTAGATCTGTTAAAATGACAAAATGCTCTTAAAGTGATACTGCAGCTCTTACAAGGGAATTCAGAGAGAAAACATTGGCGCCGAAACCCCCTTAACCCTGCTGCTTTCATTAGTGAGTATAAAAGGCCTCAGATAAAGTAAGAAAAAACCTCATACAATCACCTACAGCGACGTGTAAAGCCTGAGAGGCCCTTGATGTAAATGTCAGAAAAATGTCTAAGTCCTCAGGGAGAGAATGGTGTATGTGACGCCTGCTTTGTTGCTTTTGACTTTCATTCAAGAGGGAGGTTAGGGTAGACATGCTTTCTAGGCCTGTGCTGTAATCTCTCCCAACACCTGCTCGTGCTCTTGCTCTCTTATCCCTTCAACAGCTCTCCAATAGAAACAATAGCAGTGCTTCCCTATCATGCAGCAGAGCGCCTCCAAGTCCGCTATCAGACATCGGAGTGGTACCCCTCGGTGCAGCCTGTCAGGTCTTATCATCCGAGAACCACATCCTGCGCATGCCATCTCAAAAGGCCACTTCATAAGACTGCTGAATCAGAAACTTGAAAGTTTGGAAGAGAGAGGATAGGGAGTTCAGCTGGTGGGAAATTAAGTCATAGAGGGATAATATCAGAATTGACCGTATCCACATACAACCAGATTTCCCCTGATGAAATGTTTAGGTCGGTAACAGAGGTACATTCTTAGCTTGTGAGATTCCTGTTTCTGGCTGTAAATCAGAAACAAGTATCTGGGGAGCTGGTTTGACCTAGTGGTTAGGTCATGGATGGAGGCTGTAGTTCTCAAATGGGAGGCTTGTGACTTCTTGGCCATATGTCACTCACTGCTCTCCCTATCCCCTGAGTTCTTATTCTATCCACTGTCTCATTTTCTCCAAAAAAGGCATAAAGCCTGACCAACACTTTGAAGAGATTATAACTTAAAAAAAAAAGATTAATCATGACATGTTTTCTTAAAGGATGTTGGATGGAGACTAGCTGGAGTGATCATACACCAACTAAAATAAGATATTAGCCTACTAGGTAAAGTCAGATAGCGGTTAACATTAAGCTTTAGCCACTTGCTAGAAACGGTAAGTATTTAAAATGAAGTGGCTCATTGGATATTAAAAGCACAAATCGCTGACAGATAAAGGCTAATTTTCAATTTAGGAACTCTAGCAGCTAACAAAATATTAGCAAGACAGCTTACTGCTCAGCAAATACAGAAAATGGATACAAACTTGTACTGGGTCTTATTTCATAGTTCTTAAGCACTTCTTTTTATTACCGATTAGCTTTTAAGTTTTGAAACAAGTGGCCATAGTCTATTTCAAGAGACAAAAAAAAACACGTTTGAAAATTCATAAAGTAGGGTTAGACAATTGCTAATGTTAGCATTTCAGTTCTACTGGGCTAATACAACTACTGGGAAAAAAATCCTGAAAACTATGTATGTCAATGGTGTTGAAGTTAAATAGAGATGGCTTTAATGGTGTGTATCACTTGTGTAGAAATCAGATGTTAATGGTGAGAATGACCTAGGCCCAAGTAGCTAGCGCCACAGTGATATTAACAAATGAAAAACAATTCCTCAACTGTCCTTAGACTGTGAAGTAGTTGCTAAATGTTTGCTAGATCTCTCTTCCTTGCTCGCGTGATATAGGCTAGGAGGTGTTTACCTGCTAACGTTAGCTGTTGCTTCTTTGGCTATCGTGTTTTAACTGAACTTTTTGGTCTTTGGTTTCTAATTTGTAATGAAAACAGTTTGTAGATATCCCACATTTATAGGTCTGCCATAGTAAACACAAGACATTATCTCTCCATTGAAGCTTTCCACCCTAAGCATGACGTTAGAAGAAAAATGGCCGCCATACGACTATTGTGAACAGACAAAGACGGGGGAAGAGATTGTCCAATGGTGAGAGAAAGAGATCTATGGACAGATTATAGAGACCCAGAGACAAGTGCAAGACTCTCAGAAAGATGAACTGAGTGATAGAGACATAAGAGGGAGGAAAAGAAAGAGTGGGCATCAGCAACTGTGATCTCACCCTCCTCCTCTCCTTTGGCAGACTCTTCCAGAAAGCTGCCCTTTTGCTGAAAAATGCCAAGCGCACCACATTCCACCAGCCACACAAAGACCCTCCCTCGTCTCAGCTGCACAGGCACAATCAGACAAGGGATAATTATAT